GGAAGCTGCTTAGAGTTTCTGTGGCAACCCACTCAGATGGGTAGATGATTATTATTATTATTATTATTATTATTATTATTATTGAAAAGGACGTCCTTAATTTCATTGGAGAAATGTTGGAGGATATGAGAAAAGGCCTCTTGAAACTACCATTCAATTCTCCAAAAGTCTTTCGATGGGAGAGCAGAGACGGAAGTCTCCGTTATCGGTGAGAGAATGGCCCCCACTGGCGAGGAGCGCATTGCATTAATGCTGTGCAAATACCACATTAGCAGGCCAGCCAAACAATTAAGAGCTGGTAATTAAAATTCATCTTCCTTCACACCACCATGTATTAAAAGTACAAACATTTAATTATATGCCTCTTACCTCACTGATCTTCAGGAGTGTACAAGAAACACTTATCAGTTGCACCTTTAATTACATGCTATGGGTGGGTTGTTGTGGTTTTTTAGCTGAGGCCCTGGATGGCCAGAGCAGGAATGGGATTTTGTTGGGGGAAAGGAATTGCAAAGGGTTGAATCTAAACGGGAAGGGGGAGGAGAGAGGCAGATCAGTGGAAAACTCCATGCCACCTGACTATTTTAAGCGGGGTGGTGGTTCAAAAGTGGAAAAGCAGGTGGCAAAAAGACCCCTCCCCCCATTTTTGGCTTTGCGAAATAATGTTACATCTAATCAGATTATGTGGAGCCATTGGGAGCTTATTCAGAGTGACGGCAGTGGCTCCTGCCCTCACTCTGAACACGCAAGAGCCTGTGCAGGAAGTTCACTCAGCACAGGGAACCATGCCACCAAAGCTGAAGGCTTGGTTTGTGCAAATATTTGCAATACTGTTCTTTGGTTTATCTATACAGTGGTACCTCGGGTTACATACACTTAGGTTACAGACTCTGCTAACCCAGAAATAGTACCTCGGGTTAAGAACTTTGCTTCAGGATGAGAACAGAAATTGTGCTCCGGCGGCGCAGCGGCAGCGGGAGGCCCCATTAGCTAAAGTGGTGCTTCAGGTTAAGAACAGTTTCAGGTTAAGAACAGACCTCCAGAACAAATTAAGTTCTTAACCCGAGGTACCACTGTATTGGCTCATCTATATGTAAGTAAATAAACAACAGAACAGGTAATTTTTTAATTTATTTTATTTAATTAAATTTAAGTAATTTAATTAATTTAATTTAATTTATTTAGTTTTAATTTATTTTAATTTGTTTTAATTTATTCACTTTTATTTTTGCAGGGGAGCAGAAGGAAGAAAGGTCCAGGGTACAGAAAAGTAACCTGTCAAGGAGAAGCTTACTCTTGACAACACATCCAAAAGAAAGCCTTTCTTCCTGGCATACTAGAACTCTAGATGCAGGGATTTGTTTTGGTTACCTGCCAGTTTTTAAATGGCAGAGCATTCAGTCAGAATCCCGGTACAAGGAAAAGACGGCTCTTATGATCTTGTGAAAACATAGCAAATACGCAAAAGCAGCTAGAAAAAGAGAGAGAGAAAAAGACCTTTCTGATAACTTGCTTCATTGAGCTGGAACAGTGGGCCTTGCTGATGATCTGCGCTTCCAAGGAGGGGAGAGGGAAAAAAATGAAGACATTAACAAGGGCGCAACATCCCCGTCCTGGCACCAGCCACGTAACGGTTATGGATGATTCTATCTGCAGCGGATCTGTTTTTCATTAGCGGCTGGCGGGCAGGCGTAATAGGCCAGATAAAAAGCAGGTGCTTACATCCGTTTTATTGGTCACTATTTGGTGTCATAATCGGGACGTGATTTATAGGAGTGCCAGAGCCACGCAACAGGCAAGTGGAAGGCAGGACGGAGGGAGGGAGCAGGGGAAATGGAGAGAAGGGCAGACACAGGCCAACTGGGGAGTTTTCAGGCTGTTTTGGGAGACTTCGGTGCTAAGGACTACTGGCCAGATGGTTAGGGGGTCAGGCAGGAATGGGTAGGGGGGAGACCTCACAGGGCAGGAGATGACCCAGATTTGTCTGGTTGAAATAAATAATAAATAATAATAATAATAATAATAATAATAATAATAATTTATTTATACCCCAAGGGGACGCGGGTGGCGCTGTGGGTTAAACCACAGAGCCTAGGACTTGCTGATCAGGAGGTCGGCAGTTCGAATCCCCGCGACGGGGTGAGCTCCCGTTGCTCGGTCCCTGCTCCTGCCAACCTAGCAGTTCGAAAGCACGTCAAAGTGCAAGTAGATCAATAGGTACCGTTCCAGCGGGAAGGTAAACGGCATTTCCGTGCGCTGTTCTGGTTTGCCAGAAGCGGCTTAGTCATGCTGGCCGCATGACCCGGAAGCTGTACGCTGGCTCCCTCGACCAGTAAAGCGAGATGAGCGCCGCAATCCCAGAGTCGGTCACAACTGGACCTAATGGTCAGGGGTCCCTTTACCCTTTACCTATTTATACCCCACTCATCTGGTTGTGTTTCCCCAGCCACTCTGGGCAGCTTCCAACAAAAGATTTAAAATACACTAAAACATCAGTCATTAAAAACTTCCCTAAGCAGGGCTGCCTTCAGATGTCTTCTAAATGTCATATAGTTGTTTATCTCTTTGACACCTGATGGGAGGGCGTTCCACAGGCACCACTCCCGAGAAGGCCCTCTGCCTGGTTCCCTGTAACTTCACTTCTTGCAGGGAGGGAACTGCCAGAAGGCCCTTGGAGCTGGACCTCAGTGTCTGGTCTGAACGATGGAGGTGGAGACGCTCCTTCAGGTATACTGGGCCGAGGCTGTTTAGGGCTTTCAAGGTCAGCACCAACACTTTGAATTCTGCTCGGAAACATACTGGGAGCTGATGTAGGCCTTTCAAGACCGGTCTCGGCGGCCGCTCCCAGTCACCAGTCTAGCTGCCGCATTCTGGATTAGTTGTAGTTTCTGGATCACCTTCAAAGGTAGCCCCACGTAGAGCGCATTGCAGTAGCCCAAGTGGGAGATAACTAGAGCATGCACCACTCTGGCAAGACAGTCTGCGGACAGTAGGGTCTCAGCCTGCGTACCAGATGAAGCTCTTGATGAAAGGCTCGCCACATCACAGCCAACTTCTAGAACTCAACTCAGCTACTTTCAGGCATTGTGGCTGGGCTAAAGTAAACATGAGGAGGCAGGGAAAGCAGGGAAGTGTGTTTCTATGCTCCTCCATACAAGGCAATAACATAATGATTCTAGCCCTCATGATTCTGAACCGATTTCCGGGTTTGTTATAGAGCTTTCTTATACCAAATCAGACCATTGGTGAGTCTCATAGACTCATAGACTTGTGGAGTTGGAAGAGACCCTGAGGATCATCTAGTCCAGGCATAGGCAAACTTGGCCCTCCATATGTTTTGGGACTACAGCTGCCATCATCCCTAGCTAACAGGACCAGTGGTCAGGGATGATGGGAATTGTAGTCTCAAAACATCTGGAGGGCCAAATTTGCCTGTGCCTGATCTAGTCCAACTGCCTACAATTCAGAAATCTCAGTGAAAGCATCCATGACAGATGGCTCAGTATGGATACCTCTTGATTGGCAGTCGCTGTCCAGTGTTTAGGGAGGTGACTTTCGGTTTCCCAGCCCCACCTGGGAACTGAACCCAAGACATTTTGCATGCAAACCAAGATGTTGCTGGATGCTATTTGTGTTGGCTGGTAAGGAGGAGGGAGAGAGAGGAGAGTGGTTTTTCTTAGTGGTCCTTCATATATGATGTTGCAACTTTTGAATATTGTCATTTCCCCCCAGTACCATATACCATTGTTGCTTCATTTTATCGTTCCCTGCTCTGGAATTAAATAATATTAAATGAAGAGCAGCTTATAAATACTTTGAATAAATCAGGCAGCCTGCCCCCAAGCAATCCTTCCTCACGTTGCAGAGGATCCCTGCTCATTTTAGAACCAGTTGCTGGAAACATTAAGAAGGGGAAAGGGCTCTTGGGCTTAGGTCCTCTTGTGATCTTCCCATCAGGGCATCCTGTCGGACACTGGCTGAAGTTAATACCCAAAGAACATAAGCAGAGCCCTGCAACTGGACCAGACTAACGGCATCCTGTAACATTCCTCACTGGGAATTCCACGAAACAACACAGGAGCCGTCCCCCCTTCTGGGATTCAAGAGCACTCTCGCCTCTGACCATGGAGGCAGAACATAGTCATTACGGCCAGGGCCAGATTTAGTTTTGATGAGGCCCTAAGCTACTGAAGGTAATGGGGCCCTTTATATGTCCAGCTGTCCTTTGTCAACAACAAATTGTTGCTTTTTTTTGTTGAATAAGTACTACATGGTATTATGTTGAATATGTGCTATATACAGCGCTACCTCTGGTTGTGAACAGGATCTGTTCTGGAGCCCCATTCGCAACCTGAGCAGAACGCAACCCACGGACGTGGGTTGCGATTCGCCACTTCTGTGCATGCGCGTAACATCATTTTGAGTGTCTGCGCATGCGCGAACATCGAAACCCAGAAGTAACCCATTCCGGTACTTCTGGGTCGCCGTGGGACACAACCTGAAAAGGTTTAACCTAAAGTGTCTTTAACCCGAGGTATGACTGTATTCAACATTTTTGTGTTGAATATATGCTATATGGTAATTTATGGACCTAATATTCATCTAAAGCCATTTGCACATGTTGCCGTGCAACCAGTCCATGCAGAATGTAGGCACCCTATATATATAGAAATGAGCAGTGATATTTTAGGGAGCAGGCTAGCAGGCAGGGCCCATTAATTACATCATAGGAGCCTACACAACACAAAACACTGTTGCTGCATGTAGGTTTTATTCTATTTGTTTTTTATCTTATATATTTTGGAAATGGACATCCAGTTGTTTTTTCTTTTACATTTTTGGGGGCCCCCCAAGAGAGTGGGGCCCTAAGCTATAGCTTGTGTAGCTTCTATGTAAATCCAGCACTGATTATAGCTGATAGACTTCCATGCATCTAGATTCAGGTAGGTAGCCGTGTTGGTCTGATGCAGTTGAAATATATAAAAAAATTGTCCAGTAGCACCTTAGAGACCAACTAAGTTTGTTCTTGGTATAAGCTTTCATGTGCATGCATACTTCATGCACACAAAAGCTTATACCAAGAACAAACTTAGTTGGTCTCTAAGGTGCTACTGACCAATTTTTTATTTTTCTTTGTATATTTAGACTTCCAGGTATTTACCTAATCCTCCAAAGGTCCGTATAGTTAAAGCCATGGTTTTCCCAGTAGTGATGTATGGAAGTGAGAGCTGGACCATCAAGAAGGCTGATCGCCGAAGAATTGATGCTTTTGAATTATGGTGCTGGAGGAGACTCTTGAGAGTCCCATGGACTGCAAGAAGATCAAACCTATCCATTCTGAAGGAAATCAGCCCTGAGTGCTCACTGGAAGGACAGATCCTGAAGCTGAGGCTCCAATACTTTGGCCACCTCATGAGAAGAGAAGACTCCCTGGAAAAGACCCTGATGTTGGGAAAGATGGAGGGCACAAGGAGAAGGGGACGACAGAGGACGAGATGGCTGGACAGTGTTCTCGAAGCTACCAGCATGAGTTTACCAAACTGCAGGAGGCAGTGGAAGACAGGAGTGCCTGGCGTGTTCCGGTCCATGGGGTCACGAAGAGTCGGACACGACTAAACGACTAAACAACAACAACCAACAGGAGCAGGAGCATAGTGTGTGTGTGGGGGGGGGAGGCACAGGTGCAAAATTGTTAGGGGGTGCAAAATTTAAACACCTGATCCTGCCTCAAAATACAGCTGTGTGCTTCCGTCGCTGAGCTCCATTGAAAAGAAGAAGGAGAAGGGATTATTTTCATTATATATCACGGCAGGAATAATTCCACTATCAAAACAGGTCAGAAAACTTTTAAAGGGGTGGGGGCAGACAACCAGAGAAAAAGAGAGTTTCAAATCGATACCCAGAAAGCAAACTGCCTCGCTGCATTGACCCTGCTATATATTTAGTGGCAGGTAAATTCCTGAGAGTCACCCAATCCCCATGCAAATTATGGAGAGCTCTGCGTTGGCTGGCGAGATAAGCTGCCTTGATATATCGTATTTTATTAGCCAGCCCTGGCCTCCTCCATACAAGCTGAGAAGCCATCTACATAAATTATAGATTTAATATTTATCTCCCACCACCGCGCAGATGTGAAGAATCTTTAGCAGCATTTTACCCTACTGCAGTAAAAGTTTTATTTATACATTCCTCCTCGCCTTCCTTTTCTCTCTGGCGCGCCGCAGGGGAGAGCTAGGAAGTGAGGAGGAGGAGGAGGAGCCTCTGATGGTCTCCTGGTGGCTGAAGAATCATAGAATCGTAGAACTGTGAGTTGGGAGGGACCCCAAGGGTCATCTAGTCCAACCCCCTGCAATGCAGAAATCTCAGCTAAAGCATCCCTGTCAGATGGCCATCCAACCTCTGCTTAAAAACCCACAAGGAAGGAGAGTCCACAACAGGGGTCAGCAAACTTTTTCAGCAGGGGGCTGGTCCACTGTCCCTCAGGCCTTGTGGGGGGCCAGACTATATTTTGGGGGAAAAATGAACCAATTCCTATGCCCCACAAATAACCCAGAGATGCATTTTAAATAAAAGGACACATTCTACTCATGTAAAAACACGCTGATTCCCGGACCGTCCGTGGGCCGGATTTAGAAGGCAGTTGGGCCAGATTCAGCCCCTGGGCCTTAGTTTGCCCACCCATGGTCCACAACTTCCTAAATTCCACTGTCAAACAGCTCTTACTGTCAGAAAGTTGTTCCTATTGTTTGGTCAGAATCTCCTTTCTTGTAACTTGGTTCGAGGAGAAAGCAAGCTTGTTCCATCTTCCATGTGACAGCCCTTGATATAGATGGCTATCATATCTACTCTTTCCCATACCCAACTCCCTCAACCGTTCCTCATAAGGCTTGGTTTCCAGACCCTTGATCATCTTAGTCACCCTCCTTTGCACATGTTCCAGCTTGTCAATATCCTACTTAACTTGTGATGCCCAGAACTGGACAATATATTCCAGGTGTGGTCTGACCAAGGCAGAGTGGTACAATTCCTTCCCTTGATCTGCACACTTGACTTTTGCTGATGCAACCTAGAGCACACTGCAGCTGCAAGACGTAGGAACCTGCTTTGTGCAGTCAGGCCACTGGTCCACCCAGCTCAGTATTGCTAACCCTGACTGGCAGCTGCTCACTCACCAGGACCCTCTTTTAACACTGTCTAGGTGTAGATAGGGACGTGGGTGGTGCTGTGGTCTAAACCACCGAGCCTCTTGGGCTTTCCAATCAGAAGGTCGGAGGTTTGAATCCCCACAACGGGGTGAGCTCCTGTTGCTCGGTCCCTGCTCCTGCCAACCTAGCAGTTCAAAAGCACACCAGTGCAAGTAGATAAATAGGCACCACGGTGGCGGGAAGATAAACTGTGTTTCTATGCACTGCTCTGGTTTGCCAAAGTCATGCTGGCCACATGACCCGGAAGCTGTACGCCGGCTCCCACAGCCAGTAAAGCAAGATGAGTGCCACAACCCCAGAGTCGTCAGCGACTGGACCTAATGGTCAGGGGTTTCTTTACCTTTACCTTCATAGTATGGGGAATTCACAAGCAGGATTTGAATTCTGAGTAAGAGAAGGAATGAGAGATTATTGTATTGTCATTATGGTTTAAAAGAGGGAAGATAGTGTTCCGTTGCACCAGAAGTGGCTTAGTCCTGCTGGCCACATGACCCGGAAAAGCTGTCTCCCTCAGCCTGTAAAGTGAGATGAGCGCCGCAACCCCAGAGTCGTCTGCAACTGGACTTGACTTTCAGGGATCCTTTACCTTTACCTTTTTAGGTGTAGATTGGCGAACATCACTGCCTCTTGTGGCAGGGAGTTCCAGAGTTTAATTCTGTGGGGTGTGAAGAAGCTTCCCAAGCAGTATCCTAGAGCCAGCTCATGAGAACAACGTGAGAATATAAGGGGGCCTGATCCGACAGTGGCCCAACAGATGCCTGCAGGAAATCAGCAAGTAGGATCTGAGCACAAGAGCAGTCTCCCCGCCTGTGGTTTCCAGCAAGTGTTATTCAGAGGCATCACTGCCTCTGACTGCGGAGGCAGAGCCTAGCTAGTATGGCTGGTAGGCTTTGGTAGTCATGAATGTGCCCAATCCTCTTTCAAAGCCACCCTAGTTGTTAGCCATCTCTGACTCTTGTGGGAGTGAGTTCCACAGTTTAACTATGGTCTGTGTGAAAAAAGGACTTTCTTGTACAGTGGTACCTCGGGTTAAGAACTTAGTTTGTTCTGGAGGTCTGTTCTTAACGTGAAGCACCACTTTAGCTAATGGTGCCTTCCATCTTCAAGAATCTTAATAGCACAAGGATGTGCTATTGTGCTAGTGTGTGAGGAAACCCCGACTAAAGAACTATGGCAAGAGAAATTGATGGACTATGCAGAACTGGCAAAATTGACACATAAACTACGGGACAAGGATAACTGTGACTTTGAAGATGAATGGGAACCTTTTACAAAGTATTTAAAGAAGCAACAAAGCCAACTGGACTCCTTGGCAGGCTTTGAATAAACACTCACAATTTTTTTATTGATAATAACCAGTCAGATAAATTAAGGATTTATACAATTTTGTAACATGCAGAGAATAGCATCTACAGTGGTACCTCGGGTTAAGAACTTAATTCGTTCCGGAGGTCCATACTTAACCTGAAACTGTTCTTAACCTGAAGCACCACTTTAGCTAATGGGGCCTCCTGCTGCCGCAGCGTCACCGGAACACAATTTTTGTTCTCATCCTGAAGCATAATTCTTAACCAGAGGTACTATTTCTGGGTTAGCAGAGTCTGTAACCTGAAGCGTATTTAACCTGAGGTACCACTATATAGAGAAGCCAGAGATTAGAACTGAGGGAAGTCAGGGGGGAATTAAGGATGATATGTTGTAAGCTAATATGTTTTGTTTAAATTCCTAATAAACAAAACAAAAAAAAAAAATTAAAAAAGCTAATGGGGCCTCCTGCTGCCACTGCGCCACCGTAGCACAATTTCTGTTCTCATCCTGAAGCAAAGTTCTTAACCCGAGGTACTATTTCTGGGTTAGTAGAGTCTGTAACCTGAAGCGCCTGTAACCCGAGGTACCACTGTATATGTCCTGAAAATCCCAGCATTCAACTTCATGAGATGGCCGTGAGCTCTGTGGCCCAGCTGTCATTCTGTATTCTACAAAGGACACACTCTGAATCGACTTGTGTTTTCATGGACTGGGGAAGAGGCTCATTAAATAAATAGGTGTGAAATCTCACGCTTGGCAGGCGACATTAAGACAAGCACCGTATGACACCGTGCAGACTGCATTTAGGAAGCATCTCTCCCTGTGTGGCAAGGGCCCTGCCGCTTACGGCGACTGCCTTTGCTCTCTGCCACGCCGCCACTGCAGAGGACTCTGGGAATTGTATGCAAATAGACATGTGGCAGGCGCACTTGGCAACCCATGAAAGGATGCTGTTAAATTGGAGGCGCTGAGCTGGCCAAAGTCTTTATGGTCACTGCATTCCAGCCTGGTCTGACTCTCTCCCCCTCCCCCCATCTGCCTGTCCAGCTGTTCCTCCCCCATTAATGCAAGCCATGCCGACAGGTCAAGCCACAGTCCCCGACTGACCCATTTATTTATTTTTAAATATATGGGTAAAGCGCTCCCCATTTGCATATATGCAAATGATGCTCTGCTGCCTTCAAAGCAAGCTGCCGTGCCGTGCAGCTAAATGAACATGAGAAGAGCCCAGCTGGAAGCATCCAAATCTGTGACTCACAATGGCCAACAAGCAAGGCCTCTGCTGTGGCTAATGCAAAACCACAGTTGCTGCGTTGGAGTCACTGGGGTTGGAAGCCCCCAAGAGCCCAAATTCTTCCATGCATTTGTCCCATCCTCTTTTGGCATGCCCTCCAACATTTATCCAATGAAACAGGGATGTCCTAAGGAAAAGCGTTTTCCTTTTGCATTGGCAAGCTTAAGGACTAGAAACTTTACTTAAAATAAAAATAATTCATCTGTCGGAAGTCTGCATCCAGTATTATTCATACCCTCAAGCATTTCTCTGATGAAAACAGGGACACCCTATTCCATAACAATAATGATAATAATTGTATTATTTATACCCCCCATCTGACGCGGGTGGTGCTGTGGGTTAAACCACAGAGCCTAGGACTTGCCGATCAGAAGGTCAGCGGTTCGAATCCCCGCAACGGGGTGAGCTCCCGTTGCTGGGTCCCTGCTCCTGCCAACCTAGCAGTTCAAAAGCACATCAAAGTGCAAGTAGATAAATAGGTACCACTCTGGCGGGAAGGTAAACGGCGTTTCCGTGCGCTGCTCTGGTTCGCCAGAAGCGGCTTAGTCATGCTGGCCACATGACCCGGAAGCTGTACGCCGGCTCCCTCGGCCAATAAAGCGAGATGAGTGTCGCAACCCCAGAGTCGGCCACGACTGGACCTAATGGTCAGGGGTCCCTTTACCTTTACCTTTATCTGACTGGGTTGCCCCTGACACTCTAGAAAGCTTCCAACAGATGTAAGAACATAATAAAAGATTAAGCATTTAAAAACTTCCCTATATAGGGCTGCCTTCAGATGTCTTCTAAAGGTTGCACAGTTACTTATCTCCTTGGCTCAGGGGGTTGCATAATTCCATACCGTCCAACATTTCTCCAATGAAATAGGGACATCCTAAGGAAAAGTGGGACATTATAGGATCAAATCAGAAACCGGGACGGCTTCTGTAAATCTAGGACTGTCCCTGGAAAATAGGGGGCTGGGATCCATCACTGCCCTATTGTGAGAGCAAGTTGCTTGGTCTAACCATGCATTGTGTGAAGGAGAAGTTTCCTTTCAGCCAACATGTTCTCCACGGACTACTTAAGGACATCTGCAATGGTTGATAACACCACCTCTTGTACGGCACCACGTTCCATAAGTTCATAAATCCAAAAATTCTGTAAGCCAGTATTTTGTTCTAATGATGGCCAAGCCTGCAAGCAGACCCTGAGTGCATCACTACATCTGGGTAGCTCAGCTGGTTAGAGTGTGGTGCTGATAACACCAAGACTGAAGGTTCGATCCCCTTATGGGAGAGCTGAATTTCTTGGTGTTATGTACTGAGCTGAATCCTAGAACAATAGGATCCAGAATGCAGCAGTCTGATTGGTCTGCAGGAGCCACCCAATCCAGGTCCAGGTAGAAGTGAATCAGTGGCCAGATTGGCTGCTCCAGCAGGCCAATCAGGCTTCTGGAGGTGGTGAATCAGCAACCTGATTGGCCTGAAGGAGCAGCCAATCAGGCTTCTGGAGGAGGTGAGTCCGCAACCTGATTGGCCTACAGGAGCAGCCCGGAATTAGCCAATCACACTATTGTGTAAATAATGTATATACAGTGGTACCCCGGGTTACATACGCTTCAGCTTACAGACTCCGCTAACCCAGAAATAGTACCTCAGGTTAAGAACTTTGCTTCAGGATGAGAACAGAAATCGTGTGGCGGCAGCAGCGGGAGGCCCCATTAGCTAAAGTGGTGCTTCAGGTTAAGAACAGTTTCAGGTTAAGAACGGACCTCTGGAACGAATTAAGTATGTAACCAGAGGTACCACTGTATAGCTAGACGTTTTGGGGAAAGTTTCATTCTTTGCTACTATGAGCTGAATAAAGAGCATGAAATTCACACTCGACTCCGAGTATATTTCACTTGTGTTGCAGGGGTTTGGACTTTAGATGATCCTCCAGGTCCTTTCCAACTCTACGGTTCTATGATTCTATCTGGCAGGAGTGAATCCTGTAGTTTAATGATGCACCTTGTGAAGAAGAACTTTTTCCGTTCTCTGTGGCTGCTGTCACCGTATCCTAGAGGTGGCCTGATAATTATAACACTAATTCCCAGTCCTGTAGTGCATGTAGTCCTTTGCCAGCAGCTGTACAGGACATCTTTTCTATGAGTGAATGAAGACCTTATTCTGCCCTCACCTCCAGCCCCCAAAAAGAGTGGTTTTATTTTGATCGCATTATGTATGATCGCACAACATAAGAAGAGCCCTGCTGGATCAGCGCAAAGGAGTCTTGTCTTGTCCAGCATCAGATCCCAACCAGATCCCCTCTTAGCAGGACCTGAGTGCAAGAGCAAAACTCTCCCCACTTACATTTCCCAGGGACTAGAATTTGGATGTAAACTGTCCCTGAGTATTGAGAGTCCACCTATTTAATGTTGCTGAAACCTAACAGCATAAGTAGAGTCCTGCAGCTATATCCATACCCTCCAACATTTCTCCCATGAAAATAAGGATGACCAGTTTAATGTTTCTAGAAGAGGAGGTGCAGGAACAATAACACCTCCCTTGTTCTCTTATGGCAATGGCACCTATCTGAGAGGTGCCGGAACTGGGTTCTGGCTGGAAAAATGAAACCTTGGGGACATCCTATTCCATATCCTCCAACATTTCTCTGATGAAAATGGAGACATCCCCTCCAATATTTTGCCGATGAAAATAGGAATGTCCTAAGGTCAAGCTATGGTTTTCCCAGTAGTGATGTATGCAAGTGAGAGCTGGACCATAAAGAAGGCTGATTGCCGAAGAATTGATGCTTTTGAATTATGGTGCTGGAGGAGACTCTTGAGAGTCCCATGGACTGCAAGAAGATCAAACCTCTCCATTCTGAAGGAAATCAGCCCTGAGTGCTCACTGGAAGGACAGATCCTGAAGCTGAGACTCCAATACTTTGGCCACCTCATGAGAAGAGAAGACTCCCTGGAAAAGACCCTGATGTTGGGAAAGATGGAGGGCACAAGGAGAAGGGGACAACAGAGGACGAGATGGTTGGACAGTGATCTCGAAGCTACGAACATGAGTTTGACCAAGCTGCAGGAGGCAGTGGAAGACAGGAGTGCCTGGCATGCTCTGGTCCATGGGGTCATGAAGAGCGACTAAACGACTAAACAACAACAAGGTCAAGCTGGGTGTTGGGGTCGGGAGTCCCATCTGGTGAAGCACTCTGTTCTCACTGTGGTCAACCAGATGCTGGTGGCAGCCATTTAGAGATCCTTTTAGAGCAGTGTTTTTGTGTTGATCCTTGTGCTCATCAATCAAGCCCCGTATGAAAAGTATCTAGAGCGCACAGAATCGACTCACAGTGGCTTTGTTATCTATCTCGCGCAGGGAGGCGGGGATGAAAGATGAACATCTAATGAAAGCTCCGGGAAAACTCTGCATGCGCTCCTTAATTCTGGTTTGATAAGGAGGAGTGGGAGACGGCACGGATCGGAATTGTGAGGCTCTAAAAGGCATTGAGGCATCCCATTCATCACATTTTGGCATCTTCTCCAGCCTCAGAACTCCCACTGGCTCAGAGGAGGATGGAGGGGCAGCGGCAAGGCGTTCCCTGGTAAGCTATGGGATCATATCCAACTAATTTCATCCGTAGTAGTCCCATTGGGTGCAATGGGTCCAAGTGTCCGTGGCAAAAAGAAGAAGAAGAATGCTATTCTAGGCTGCATCCACAGAAGTCTAGTGTCCCCATCAAGGGAAATAATAGTACCACTCTATTCTGCCTTGGCCAGATCACACCTGGAATACTGTGTCCAGTTCTGGGCATCACAATTTAAGGACGATGTTGACAAGCTGGAAGGTTTGCAGGAGAGGGCAACCAAGATGATCAAGGGTCTGGGAACCAAGCCTTATGAGAGAGAGTTGAGGGAGTTGAGTATGTTTAACTAGGATAAGAGGTGTCAGGTGTGCGTGCAGGAGCCAGGCCCTGTGACCAATAGGACTTTGCAGGACTGGGGCCTTCCTAAGTTTGTTCTGAAGAGGCAAGGCATGGCCACACAGGTGAGGCCGATTGGTAACTCACAGCACCTGCTGACAAGAGCTGGGAAGGGATATAAGGTCAGCATTTTCCCTTCAGCTCTTTGCCACCGCAACACGTTCCCTGCCTTGCTGCGTTTGACTCCTTGACTCCTTGCTTCTTGATCTTCAGACCCTTGACTTTGTGACTCCTTGCTCCTTGGACCCTTGACTTCGTGACTCTTTGCTTCGTGATCCTCGGACCCCTGACTTTGTGACTCCCGGCTTTCTGACCCTCACACTCTTGGCTTTCTGACTCCTGGCTTCTGGACTCCTGTTCCTGCTCCTACCCCACCATCTTGCCCCCAGACCCGACGTTCCCAGCCGGGACTTTGATCACCCGTGAACCAGACTGTGACAAGAGGAGACTGAGAGGTTCTATGGGGGCCTTCAAATATCTGAAGAGCTGTCACATGGAAGATGGAATGAGCATGTTTTCTCCTGCTCCAGAGGGTAGGATCTGAAAGGAAGAAGATTCCAACTAAACTTTTCTGGTGGTAAGAGCTGTTAGACAGTGGAACGGACAACCTCAGATGGTGGTGTTTTTCATTGGAGGTTTTTAAACATGTTGAATGGCCATTTGTCAGGTATTATTCAGCTGCAGTTTCGAGACCTTTGAATGATCATCTTGGTTGCCCTCCTTTGCACATATTCCAGCTTATCAATATCCTTCTTCAACTGTGGTTTCCAAGAACTGGACACTGCAGGAGAGGCCTGACCAAGAAAACAAGCTTGCTCCATCTTGCATGTGACTGCCCTTTGGATATTGGAAGATCTTCTCCAGGCTAAGCATCATTTGTGGGGGGCCCTCTAAGGGTACCGGTTAGGTGGGAGTCAACATCAGCCTTGGTGCAGCTTCAAAGCATCTCAGTTCCATCCCTCCTCTCAAAAAAACCAAAACCAATGTCATCTCCACCGAATGGCAATCAGTCTGGCCTCCCTCACTAGACCACCACACAGAATCATAGAAGTACAGAGCTGGAAAGAGACCTCACGAGTCATCTAGTCCACCCCCTTGCAACTCAGGAATCACAAACCTGCAGACAACAAAGGAGGCAGGTAGCTGCCCACTTGGCAATTTCTACCCTTTCCTTCTTTTTGAGGGTTTCTTTGTGCCTGTGCTTGCGTTCTGTTTTTGCAACTGGAAAGCCTCCACGCCACCTAGCAGATTTAATCAAGAGACTTAATTTGCGTGCCGCTCTCTGATTGCCTAACCTACGCCCAGGCTGTTCGTTTGGGTATGCGCTCCCTTCGCAATACACATGTAACTCATTCCTGCTAATTATATAAACACCCCGGCTCTGCAATCTGCAAAAATTAGATGCTGCTGTTTAGCAGGGTACAGAGAGTGCTTTTTTTTTTTTTTTTAATCCTCTCCGCTTTTGCCAATTCAACATGCTGGGAGGTGAAGTTCTCCATTTCAGTGTTTTTGCTGCTATGCACACACACACACACACACACACACACACACACACACAGAACGGATGACTCTCTCGCTGGGAATGGTTAGGGGCTGACTTCAGACCTTCCCCTTCAAAATCACAGGAGACTCACTTCTCTCCCTCTCCCTTAAGCACCCTCTCTCGCTCTGTCTCTCTCCTCCCCACCCCCCTCTTCCTCTCCTAAGTTCTGAGGAGAGTTTAGAACAGGGGTAGGCAAGGATGCGGCCCAATCGCCTTCTCAATCCAGCCCACGGACAGTCCGGGAATCAGCGTGTTTTTACATGAGTAGAATGTGCCCTTTTATTTAAAATGCATCTCTTGGTTATTTGTGGGGCCTGCCTGGTGTTTTTACATGAGCAGAATGTGTGCTTTTATTTAAAATGCAACTCTGGGTTATTTGTGGGGCACAGGAATTTGTTCATTCCCCCCCCCCAAAAAAAATAGTCTGGCCCACCACATGGTCTGAGGGACAGTGGACCAGCCCACGGCTGAAAAAGGTTGCTGACCCCTGGTTTAGAGCATCCTTAAAGGTAAAGGGACCCCTGACCATTAGGTCCAGTCGTGACCGACTCTGGGGTTGCGGTGCTCATCTCGCTTTACTGACCAAGGGAGCTGGCGTACAGCTTCCGGGTCATGTGGCCAGCATGACTAAGCTGCTTCTGACAAACCAGAGCAGTGCACAGAAACACCGTTTACCTTCCTGCCAGAACGGTACCTATTGATCTACTTGCACTTGACGTGCTTACGAACTGCTAGGTTGGCAGGAGCAGGGACCGAGCAATGGGAGCTCACCCCGTCATGGGGATTCGAACAGCCAACCTTCTGATCGGCAAGTCCTAGGCTCTGTGGTTTAACCCACAGTGCCACCCCCATGACCAATCAGGTGTTCAGGAGAAAACTGAGTCTGGTGTCACAAGTAGCACAGAGAATAGGATCCCTACGAAGACACACTGCTGTGCAAATGCATCAAAAGATATGCAAGAAGCTGCCCCATGCTGAATCAGGCCATCAGTCCATCTAGTTATTATCATAGAATTGTGGAGTTGGTCAAGGGGACACCTGAGGGTCATCTAGCCCAACCCCCGGCAATCCAGGAATCTCAGCTACAGCATCCCTGACAGATGGCCATCCAACCTCTGCTTGTAAACCTCCACAACCTCCCGAGGGAGACAGTTCCCACTGTCAAACAGCTCTTTCTGTCAGACAGTTTCCCCCCGATGTTTAGTCAGAATCTCCTTCCTTGGAGCCTGGAGCCACAGGTTCAAGTCCTACCTTAGAGAGCAGGAGTAAACAAGAGGGAGGTTAAGCTGAAAGGCAGTGACTGGCCCCAACGTCGCCCAGTGAGCTTCACGGCCAAGTGGGGATTTTCAACCCTTGTTTCCCAGGTCCTAGTCCAGTGCTCTAACCACTATGCCAGAATGCCTCTCTTCTCCCACTACCCCATTTTGTTACTGTTGCTGTTTAAAAAAGCATCTTCCGCAAGAATCCCACCCAACAACACAGAATCGACCACGGAGTCACGGAAGCAAAGAAGGCCGTGTCAGGAAAGGTGCAGGGAGACTAAGTGAATGCTTTTGCTCCAGCTGATGAATTTTTAGGAAATCCAATTATCACAGCATTTTGACGGGATCCATCTCATTTGGTAGTATTGATCCTCCCTTTCCCCCTCTCAATATTGTTATATTTTAATGCCTGGGCCTTGGAATCGATTTTGCAGAGCAGCTGCAGAAGACAAAATGGCCTTTATTTTTATTTTATTTTTAATTTTTTAAAAAAAGCTAACTCGCGGAAGTGCGCACAAGCTAACCTCCAAGGGAGAAAATCTATCCTGTTAAACGTGGGTTAATTAACAAGGAGGAAGAACTCAGAAAGGACTGATCAGAGCTATCATTTCAAACCAACAATGTTGTCCCAGCGCACACACAGGGAAAGAATGCACAGCTCAGGGGTAGAGCATCTGCCTGGCATGCAGAAGGCCCGATTTCAATCCTGAAACCCAGGACAGTCTCTGCCAGTCAGTGTAGGCATTACTGAGCTGTGTGGATCAAGGGGCCGACTCCACAGAAAGCGACTTCCTACTTAAGGAGAAATTCCAGTGCAAATCTACATAATTCACACTTCCTGGAAGAACAGCAAAAAATGGCACAGGGATCAAATGCAGCTCTCTTTTTGGCTCCCAGAAGTCTCTCCGGGTCACATGTTCTTTGAGTATTGCTGCAAAGCTGGAAAGTGTCTAAGACTGGGCAATATCTGGTTTTCAGCATCATGATATACAGTGGTACCTCTAGATGCGAACGGGATCCGTTCTGGAGCCCCGTTTGCATCTAGAAGCAAACGTAACCAGTGACGGCACGTCTGCGCACGCATGCGTCGCTTTTTACTGCTTCTGCACATGCGCATGACGTCATTTAGAGTGTCTGTGCATGCACAAGCGGCGAAACCCGGAAGTAAGGCACTCCATTACTTCTGGGTTGCCGTGGAGCGCAACTCAAACGCGCTCATCCTGAAGCATATTCAACCCGAGGTATGACTGTATCCAGAGCCAGATTTACGTATAAGCTAAACAAGCTATAACTTAGGGCCCCAAGTGGGCCCCCCAAAAAAATTTAAAGGAAAAAACCAACTGGATGTACATTTCCAAAATATGAGTTCAACAATTACTTTGATGAAATACATATTTTGATATGTGCAAATGGCTTTAGATACTGATTAGGTCCATAAATTACCATGTAGGATATATTCAGCACAACAAAACAGCAATAATTTGTTGTTGACAAAAGACAGCTGGACATATAAAGGGCCCCTTTACCTTCAGTAGTGTAGGGCCTCATCAAATCTAAATCTGGCCCTGGATGTATCAACAGCTAAACAGCACAATATACCAATACGTCATGATGTCTGAAAGAAGGATGGAGTTATGGAGAGGCATCGAATGGCTTCACGGTTTTTCATGGCATTGTGTGTGTGTGTGTGTGTGCTATGCAAAAATCACATCATGATTCGCAATATATTGCCAGGTCAAAAATTATGAAATAGATATCACAATATGGACTTCAAAGCAGTTTTGGATGATATATCAATATATCGCCCAGCCCTAAATGTATCCTTGAACTGTGACAACGCTGCCTGCTTGACTGGGTGGGGATGGGAATGGAGAAGTATACAGTGTGTCTACATGGGTGCAGAATGCAACCTGTAGCACAAAGTTAACAGTCGCATCTGTTGCACTGGGACCCACCCACCATGTCTATGGGGCCCTCAGGAAGTTGCCCGTAGCCAGCCCTCTGGCTCAGAGAAGGTTCCCCGTCCCTGCCACGCATGACCTGCAAACACATCTTTCCTTTCAAATTCACCCTCCTCTGAGTTTTGCAAGGCAATTTCCCAAGCAAAAAGACATTGCATTTGGGGAAATCGCTTGCAAAAGTGTGCATGTGTGCGCAGCCGAATTACGTACCTAAGCATATTAGAAAAACATGCACAGAACTTTTGAGACATCTGGCGCTATAGAAACTTTGCAAACCAATGTGGAAAGTGGGGGATAGGGAGTGAGCTTATGATTGAGACAATGGGGACCTAACGCTGATAGATTCCTTGACTCATTCATTCCATTGATTTCTCAGCTCAAGCCGGCATTTATATAGTTCTATACCTTCCTCAGGGTTAAACCACAGAGCTTACGACTTGCCGATCAGAAGTTTGGCGGTTCGAATCCCCGCGACGGGGTGAGCTCCCGTCGCTCGGTCCCTGCTCCTGCCAACCTAGCAGTTCGTAAGCACGTCAAGTGCAAGTAGATCAATAGGTACCGTTCTGGCAGGAAGGTAAACGGTGTTTCTGTGCACTGCTCTGGTTTGTCAGAAGCAGCTTAGTCATGCTGGCCACATGACCCGGAAGCTGTACGCCGGCTCCCTTGGTCAGTAAAGCGAGATGAGCGCCGCAACCCCAGAGTCGGTCACGACTGGACCTAATGGTCAGGGGTCCCTTTACCTTTACAACCTTCCTCATTTAATCACCACAGCCACCCTGCAAGGTAGGTTAGGCCAAGAGGCTGTGACTGGCCCCAAAAGTCATCCAGTGAGTTTTATGGCCAAGTGAGAGATTTCAGCCCTGGTCTCCCAGGTCCTAGGTCCAACCCTCTAACCACTAGGCAACACTGCCTCTGTCCCGACACGCACAGGCACACACTTGAAGCCAATCTTTTTTAAAAAAAAAATCTATGCAATATTCATCTATCTAAAAATGGAAACATGTCTCAGACACTCATTTGCATAAAGCTGGGGGAAGGTGTCAGCTGTCCAACCCTTTGCCAAAGATAAAAGGAGACGTAGTTTATTAAACTTGGAAATTTCTCAGTCACAAGCGCCAGCTGGTGTTGCTAGCCAGAGCGATCGCAGGAAAGAGACAAACCATCTCCCCCACAACCCCAGCATCTGGTAAAGGAGGGACTAGTACAGATTGGGGCCTCTCTGACTCCCCCCCCCTTCAAAATAAACCCTCAATCTTTCCATCTAGTTGCAATGTGCAGACATTGTGTGTTCTTGCTAAGGCAGGCAATACAGAACAACTGGTCCTCAATGGGGTAACTATGCCCCTGAAGGACCAGGTGCACAGCCTGGGAGTCAATTTGGACTCACAGCTGTCCATGGAGGCGCAGGTCAATTCTTTGTCCAGGGCAGCTGTTTACCAGCTCCATTTGGTACATAGGCTGAGACCCTATATGCCTGTGGACTGTCTCACCAGAGTGGTGCATGCTCTGGTTATATCCCACTTGGACTACTGCAATGCGCTCTACGTGGGGCTACCTTTGAAGGTGACCCAGAAACTACAACTAATCCAGAACTCGGCAGCTAGACTGGTGACGGCCGCCGAGACCACATAACACCGGTCTTGAAAGACCTACATTGGCTCCCAGTATGTTTCCGAGCACAATTCAGAGTGTTGGTGCTAAAGCCCTAAACGGCCTTGGCAGGAAGCAGCAGTGGCATAGCATGGGTTGTCAGCACCCGGGGCAAGGCAAGTAATTTGCGCCCCCTAACCTGTGGATTTGCGCCCCTAACCCTAACCCCCAGATGTTGCGCCCGGTGCGGCCGGCCCCCCCCTGCACCCCCCACGCTACGCCACTGGGAAGCAGATACCTAAAGGAGCATCTCCACCCCCATCCTCCTACCCAGACACTGAGGTCCAGCACCGAGGGCCTTTTGGCGGTTCCCTCACTGCGAGAAGCAAAGCTACAGGGAATCAGGCAGAGGGCCTTCTCGGTAGTGGCACCCTCCCTGTGGAACGCCCTCCAAGCAGATGTCAAAGAGAACAACAACTACCAGACTTTTTGAAGACATCTAAAGGCAGCCCAGTTTAGGGAAGCTTTTAATGTTTGATGTATTACAGTATTTTAATATTTTGTTGGAAGCCTACCAGAGTGGCTGGGGAAGCCCAGCCAGATAGGTGGGGTATAAATAATAAATTATTATTATTACTATGATTTTACCCTGAGTAGGACTAGCATTCAAAGAAGCCCACGACAGGGCATAATATTTTCCCTCCATCCACTTTTTCCATACCAGGCATAATCAAACACACCTTTCTTGTTACCCAGTTTTCTTTCTAGGCTAAAACGACACCATTTTTTAAACCTACTGTCACCGTTCTTCCACTTATTTCACCTGCACCCAATTCCTCTCCCTTCTCATCGCTTTGAAGTTGACCTCCAATGCACACTTTTGCTAATTTGAAGCCCCTTTACCCTCTCTTCCCCATCTGCAACCTCCCTGAACCGATCTGCTCCCAGCGATTAGTAATCTCTTTGCTTTCTCCGTAATGCTGGGCCTGCTAATAAGATTAAAACGTATCTCCCTATTACAGCACCGATCCATAATGCTGATTTACCGTTACTTCTCAGCCGCTATGGAAACAGATGAGAAGCCCCGTTACCTTAATCCTCATCTGAGCCACTGAGGGATAGCAGCTAATTAATACCTTTCTGTCTCCCGGTTTCGCCGAGATATGAAGGCCTATCAAATATTCATCAGGAACTCACCCACCCATCTCTCCAGACAATCCCTTGACTCTTTGCCCTGCTCTGCTACCGATAATCTCCAGAAACGGTGAAGGTTTTCTTCCTTCCCACTCTCATAACGCTAGAACTCACAGGCGTCCCAAGAAGCTGGAGTTTGGAAGATACAGGGCAGATAGAAGGAAGAACTTCTGGACACAGATCAGGCTTAGACTGTGGAACTGCCCTCCACATTGCGAGGAAACACAGAGCTCAAGAACGTCAGAAGATCAAGCCATTAGTCCATCCAGTTTAGCCTCCTGTTGTCTCGGGGGCAGATATTCCAATGGGAAGCCCAAAAGCAGGGCTTACACACTTGCCTTCCAATATTTCTCCAATGAAAATAGGGACATCCTATTCAACAACAACAACAACATTTATAACCTGCCCATCTGACTGGGTTGCCACAGCCACTCTGGGCAGCTTCCAACATATATAAGGTAAAGGGACCCCTGACCATTAGGTCCAGTCGTGGCCGACTCTGGGGTTGCGGCACTCATCTCGCTTTATTGGCTGAGGGAGACGGCGTACAGCTTCTGGGTCATGTGGCCAGCATGACTAAGCCGCTTCTGGCGAATCAGAGCAGCACACGGAAACACCATTTACCTTCCCGCCACAGCTGTACCTATTTATCTACTTGCACTTTGACGTTTTTTCGAACTGCCAGGTTGGCAGGATCAGGGACCGAGCAACGGGAGCTCATCCCGTTGCAGGGATTCGAACCGCCGACCTTCTGATCGGCAAGTCCTAGGCTCTGTGGTTTAACCCAAAGCGCCACCCGCGTCCCTTCCAACATATATAAAAATATAATAAAACATTAAACAAAAACCTTCCCTAGACAGGGCTGCCTTCAGACAGCTCAGGGGTCGGATAACTGAGGTTTCCCAACAGCTACGATTCCAGAACCAATTCCTACCTCTGACCATGGAGGCAGAGGGTGGTCATTGTGGTTAGTAGCCCTTGATAGCCCCCCTCCTCCATGAATTTGTCCAATCTGCTTTTGAAGCTGTCCAAGTGGTGGCCATCACTGTGGAAGGGAGTTCCACAGTTCAACTACATGCTTGCCTTTCTTTTATCTGTACCAAATCTTCCAGCAAATGACAGTCTAAGACACCTGCCTTTTTCCAGTCCTAGATGAGGCAGGGGAGGGAGAAAGGGGGCAGTTTCTCAATGGGTAGAGCATGAAACTCTTAATTTACCTCATATTTATGGGACCGCCTCTCCTGGTATGCCCTGCAGAGGACCTTAAGGTCCATGAATAATCATAGTTTAGAGGTCCCAGGCCCTGAGAAAGTCAGATTATCCTCCACCAGGGCCAGGGCCTTCTCAGTGATGGCTCCGACCTGGTGGAATGCTCTGTCCCATGAGACCAGGGCCCTGCAGGATTTAACTTCCTTCTGCAGGGCCTGTAAGACAGAGCTATTCCGCCTAGCTTTCCATTTGAACTTAGCCTGATCTTTTATTCCCCTTCCTTCCTTCCTTCCCCTTTTTATGAAGATTACCCACTCTGGGATCTCACAGCTAATTCTCCCCTGGTCTCCTCACTGGCCCAAATAGGACTAATTTAGCCAGCTAGCCCTGGTGATCACCTAATGTTTATTGGATGGATTTCCCCCCTAAATTGATTTTTGAATTTTGAATTTATTGTTATTCACTTTTTATACTGTATTTTATGCTGTTTTTTGTTGCATCAATTAAGTGTTTTAAATTTGTTGTTAGCCGCCCTGAGCCTGGTTTTCTGAACCGGGAAGGGTGGGGTATAAATAAAAAATTATTTTTATTATTATTAATCTCAAGGTTGTGGGTTTGAGTTCCACGTTGGGCAAAAGATTCCTGCATTGCAGGAGGGTGGACTGGATGAGACCCGTGGTCCCTTCTAGCTCTGCAGTCCTACGAGTCGATGATTCCGAACCACTCTTTGCTCATGTGCAGACACACTAGTGGAGGCTCACAGCTGGCACTCTGCACATGCTCAGGGGCTCGGTTTCACTTCAGAGGGAACCAGGGCCGACACTACCACCAACGAACACTTGGGGAGAATCCAGCCCTAGGGTTGGGAGGAGGGGAGCGGAAGGCAAACAGCCCATCTGATGAATGTGGCAGGAGAGGCGCTGACACACTGCTTTTAATGAAACATAATGAAGCGTGGCATCGTAAAATATTTCCTTTAATTCAGTGCTCCCGTGAGGAAGTGGGAATAGCAGCTCAGTAATGGGTTCGGCCGTTTGGCTGGGAGAGATGGAAAGCCTTGTTTGCTAAAACAGGGATTTTATGTTTCCCTTTTAAAAAAGAAAGAAAAGGCGAAGGTGCCTAAACAGATCCGTAGGGGGCAGTAAGGGAAGCGCTGCAGCTCGGTGGAAGAGCATGCACCTCCAATCCCCGCTGGCAGCATCTCCAGGTAGGGCTGGGAGAGGTTCCCTGCCTGAGCCCTTGCTGCCAGTCCGTGTAGACAGCACTGAGCTAGGCAGACCGGCAGGTGCAAATCTCTATGCAGAAACTTCCTGGGCCTTAAAGCAAGGGATGTAGCTCAGTGTCAGGGCACCTGCTCTGAACGCAGAAGGCCCCAGGTTCAAGCCAGTGCTCTGACCCACTGTAAGGCAGCTTCCTAGTTATGTCAGGTCCTCTATGAGGACTAGAATACTGCTACATCTTCAGCAGAAGGTCAGAAGTGAAGCATGCACAACATCACAGGTTCAATCTCCAATGGCGTATCCAGCTAGCGCTGAGAGAGACTCTCTTTCTGAAACCCTGGACAGCTGCTGCCAGCCAGTGGAGGCAATATTGAACTAGATGGATCAAGTGTCTAATTTGGTAAAGGCAGGTTTTTGCTGAAATCAGTGCTGTGAGGACTAGAATCTTACTTTGCTTTTGGGGGAAGGAGCAGCTTGCAACATAATAATAATAATAATAATAATAATAATAATAGGGGAAAAAATGGAATACTTTATTGTCACTTGTACAACTTGTATAGGACTCAGGTGGCGCTGTGGGTTAAACCGCAGAGCTTAGGACTTGCTGATCAGAAGGTTGGCGGTTCGAATCCCCGCGACGGGGTGAGCTCCCGTTGCTCGGTCCCTGCTCTTGCCAACCTAGCAGTTTGAAAGCACGTCAAAGTGCAAGTAGATAAATAGGTACCACTCCAGCGGGAAGGTAAACGGTGTTTCCGTGCGCTGCTCTGGTTCGCCAGAAGCGGCTTAGTCATGCTGGCCACATGACCTGGAAACTGTACGCCGGCTCCCTCGGCCAAGAAAGCAAGATGAGCGCCGCAACCCCAGAGTCGTCCGCGACTGGACCTAATGCCCCTGCTCCACCCTCATTATTCATCCTCTCCTCGGACCTCTTAGATTTCAGCAGACACTCCCAAGCCTCTCTTTGCATTTGCAAGCTTAAGGCCTTGAAACTTTATTTCAAATTAAAAAATTAAAATAATTCATCAGTCGGAACTCTGCATCCAGCCTGCTCATACACTCAAGCATTTCTCCAATGAAAACAGGGGCATCCTATTCCATAATATTAATGATAATAATTGTATTATTTATACCCCGCCCATGTGACTGGGTTGCCCCAGCCACTATAGGCAGCTTCCAACAGATGTAAAAACATAATAAAAGATTAAGCATTTAAAAACTTCCCTATATAGGGCTGCCTTCAAATGTCTTCTAAAGGTTGCATAGTTACTTATCTCCTGGGCTCAGGGGTTGCGTAATTCCATACCCTCCAACATTTCTCCAATGAAATAGGGACATCCTAAGGAAAAGTGGAGGACGTGGGTGGCACTGTGGGTTAAACCACAGAGCCTAGGACTTGCCGACCAGAAGGTTGGCGGTTCGAATCCCCATGATGGGGTGAGGTCCCATTGCTCAGTCCCTGCTCCTGCCAACCTAGCAGTCCAAAAGCATGTCAAAATGCAAGTAGATAAATAGGTACCACTACGGCGGGAAGGTAAACGGCATTTCTGGTTTGCCAGAAGCAGCTTAGTTATGCTGGCCACATGACCCGGAAGTTGTCTGCGGACAAACGCCGGCTCCCTCGGCCAATAAAGCGAGATTAGTACTGCAACCCCAGAGTCGGTCACGACTGGACCTAATGGTCAGGGGTCCCTTTACCTTTACCTAAGGAAAAGTGGGACATTATAGGATCAAATCAGAAACCGGAACGGCGTCTGTAAATCTGGGACTGTCCCAGGAAAATAGGGATACTTGGAGGGTCTGCATTGCTTATGTTGACACCATAATGGAATTGTGAAATATTAATACCCCAATTATAGCCTCCCCCAAACTGGACTTTATTATAGTAATTTTTCTCTAACCAAGCTCCAGTCCCTGCAGTCTTCAAACTCCATTCTACGGAAGGCAATGGTGTAAGCAATTAATATTCCCAGCGTTGAAAAATCCCACCACATTTCGGCTCCATCCTCCACGCCGCGCTAAATATAACCATTAAATGCGCTCCCTCTTTTTTCTTTTTTCAGAGGGAGTTAACATTGTTTAAATAAGCCCTCTAAATGTTTAAAGAGACTGGTTATTTTATTTCGTATTCGATCTCCCCCCCGCCTCCTTCCCCTCTGCAGGAAGCTTTCAGCGCTACGGAAGGAGGGAGGGCAGGCCTGCTTTAGTGGAGAGAGGGCGAGCGAAGAGAAATACAGTTTCCTGCAATAACAACTCCTGCCACCACCATCGCGATTTGCAATAAATCTGGGAGCCGCTTGTAAAAAAAACAACCCACCCCAAAATAACCCTCAGTAACAACAGCATCTTATACCAGGGCCGGGAGATGATGGAAAGAGCTCTCCAGCTCTCCAAAGGCAAAGACTTCCTCCTTCTCATTCGAACACAGACCTGTCACTCGCTTCCCCAAGGAAAACTGATGGACATGGACTAGGATGGCTTAAAAACACACACACAGTTAGACAAATTCATAAGGTGACCATGATGGCTGTGTGCCTTTAAAAGGTAAAGGTAAAGGGACCCCTGACCGTTAGGGCCAGTCGTGGCTGACTCTGGAGTTACGGCACTCATCTCGCTTTATTGGCTGAGGGAGCCGGCGTACAGCTTCCGGGTCATGTGGCCAGCATGACTAAGCCGATTCTGGCGAACCAGAGCAGTGCACAGAAATGCCATTTACCTTCCCGCCGGAGCAGTACCTATTTATCAACTTGCATTTTGATGTGCTTTCGAACCGGTAGGTTGACAGGAGCAGGGACCGAGCAACGGGAGCTCACCCATCGCGGGGATTCGAACCACCGACCTTCTGATCGGCAAGTCCTAGGCTCTGTGGTTTAACCCACAGCACCCTCTATTCTAATTCCGCTTCCTTTTAATGGAAAAATGCGGGATTTGTGTGGCCTTCCAGACGCTGATGAACTACAACTCCCATCTTCCTTGGTCAGTGGGCACGCCAGCTGCTGAGTGTTTCCTGGGAGACCAGAAACATAGTGCCCCATTGCTGTTTTGGCAATTCCCCATGGATTTCCCCCCCACCCCTAAAACAAACCACCAGAACAAAAAAGGAAGAAATGTTTGCGCCCTCCCCATTTTGTCCTTGGCAGCAGAAATTGCAGAGTCCTAATTTGAAAGGTCTCTGCTTTTTGCAATCAATGTGTTTGGGTTTCTGCTAGAACTGAGAGAGGACTTATACGCTCTTTAAACAGCGCTTTGACTGTCATCAATACCACAAAGTTCAGAGATGCATCTCTCTCTCTCTCTCTCTCTCGGGTCTGGAAAGGGTGCGGAAGACTAAAAACCAACTCAAGCCGGTTTGGAGATATTTATAACATTGTATTCCCTTACCAGGAAGTTTTATATCTCTAGCAAGGGAGAGAGAGTGCAAGTGTGCTTCCATTAACACGGCTAAAAAGTATCACTGCAACTACTTTCTTTAATATCTAGGAAATGCAGAGCTGACATTTTTAGGTGGGAGTTATGTTCCCCCTTAAGAGGAAAGCAAGTGATGCTCTAATGATGGTCTATATCAGCCTCTCTCACCCTTGGGTACCATCATCCCTGGCCACTGGCCATGCTGGCCAAGAATCATGAGAGTTGTACTACCAACATCTAGGAACTCAAGGTTGATAAAGACTAGATCATGGGATCTAGTCTTTGCCTTAGGCAAACTAAGGTCTGGGGGCCGGATCCAGCCCCCTGCCTTCTAAATCCGGCCCACGGACAGTCCAGGAATCTGTGTTTTTACATGAGTAGAATGTGTCCTTTTATTTAAAATGCATCTCTGGGTTATTTGTGGGGCATAGGAATTCATTCTCCTCCCCCCCAAATATAGTCCGGCCCCCCACAAGGTCTGAGGGACAGTGGACTGGCCCTTCTGAAAAAGTTTGCTGATGTGTGATGGTTGATTTGCTGCATCAGCAGCGACAGGCTAAAGCAGTGTTTCCCAAACTTTGATCTCCAGCTGCTTTTTGGCTACAACTCCCATCATCCTTAGCTAGCAGGACCAGTGGTCAGGGATGATGGGAACTGTAGTCTAAAAGCAGCTGGAGACCCAAATTTGGGAAACACTGGGCTAAAGGAACCTACCTAATTCCTAATCTGCTGATGGCACACAGTTCTACTTCTCCTTTATATCGGCAGGCAAGGCATTGGATGTGCTGGCCTGTTGTCTTGCCTCAGTATTGGACTGGATGAGAGCCAATAAACTGAGGTTCAATCCAGATTAAGACTGAGGCACTGTTGGTGGGCAGTTCCCTAGACCAGATAGGTGGAAGACTCTCTCTCGAGGGCATTACATTCCCTTTGAAGGAGTGGGTATAAGGATCCATTGCTGTCACCTGAGGCTCAGGTGACATCCGTGGCTCAGAGTGTCTTCCATCAGCTTGGGCTAGTGTCCCAGCTGCACCCCTATCTGGACAGGGATAGCCTAACTTCTAGTTGTCTATCCTCTGGTAACCTCTAGGTTAGATTACTGCAACACATTACACATAGGGCTGCCTCTGAAGACAGTTTGGAAACTTCTGCTGGTGCAGAATTCAGTAGCCCTGCACTGGAACAAAACTGGGAAGCATCTTCCAAGTGTAGCTCATTTTTACTGGTCTTAGGATCCCCAGCGTGTGGGAGTTAAAGCCCTGAGCTGAATTAAACAGGAAAATAGGAAGCTGGCTTGCATGGAGACAGACAATTGGTCTACACTACTTTCTACACTGACTAGCATTGGCTCTGCAGAGTTTCAGGCAGCGATCATTCCCAAGCCTATTGGGGGATGGAATCAGGGACCATCTGCATGCTGAAAAAGGACCCCTGGGTGCTTAAGTCCAGTCAAAGGTGACTATAGGGTTGTGGCGCTCATCTTGCTTTCAGGCCGAGGAAGCCATGTTTGCCCACAGACAGCTTTCCAGGTCATGTGGCCAGCAGGACTAAACTGCTTCTGGGACACCGTGGCGGAATGTCGTTTACCTTCCCGCCACATTGGTACCTATTTATCTGCTTGCACTGGTGTGCTTTTGAACTGCTAGGTTGGCAGGAGCTGGGACAGAGCAATGGGAGCTCACTCTGTCACAGGGATTCGAACCACTGACCTTCTAATCAGCAAGCCCAAGTGGCTCGGTGGTTTAAACCACAATGCCACCCACTTCCCTTAGCATCTGTATGCTAAGCAGATGTTGTGCCACTGAGCTTTGGGGTCATTCACACACACACACACACACACACGAGAGAGAGAGAGAGAGAGAGAGAGAGAGAGAGCTTTGTTTTAATTGAGAAAATGGAAATATTATTGAACGAACACAGAACTGACTCAGAACAGAACTGGGATGATTCCTCCCTCCTCACTGAGCGATAGAATGTAAAGGTGTAGTGGGGGGGGTGAGAGGAGAGAACTTTTCCCTCCAAAGCAAAGTTTTTAAAACCCAAACCTTTCATCTGCCATCATTGGCTTGGCCTTCCACACAGGTTAATTAGTTTATGGGGCCTCCTCCTCCCTGCCAAGGAAAAGCTCTGCTTTGAAATTTCTGCTGTCTTTAAGGAAGCGTTAATTGGAATCTTCACCTCTGCCCTTTCTCCGACAGCCCTGGACTCCCCATCACAGCCAAAATGCAACACTGACCCTCAAGGGGACAGAGCCTTCTGTCTTCAAGGACTGGCCATCCATCCTTACACTGGGTTGCTTGAATAAAACCCACAGAAAGCTTGACTCAAGCACCTCTGCGATCTCGCTGTCTTGAGAGAGAGGTGATATTTGGAGTGTGGGGAGAGCAAATGCTAAACTCGTCATCCCACATTCAAAGGAAGACATCCTCCCACTCTATTCTGCCTCGGTCAGACCACACCTGGAATACTGTGTCCAGTTCTGGGTGCCACAATTTAAGAAGGATGTTGACAAGCTGGAACGTGTGCATAGGAGGGCAACCAAGATGATCAAGGGTCTGGAAACCAAGCCTTATGAGGAACAGTTGAAGGAGCTGGGCATGTTTAGCCTGGAGAAGAAGAGACTGAGAGGCGATATGATAGTCTTCTTCAGATATGTGAAGGGCTGTCACGTGGAAGATGGAATAAACCTGTTTTCTGCTGCTCTGGAGGGTAGGCTTCAAGTTATAAGAAAGGAGATTCCAACTAAACATTAGGAAGAACTTTCTGGGCATAAGTGCTATATGACATGGAATGGACAACCTCAGAAGATGGTGGGTTTCACTAGAGGTTGGATGGCCATCTGTCAAGGATCAGTTAGCTCTTATTCCTGCATTTCAGGAGGAGGACTAAATCGCACTCATGATCCCTTCCAACTCTATAATTCTATGATTCTATTACTTTACCCCTGTCCTTTCATCCCTGTCAGGGAACCCATTCCCATTACTTGTGGGTGGGGAAGATGCTGCAGACCTTTTCTCCTGCCTTTCGTCTTATCAGAATGATTACTGCAGCATCTTCAACCAGCCCACATCCCTTCCCACCAGCTCGTACAGAGCTCTCTCCGAAGCTTCGAGGGACTTCTGCTTCCATATGTTCAACACAGCATTAGGAGCTCATATCAGAAGACACTGAAGGTCCCCCTCCTTCCAGAGCTCCTTTGCCTCAGCTTCAAACTGAGAGAGGGAAGGGGTGGTCCTGGGAGACAAGATTGCTTCCGGCTGAGGAAGTTCCTGCAGATGGCATTTTGTTCCTCTCCCTGGAATAAAACAGGCAGAGTAGCCTTTGGAATCAGCACTGCTTAAGATCAGCATCCCTAGAATGGAGCACATTAGGTTCTCTCTCTCTCTCCCTCTCTCCCTCTCTCCCTCTCTCCCTCTCTCCCTCCCTCCCTCCCTCCCTCCCTCCCTCCTGACACAAATTCCGGTGCCTCATAAAGCACAAGAAATCATGTCCGAGGCCTTGCGAGACCTCAGAACCTGACTTCCAGTGCCATGGGAAGTCAGGTTCTGAGGCCACGAGGTGCATGACATCATGATGTCACGTCACTCGCAGTGGGCACCCATAACCTGTGGCCCAAGTTGGCGCCCCTGGACCCTGAGGGTCATCTAGAGTAGACCAACCCCCTGGAATGCAGGTATCTCAACTAAAGCATCCAAGATAGATGACCATCCAACCTACTGTCAAAGTTCTGCCTGATGTTTAGTTGGAAACTCCTTTCTCGTAACTTGAAGCCCTTGGTTCAAATCCTACCCTCCAGAGAAGGAGAAAACAAGCTTGTTCCTTCTTCCATGTGCAGCCCTTGAGATATTTGAAGATGGCTATCCTATCTCCTCTGAGTCTCCTTTTCTCCAGCCTAAAAATACCCAGCTCCTTCAACCTTTCATTTCCAGACAAAACTGCCATTCAACCTCTGTTTAAAAACCTCTTATGAAGGAGGGTACACCACCATCTGAGGTTGTCCATTCCACCAGAAAGTTCTTCATAAAGTTTAGTTGGAATCTTCTTTCCTTCAGATCCTACCCTCCGGAGCAGGAGAAAACATGCTTGTTCCATCTTCCATGTGATAGCCCTTCAGATATTTGAAGGTGGCCTTCATAGAACCTCTCAGTCTCCTCTTGTCCCAGTTAAACAGACTCAACTGCCTCAACTCTCTCTCATAAGGCTTGGTTGCCAGACCCTTGATCATCTTGGTTGCCCAGCTCTGCACACGTTCCAGCTTCTCGACATCCTTCTCAAATTGTGTTGCCCAGAATTGGACACAGTATTCCAGGTGTGGTCAGACCAAGGCAGAATAGAGAGGGACTATTACCACTATTACCAGCTGCTGGGAATCAAGAATGAGGAGGATGTCAATAAGCTCAAATCCTGTTTGTGGGCTCACACTGAAGCATAGGCTCAACTTTCCATCTAGGCTAGGTGCATAGGAAGCAACTTCAGATGGAGTCAGAGCCCTGATCCATCAAGATCAGTATTGCCTACACTGACTGTCAGAAACTCCAGAGTTTCAGACATGGAGTCCCCCCCAGCCCAACCCGGCGATTCAACCTGGGGCTTTCTGCATGCAAAGCAGGGGTTGTGATACTGAGCTATAATCCTTCCCCTAAACAGAAAAAAGGTCCAAGTCCTTATGGTGCTGAAAGGTCGATTTAGATAGGGACATAATAAACTGGCTTAGGCCAAGTCAAGCCATTGCTCCATCTACTTTAGTATTGCCTATGCTGGCTGGCAGCAATAGCTCTCCAGGCAGGGAGTCTTTTCCCCAGCCCTACCTGGTGATGGGACGCGGGTGGCGCCGTGGGTTAAACCACAGAGCCTAGGACTTGCCGATCAGAAGGTTAGCGGTTCGAATCCCCGCGACGGAGTGAGCTCCCATTCCTCGGTCCCTGCTCCTGCCAACCTAGCAGTTCGAAAGCATGTCAAAGTGCAAGTAGATAAATAGGTAACGCTCCCGCAGGAAGGTAAACGGTGTTTCCGTGCGCCGCTCTGGTTCGCCAGAAGCGGCTTAGTCCTGCTGGCCACATGACCTTGAAGCTGTATGCCGGCTCCCTCAGCCAATAAAGCGAGATGAGCGCCGCAACCCCAGAGTCGGTCACGACTGGACCTAATGGTCAGGGATCCTTTTACCTTTTTACCTGGTGATGCTGGAGGGATTTGAACTCAGGTTCCATGCCACTGAACTATAGCCCTTTCTCATAACAAAAATGCATTATATTCAGTGAAACTGTGCTATAAAAATGTGCATAAGAGGAAAAAAAAAAGAGAATTAATACAGGCTTGAACATATCAGGAGAAATTCGCACTAAAATGCTGGTCACTTTTCTAGAGGGTTTGGGATTGAACATTTTGAGGGGAAAGCTAAATTGACAGCTTCGCCCGTCTCTTGACTGCAAACAGCGATCTGCCAAATCAAGGCCCTGTTGTCGCTACCTTGAATCATCAGGAGTAGAAGTCTCGTCCTCTCAGGCTGGAGGCATGCCGTGAATGACTAGTAGAGGCTAGTGTGGGCAGCAGAGACCCTAAAACATTTTTGTAGACCAGTAACTTCTGAGAGAGACCCTTCCAAGGCTGGAGGAGATCCAAAGAATTCATCTATCTTTTAAGATGCTTATTCTCCTTCCTCAATCTAACACACTCTGCCTCGTGCATGGGACAGCTGACCACGAAGAATGGACAACAGCTCTATGACGCATCCTGGACTGAAGCAACTCGTGGAACTCTGCACATGGATCAGAACACAACACACAGGCAGAGGACATACATCGCTCTGGATTTGGCAGGGCAGCTACACCAGTGGCCAAAATTGTGGAAGGAAAAGTGTATTTCCGAGGTTTGATGGCTCATAATACCTGCTTGGCTCATGCTCATGCTAATTGGCAATATTCAAATGAAGGAAATCTACTGCATATCAACCTAAGCAAGTCGTGCTTCCTGATGGAGTACATGGAACTGGCGGAAATGACTGGCAGAATCCGAGACCAGGGAGAAGAGTTGGTGGAAGAAGATTGGAAGAAATTTAAAGTTTATTTACAGAAACATTGTAAAATTAAGGAATGTTAGAAGGATGTTGGAATGAAATAATGCGGTTTTAGCAGAAATGCTAAAAAGGATTAAGGAAAAATTGATTGCTAAATGGTGAAGGAGGGAAAGTAAAGTTACATTATATTAAGATAGAATAGAGGAAGGACAAAAACTGGAAAAGATGGAAAGGATTTGCTGAAATAGTTAATTGAACTAGAATACAAAAAAGGGAGGTGTGAGGAGGTCAAGGAAATAAGCAAATGAAAGATAAGTTATGGGAAGATTTATTTTATTTTTTTTCTTCTTTTTTTCTTGTTTCTTTTCTTTTTATTATCGTGATGTGATGTTTTGTATTTCTTAAATATGCTGTTTTTTAATTTTTTCTTTTTGTAACCCTTTAAAATTCAATAAATATTACTTTAAAAAAAAAGCAAGTCGTGCTTCCTTTTTTCTGGTTATTTGGCTATAACTTTTGATAGAATACAGATAATTGAACAAACTTGGTTGTATTACATTCTTCATTAAATTATCTTTCTGTTGATATATAATTTTATGACATTACCCAAAAAAGTGGTGTTATGAGCCATCAAACCTCAGAAATACACTTTTCCCAAAAGGTTTCCACAATTTTGCCACTAGTGTATGATTTGGGGTGTGGTTTCAATGCACAGAAATGCAAGATCATATGTAGCAACTGAGTTATTTTACAGACTCAGGGTTGTACCATGAAAGTTGGAGCAAGCTTGTTTTCTGCTGCTCTGGAAGATAGGACCTGAACCAAAGGATTCCAATTACAAGGAAGGAAATTCCTACTATGATCTAGATATGTGTATGTGGATAGCTGGACAGCTAGGCTGAATCTGCCCATATTGTATATAAAAACGCTATGAAAATGCTTTTCCTAAAAAACAACACCATGTTTTAAAATATACATGGAATTTGCCATTCGCTCACCAGTGCCATCTAGTATCACATTTGTATAATGCACTTAAAACACACTTAAAATGTTATATTTGCAGCTGTATAGCTGAGTCCCTAGACAGACAGATAGACATGTGTGCCATTTGGGATGTTTGGTGCAAGCCGAAAAGCAAATGAAAAATATTTTATATGCATACATGTACGAATAGTTTCCTCCTCTCCTGCTCATAACTGCCCTGTGAGGTGGACTTCACTCCCAGGTGGTGATTGTACCCCAGTGACCTCACTGAACTTAATGACGGAACAAGAATTACAATCATGCCCCCCCCAAACCACAGTCAACTCTCTCTTTTTTTATATAAGTTATTTATTAGGATTTTCAGAATATTACAAAACAAAAAAAAGAAAAAAAAAAAGAAAAAATACAAAGTAAAAATGGTTAAAAACAATTCCTTCCATTACTTATCCTTCATTTGCTTAGTTTTCAGGACCTCTTCACACCTCCCTTTTTTGTATTCCAGTTCAATTGTTAGTTCAGCAAATCCCTCCCCTCTTTGTATATCCTAATCATTAATCATAAAATATTGTAATTTTAGATTTTTACCCATTAATAAACCATTTTTTCATATTCCCTTATAACATTTCAGCTAAAGAGCACTTAGTTTCTATCCAACATCATTCTAACATTCATTAATTTTGCAATATTTCTGTAGATAGTCTTTAAACTTTTTCCAATCTTCTTCCATCGACTCTTCTCCCTGGTCTCGGATTCTGCCAGTCACACAGTCAACTCTCTAACCCAGTAGTTGCTGAACTTTTTGGGGGGACCCACCTTGGACCTATAAACTCATTCCCAGTGCCCCCTATCATATAATAAGAGTACTATTCAGAATAGCTGCTTGCACGACCCACTAAGGGATTCAAAAAAGCCACAATTAATTGCACGTTTACTCAAATTCCAGTTAAAACGATCCAATTAATTCAGCAAAATGGATGAACTTGATCCAATGATAGCACACACACACCCCCTGCAAACTCTGGCAGTGATTGACACCTCCAGAACTGCAGTACCGCCCACTTTGGGAACCAGTGCTCTAACCACTATCCACCATGTTGCCTTCCACAGAAGCAGGCTGGAAGGGCCAGATAAGATGCAAAGTAGGTTTTTCCTCATTTCCCCGCATTTTGCTGTCTGCGCTCCAGACAAAGGCTCTCTGATATTTCAAAAGCAACACACGCAGGGGAATGGACACACACACACTCACACTCACACACGACACACACACACGAGAGCAAGAGAGAGAGAGTGCATGTGATTGACAGTTTATTTTAGGAAGGCTGTCAAAGAGGACGAAGGAACAATAATGGCGGGGAGATAACGGAAGTGCCCAGTCATTAGCTGCACACACACACGCGCGCACACACACACACACACACACACACACACTTAAAGGTAGGAGCCATCAGTATAGTAAGAACTTCTGCAGGAAGCTAAGGGCACAGAGGAAGTTTTGGCAGGTGGACAAAAAATATAGGTCTAGGCAGATCCCTTGCAACCTTGCAGTTCCGAGGCTGCCTGTGAGTTGAGATGATTTATGAGCCATGGGGAGGAGAGGATGATGGGAGGAGATTAACCTGTCTCGTCCTCCTTACTTTGAATCAGGGCCTTCCTGGTCCCATCATTCTAGGAACCATCTTGTCCAGAAATGTCCTTTGCAGGTGCTTCTCTCGGGCTCTGGAAGTGTGCTGGTCCCGGGGGCTAACCGAGAGGCGAGGTCCGAGTCCAGTCCGAGGTCGATGGTGCGGTATGGAGGCTGTCCATCAAAGCTGTAGCTGGATCCAAGGTGGGGAGTCGGGTGAGATCAGGAACTCTGGCAGACGAGCAGGACAGGGTGCAGGCAGGAACAGGCTAGCAACAACGTTGCTCCCACAACCTGAGACTGGGGCTAACTGGCTTTTATCTGCCCCAAGGTCCCGGTCCGCAGGTGACTTGCCTCTCCTGGCCTGGAGGCGAGCACTCCTCCTGCAGGAACTTAGTTGCCTCCGCCTCTCTGCCCTGAGCCTCTGCAGCTCAGGAGAGGCTGGAGGGTTACTGGACCCAGAGTACCTGCAGGCAATGGGTCCTCCATCACCTCAGGAGCCAAAGCAGACTCAGCTGGTGCCTGCACCTGAGGATCCAGCACAGGTGAGGACCCTTCAGCCTCAGGCCCCAGCCCCGGCTCAGCTGGATTTGGAGGCAGGGACTCCTGTGCAGGCTGGGATTCCTCAGGTTCAGCCTCTGAGTCCGAATCCCAGGCCATCACAGGAAGCCTCAGGAGGCCTGGCTTCATATCCCCTACTCATCCATGAAGCTGGCTGGGTGTGATCTTAGGCAGTCACTCTCAGTCTAACCTACTCCACAGGGTTGTTGCAGGGATTAAACAGATGGGATGGGGAACAGAAAACGGTGTACACCACCCTCAAACGCCCTGGAGAAAACAGAGTTGTGATGGAGGTAGCTGGGGCAGTGAAGGCAAGTGACGGTCAAAGTGGTGATGAAGGTAGTTCAGGGCACTAATGGTCTAATTCAGGGATGGGGAACATCTGTGGCCCTCCAGATGTTGCTAAGATGAGAACTCCCAGCAGCCCTGGCAGCCAGCACAACCAATGGCCAGGGATCAAGGTGGGGGTCATTCAGAAACATCTGGAGGGCCACTGGTGTTCTTCATCCTTTGCCATCCATCTGCCACCAATGAACATATTCACAGGTCCTGCCTTTGGTAATCTTTCCTAATACGGCACCCTGTGCAAGTCCAGAATTTGGCACCACCCAAATGGATCATCTCAGTCATGGATCTTCTCAATTTTGCACCCCTTCGGCTTGGTGGCCTGTGCCGGGGAACTGCTCACAACACCCTAAATCTGGCATTGCTCTCAACCTCCCATAGGCTTTTCAGGAACCCTGGCATAGTATTCAGTTTTCCCTGCCCAGCCCCTTGGTCCAAATGTTACTCATCATGGTGTCAGATTTGCAGAGACAGAGAAGAAGAGGAAGAGGCGTGTTGAGGCGTAAACTGCTGGAAAGTATATTGCATACCCTACAACATTTCTCTGAGGAAAGAGGGACATCCTCTTCCATAATAATAATTTTATTATTTATACCCTACCTATTTGACTGGGTTGCCCTAGCCACTCTGGGTGGCTTCCAAAAAACATGAAACATTAAAAATATTCACTATACGGGCCTGTCTTCATATGGCTCAGGGGATGGATAACTCTGTATCCTCCAACATTTCTCTGATGAAAATAGGGGCATCCTTCAGCAATTCTCCGCTGAAAATAGGGACATCTTAAGGAAAAGCGGAGGGACGCGGGTGGTGCTGTGGGTTAAACCACAGAGCCTAGGACTTGCTGATCAGAAGGTCGCGGTTCGAATCCCCATGACGGGGTGAGCTCCCATTGCTCGGTCCCTGCTCCTGCCAACCTAGCAGTTTGAAAGCACGTCAAAGTGCAAGTAGAAAAATGGTACCGCTCCGGCGGGAAGGTAAACAGCGTTTCTGTGTGCTGCTCTGGTTCGCTGGTCACATGACCCAGAAGCTGTACACCAGCTCCTTCGGCCAATAAAGCGAGACGAGTGCTGCAACCCCAGAGTCAGTCATGACTGGACCTAATGATTAGGGGTCCCTTTACCTTTAAGGAAAAGTGGGATGTGCTGGGATCTCATCAGAAACTGGGACGGCTTCTGGAAATCTGGAACTGTCCCTGGAAAATAGGGACACTTGGAGGGTCTGATTATCGCGTTTCTCCCAGCTTCTTAATTGCTAGGCATGTAAAGGAAAGAAACTGATCGCGGACACAAAACTGGCTTCCTCTCTCTCCCCACCCAACCTCTAGTTCAGGAAAACAACCACATCATCACTTTGAAAGGAAGAACAAAAGCAAGAGGCGCTTGCGAACTGAGCTAAGGGAGCGTGCAGGGTTTCTGTCGTCCTGCACAAGAGGCCCCCGGGGGCTGCTGCACAGGCACTTCATGAAGGGGAAGAGGAGGAGGACGAGGAGAGAGATGGCACAAAGGGTTCATGCAAGGGAACTCTAAGCATCGCCTCCTTCTGCCAGTGCAATTTCTTCTTGGACGACTGAGCCCACAAGATAGGGTTGTTATTTTTATTTTTTTCAAGGGCCAGGGTGAAACGAGAAGCACCCTCTCAAGTGACGTCCTTTGGAGAGATCAACCACCTCTAGCCTTTTTCACAATGATAAGCCAAAGAGGTTGTTTCTTCGATGGCTTTCGAAAGCTGGTGGCTGCTAGGCACAAGACACACCTCCCTGTGTGATTTGGGGCAGGGCTGGAAAAAATGGCATAAACCAACCTCCACACACACATTTATTTAGCACAGAGCCTAGGACTTGCTGATCAGAAGGTCGGTGGTTTGAATCCCTGCAACAGGGTGCACTGCCATTGCTCTGTCCCAGCTCCTGCCCACCTAGCAGTTTGAAAGCACACCAGTGCAAGTAGATAAATAGGTACCACTGTGGCGGAAAGGTAAACAGTGTTTCTGTGCACTGCTCTGGTTCGCCAGAAGCAGCTTTGTCATGCTGGCCACATGACCCGGAAGCTGTCTGCAGACAAACGCTGGCTCCTTCGGCCAGTAAAGCAAGATGAGCGCTGCAGCCCCAGAGTCGTCCGTGACTGGACCTAACGGTCAGGGGTCCCTTTACCTTTACCTTTACCATGCCATATACTTTTTAAAATTTCATTTATGGGTCACTTCTGATGGAGCATCTCCAAGCCGTTTCACGATACAGTCAAACCTTGGTTCTTGAATGGCTTAGTTGCCGAACAAATCGGCTCCTGAACGCCGCAAACCCAAAAGTCAACGTTCCGGTTTGCAAACTTTTTTTGGAAGCTGAACCTCCGACGCGGCTTCTGCTTGAGTGCCTTGGTTTTTGAATGGTTTCAGGAGTCGAACGGACTCCTGGGATGGATTAAGTTTGAGAACCAAGGCACCACTGTACAACAAAACATGCATTAACAGAATTGCACTATTCATAATGGAATTGCATCCAACCTAAAACCAGTGGTTAGGGTGTTGGCCCAGGGCCTGGAAGATCAGGGTTCAAATCCCAACTAGGCCAAGGGATCAGCCTCAACAAAGGATTCAACAAGAGCCACCTTCTCCACTCCAAACTACCACAACAAGCAGAGTTCAAAAAGGAACAGTTATGAGTAACTGGGGGGAATAGACATATGAGAACACAAGAGGAGCAGAACCCACAAGCAGGAACCAAGCACAAGAGCCCCCTAACTTCTTGCAGTTTCCAGCAACTGGTATTCAGAAGCTTTGCCGCCTCCAATAGCCCTCTCTTCCATGAATTTGTCCAATCCTCTTTTAAAGTCATCCAAGTTGGTGACCATCACTGCTTCTTGTGGGAGCGAGTGCCATGGTTTTAACTCCTCGCAGTGTAGAGAAGGACTTTCTTCCATCTGTCCCGAATCTCCCCAAATTCAGCTTCACTGGGCACATGTAAGTGAAGACAGAGTTAAGCGGGGAAAGGCAGTTGTTCTACATCGCCCGTTCAACAGAGAACGACAAATCTCCCAGACTCCATGGAAGAACCTGGTAGGGAAAGATGAAGCTGTGATGGAATCTGAAGCAGCGCTATCTCCAGCGGAAGGTAGTGGGTAAAAATATTGAATCAAATGTAGTTTTTAAAGGAATCCAGATAGCCTCAGCCTCCCCTAAAGATTATATGGCTGTAAAAAATAAATAAAAAATGAGCACATCTTCCACTAAGACCCAGAACAATATGGAAAACCAGCCAGCCAGCTTAAACCCACAGAACATCCATTAAAAAGGACTGCTGTTATCTGGAAAGCAATCAATAAAATCCACAATTGGAGCTTCTTGATGGGCCATTCCATTATGAAGCTGAACATCCGGGGGGTGGGGTGGTTAAATTCACCAACACAGAAGAAGTAAGAACGCATAACTCACCATTTTCAGAAGACTCCAGTACATGTTGAAGGGATCCACCACTCCCAATTTTTTTTTGCTAGCTTGATATTCTTAACAAAAAATGTTTGCCTGTCACTGGCTATGACTAAACACCTGCTTCCCTCATTTTTTCATTTCTGGGAGGGTTCCTCCTCACTCATGTTAGAAGTTCAACTACCCACTAAGATCCAGCACCTCCCTTTTTATATACCACTTGGTCAGCTGACCTGCATATCACATCACCATAAGCAGGTGGGCTGATCTCTTTCACTTGCCCACGCCCTCTTAAAGAGACATTGACAACCATTCCAAGGGGAGTGGAAATGGAAGAGGGTGATATATGAAAGTCCCAACTTAGAACACACCAGCATTGGGGGTTGTATTCTGTCAAGACCTACTCAGATTAGGTCCTTTTTGAAACTCACAAACCTAAGTTAATCGTGTCTATTAAATTTGACGATGCTACCCAGAGTAGCACTAGGGCAGGCATCCCCAAACTCGGCCCTCCAGCTATTTTGGGACTACAATTCCCATTATCCCTGACCACTGGTCCTGTTAGCTAGGGATGGTGGGAGTTGTAGTCCCAAAACAGCTGGAGGGCTGAGTTTGGGGATGCCTGTACTAGGGCAATAGACTGCTTTGATCCACTTTAACTGTGCATGTCCTAAAGTTCCAGAGTTCACTTAAATCCCTCCTGTGAAATATTGACAGCCTAGCAGCACCTTAAGGGACATGTTTACTGACATTTCTGCCACCACATCCCTTGAACACCTGTCTATGATATGTGGGAAGAGGACAAACAGCCAAACCCCAGAATCATCATCGCACCACACAATGTCTCATTACAAAGAGATAGAATCATAGAATTCTACTTGGAAGGGACACCAAAGGCCTTTTAGTCCAACCCCCTGCAATTCAGGAATCACAGTTCGAGAATCCCTCACAGATGGCCATCTAACTTCTGCTTAAAAACCTCCAAGGAAGGAGAGTCCATCACCTTCTGAGGGTGTCTGTTCCACGGTCAAACAGCTCTTACCCTCAGAAAGTTCTTCCTAATGTTTAGTTGGAATGTCTTTCCTTGTCATTTGAATCAATTGGTTCGGGTCCTCCCCTCTGGAGGAGCAGAAAACAAGCTGGTTCCCATGGAACAGCTCTTCAGATATTTGAAGATATTCAGTCTTCTCTTCTCCAGGCTAAACACAACCAGCTCCCTCATAAGGCTTGCTTTCCAGACCCTTGATCATCTTAGTTGCCCTCCTCTGTGCACGTTCTGGTTTGTCAATATCCTTCTTAAACTGTGGAGCCCGGAACAGGGCACAGGACTCCAGGCGGGGTCAGATCAAGACAGAAAATAGTGGCAGTTACTTCCCTTGATCTGGACACTGTACTATTCTGTACAGTGTCCAGAACAATATTACACTGTAATATTACTATGTAATATTCCTCTGCCTTTTGGCCCATCTTGCAGACACCAGACGAACCACTTTTCCATGGCAGGGAGGTACAGAGTAATTTCCAGGCCATTAATTTATTTTACCACCACCGAGGCAGCTTTAAAAGAAAAGATCATCCAGCTTCTGTTGGCTTTCTATTATTTAAAGCCTTTTTATGTCCCTTGATTGAGAATCTCTCTCTCTCTCTCTCTCTCTCTCTCTCTGAATGAATCAGTCAGCACAAGAGAAGCAGACACACACAGAGCTCATAGAGAGATGGTTGGAGGCGAGGAATTGCAGGGGGTCATGGTGAAGCCACAAGTGTGAGAATCTGAAAGGAGAAGTTTGCAAAGTTCACATCGCTGCATGGCACGTGCCTGCACGTGGAGCCGCCCTCTGCTGGAGGAATGAGGAAATCCCAGCCAATCTGAGCTCCCGTGTTTATTCTTTCCTCAGGAAGGGGAAAAGAGATTTTGAAGACCTGCCTCTAGAATAAGGAGACACATCCTTGCACAAGCCCCAGGGAACTCAGTCAGACTCGGAGTAGAAACATAGGCACATAAGTTGAGCCCTGCTGGATAATAATAATAATAATAATAATAATAATAATAATAATATATTTGTACCCTGCCCATCTGACTGGGTTGCCCCAGCTACTCTAAGGGGCTTCCAACGTACAGTGGTACCTCAGGTTACATACGCTTCAGGTTACATACACTTCAGATTACAGACTCCGCTAACCCAGAAATAGTACCTCGGGTTAAGAACTTTGCTTCAGGAGGAGAACAGAAATCGTGCTCCAGCAGCACGGCGGCAGCAGGAGGCCCGATTAGCTAAAGTGGTGCTTCAGGTTAAGAACAGTTTCAGGTTAAGAACGGACCTCCGGAATGAAATAAGTACTTAACCCAAGGTACCACTGTATATAAAAACATAGTAAAGCAATGACATTAAAAAGCTTCCCTATACACGGCTGCCTTCAGATGTCTTCTAAAGGTTATATACAGTAGTTACTTATCTCCCTGACATCTGCTGGGAGGGCGTTTCACATGGATCGCATCACTGCCAAGAAGGCCCTCTGCCTGTCTCCCTGTAGCCTCACTTCTCGCAGTGAGGGAACCACCAGAAAGCCCTCGGGTCAGGCTTTCAGCGCCCTCATCACAGAGTGGTCACCCAGGGGGCCCTGAGAACTTCTCAAGCACAGAGGAGCCCTCCCCTCCTGTTATTCCCATTAGAATGTAAGAACATCAGAAGACCCTGCTGGATCAGGCCAATGGCCCACCTGGTCTAGCATCCTGTTCTCACAGCCATCAACAAGATGACCCAATGGGAAGTCTGCAAGGAGAATTTGAGCAACCCCTCTCCTCCTGTGGATCCCAGAAACTGTTATTCACATGTATTTGCTTCCTCTGACCATGGAAGCAGAGCATAGCCATTGTGGTTAGAAGCCATCAACAGCCCTCTTCTCAGCTATGAATTTGTCCCATCCTCTTTTATAGCCACCCACATTTGTGACCCTTGCTGCCTCCTGCAGGAACAACTTAAGGCAACTTATCATCCCTAAATCCAGTAGTGGCTGGTGCCCACTAGGACCAGTGGGGCAGAAGGCAGAGACTCCACCAGGATGGCCCCAGGGCACAATGAGAGGTGGAGCCAACTCATTCTGCTTTCGCCCCCATCTTCCACCTCCTCCCTGCTACACGAGGAAACTAGCAAGCGGAACCACCTTCCAGACTGGAAGAAAGGAAAAGGGCAAATGAAGACAGGCCGAGGGAGGACTGAGGTTGGGAGGGCAGTGCCCCTTTCACCCCAGTGGACCAGCTTCCACTGCAAAATAAATAAATAAATAATAAATAAATAAATAACAGGACAATAAATGATGTTATCAGGTGCTATTGGTTCTCAGAAAAGCTGAATCCACGGAGTACAGAGGGGCCAAGGACACTGAACCCAGCCCTTACACCCACTGTAAACACAAGAATTTAGGCCAGAGTTTGCCATATCACAGCAGAGAAGTGGCTTGGGGAAGTGATCATGTATCTAGATTGCTCGGGTAAGTAAGCCAAGCTGTGTCATGCAGGTGAAGCTCTGCCACTGGTGCCACCATTGCTACTCCCAAAACCCAGCCTACACTGCTTGGCCAGCTCCTATTGCCTTGCTTCGTGAAAAGAAAAGAAAAGAGTGTACAGATCACATATAAAGCAGCCAGGTCAAAATAGCTCAAACACCAACACCAATATGTATTTATTCCACTTTAAAAACAACAACATCAAGCTGAAAAAGAGTCCATTGTAACCCCATAGCTTGCCTCCCGCATTATAAACATAAGATGCTGTAAATAAAAGTAGAATCATTCCTATTTTGAACACAAACACACTTACATTTTCTTTGTTTCCAATACTGTCATTTATTGTTCTGAATGTCTAGGCAGAAGCAATACTTTGCCTTGTTCACCTCCACCACCAACGGGAGATCCTCATAATCAAATAAATCCCACCAAAGGCCGCATATCGAATCCTTCTTGCTACTTCCCCAAAGAGTCGAGGGAAGAAGAAGTCATCTCTTCCTTCCAGCAACTTGTTTTCTCAACCAGCTGCCTGACATTATTCACGGTTATTACTCATTCAAATTTCAGCTCACCTGGAAGATTTGAGTTGGGCTATTATAGGAAGAAGGGGCAGGAGGACACCCATAAACTCAGTGCTGTATCGACAGTATGCGATAACCTAGGCTGGAAGCATTTGAACTGGATTTTCACTCCGAATCAAAAGGTAAAGAATCAGCAAAGAGATATCAACCACCAATTCCTTTCCCTAACCCTCCCCCCACCCAAAAAAAAACCACTGCAAAAAAATGAGAGGAGAAAAGACACACACACACACCGCCCAGCTCAGAAATTACAACAGGGTTAAGTTTGGAGACTGAAATCATCCAAGGATTGGTGTGGCTGACCAGAGGTGATAGGAGAGTGTGACTTTTTGAGAACTCCCATTGCTATATATATGGTGGGGGGGGGGATAGGATTGGAACTGAAACAAAATATTGCATTGAGGTCCATTCTGGTTCTGTCAATACATGCCCCAAAGTCTGGGCAGGTGGGTGGGTGCTCAATAAATCAGTTCCTTTGAAAAAATAAATAAGGGGAACTTTCTGCTTTTGCTCTCCGGATCACACACACACACACAAACACACACACACAGAGCATCAACCCATCTGCCCTCAAGTAACCCCTGGAAAAAAAGAGCCTGAGCTAATGAAAGTCTTTTGTTTGTTTCTGTTGTTTTTAGCCTAAATTCAATCGCAAAATAATAAACACACCACAGAATTTTCCAAAGGGGAACGAACACACACACGAGAGAGGGGTGTGCGTGTGTGTGGATGCATCTGCTGTTCGACAAACCGGTCCAGAGTTTGAGTCCAAAGGTAAACCCACAAAACAAGTACCTCCCTGTTTATCCTCCCCTCCCACTCTTTTCTCTGTGAACCCCCCAGGTTACTTATCCCCAACATAGTCCTCCTCCATCACCCCCTCTCTTGGTTTATTTCGCCTCTTTTTGCTCAAACCGGGTTGTGTTTTCTCCAGAAGACGACAACAACTCGTCAGATGCCATTGAAAAGTCTATTGTCCGCTTGCAACCTGGTTCCACAATGGATGCTGATTGTGGGAGCTTCGGGGGAAGGGGGGGTTATTATCATAATAATTATTGCGACCACCACCAGAGGAAAAAAAGAGAAAGTGTTTGCTTTGGCATTTGGTAAGGCTTTTCATAGATCCATGCACAACATCACTGCCTCCTAACTGGGGGGGGGGGAGAGGGGGAGAGAGAGAGAAAGAGAGAAAGAGAGAGACCCACTCAACTCTTAGCAGTTGAGGTCCAACAAAGGGCAGCTTTGAAGGACCAGAGAACAGGAGCATTAAACAACCAAGCCAGGATGGGGAAAGTTGGCATGAGTTGGGAGAAAACACCCCGTTCATCTCCCACTGACTTCCCTCTGCCCAGCTCCAAAGCATCCTCTATTGACTTGAACGGGGGAAGGAGAGCGGTTTGATGCCCCGAGCTAAAATTCTCTCGCCGTTCGTGGCTTTGGAGAGAACCTGAGCAGCGTTGGTTTGGGAGGGGGTGCTGGCGTCGCATGGGATTCTTGCATCTCCTTTGGTGATGGGGGGACATGAAAGCCATGCCTCTATCCTCTCTTTCTCTCCCCCCCCCAACCCGCCGCCGCCGCAAAAAAAGCAGGTGTCTCTCGCACACACTCACCCAGCACCGCATCTAAGAGTTTGAGGAATAGGAAGCAGAGAGGCAGCAGGCGGTTCATTGTGGGTGTCTTGGCCCCCCGGATAGAAACTCCATCTGGTTTAGAAGCACCTCGGCTCTCCGCATGGCGAGGCTCCTCCGGAAGGCAAGGCGGGCAGGGAAGACGGGGTGCCGGAGCATCCGTGGCCGGCGGCGGAGGAACACATCGTGGATGCCTGCTGGGGAGGGGTTTGGAGACGGAGGAAATGTAGAAAGAAACCCCTCTCTCCCCGCAGAAAAAAACGGAAAACGGGGAGCGGGGAGGGAAGGCAGGCGATGGCAAGAGAGGAGTATGTCCGAAAGACCACGAAGGCGAATGGTACCGAAGGGATGCTGAGAGTGGTACCCAGAGGATGCCGAGAGTGGTACCCAGAGGATGCACCTGTTCAGTCCCTGCCTCTCTTTCTCCTCCCGTGGAATAAGCAGATTAGCAGCTGGAGTTTGGGATCTTCAACTCATCCTTCTTTCCTCCTTTTTGCTCCTTTTCTTATTCTCTTTCTTCTTCCTCCTCCTCCTCCTCTCTCTCTCTCTCTCTCTCTCTCTCCCCCCTCCCCCTTGTGCTGGCGTCTGTATTATACAGACTTTTCTTTAATCCATTCTAGGCTCCTCTGCTCTCGTCCTTTAAGCCGGATTTATTGCAGCAAGAGAGAGTGAGAGAGGAGAGAAAAGCCAGTCCCTCTCTTCTATTGCACCTCCCTCCCCAGCGCTCTCTCATGCTCTCTCTCTCTCTCTCTCTCTCTCTCTCTCCCTCTATCTTTAGAGGCTTAACCCTTTAGCAGCCAACCCCCACGCTGCTTCCACATTCCGAGTCAAGGAGAGACGCCTGGAAAGTCAGCGCAGAGATTTAATCTGCAGCAATAATAATGACGATACGTCAATTTATGTGCAGGTATGAATGGGGAAGGAAGTCTCAGCCCCGATATGGAGATGGTACGTGATTGCACGTAAAAAGTGATGTTTGCAAATTCCACTTTTAAACCTTCCTTTGACAGTCTTGTTTGGGGAGGAGTCAGTGATTCAAAGTCTCCCTTCTGCGCTGGCTTTAATAAGAAGCGTTAGGCACGTTGTTCTGTTCTCTCTCTCTCTCTCTCTCTCTCTTTCTCTCTCTCATTTTCTCAGTCTTCCCAACTGCAAAATGGGTATAATAACCTTACAAGGTTGTGTCATCATCATCATCATCATCATCATCACTTATCACCCCTCATTCACTCAAAGGTCTCTGGGTTGGTTAAAGCAATTACAACATAATGCGAGAAACATTTTAAAACAACATACAATCACAGAAATAAGGTAGAGCCTAAAAATAAACACCCCAAGTGTCAAAAGCCAGGTTAAAGAGTATTTGTAAGAACCGGGAGCCAGAGAAAGGCCTTTGAAACACTTTGAACATTGGAAAGGACTATATCAGGGGTCAGCAAACTTTTTCAGCAGGGAGCTGGTCCACTGTCCCTCAGACCTTGTGGGGGGATGGGACTATATTTTTGGGGGGTGGGGGGTGGAAATGAACGAATTCCTATGCGCCATAAATAACCCAGAGATGCAGTTTAAATAAAAGGCCACATTCTACTCATGTAAAAACACGATGATTCCCAGACTGTCCGTGGGCCAGATTTAGAAGGCGATTGGGCCAGTTCCAGCCCCCAGGCCTTAGTTTGTGTACCCATGGACTATATCAATGCCCGGCTGGATCAGGTCACAGGAGCCTCCTCCCTTCCTGTGGTTTCCAGCAATTGGTATTCAGAAGCATGACTGGATCTGACCATGGAGGCAGAGCATAGCCATTGTGGCTAGTAGTCACTGAGAGCCCTCTCCACCATGAATCTGCCCAAGCCACCCAACTTGGTGGCCGTCACTGCCTCCTGCAGGAGTGAGTTCCATAGTTTAACTCTGTGCTGCGCAAATAGGTATGCCATGGATCTTGCAACATTCACCTTTCCGTGTCCTTATTAGCTAGGGTTGCCATAGTTCAAAAAGTAAAAACCCAGGGAACCCCAAAGTTGTTGATTCCCCCTGGACATCATTTCTGCCTTTGAAATCCCAGTAACAGCAACAGAAGCTCCATATACTGTGGGAGTGAGTGCCATAGTTTAACTCTGTGCTGCGCAAAGAGGTAGAATCATAGAATCATAGAAGTGTAGAGCTGAAAAGGATCCGGAGGAATCCTGCCCTGGGTGGCCTCAAACCACCAAACTTCTGGCTAAGAGCCAGACACACTGACCCATTGTGCCACCTGAGACCAAGCAGTAATTCCTTATTTCTGTCCTCAATCTTCCAAATTCAGCGTCTGACATCCTTATTAGCTATGACAGGAACAGAAGCTCCGTACGATTAAGAAGCTGACCTCCTGATACTGGATGCTGGGGGAGATATAATGAGGAGGGGCTCTTATCTTCAAGCCCCACTTTCAAATTCTTTTTGGGAAGCATTTGATTGGACGCTCTAGGAAGCACCATGCTGGAATAGATAGATCTTTGGTCTGTTCCAGCTGGTAACATCTTACTTCCACTGCTGAGAGCTGGTAAGAAGCAGGTATTACGGCCTTCAGATGCTCCTTTGCCAAGGGCATCAGGGAAACTCACCATCTGTGCACCGTACAGGCCCCAGGCACACAGCTAAACATGAGCCTACAGGCACTAGAGGGCGCTGTAATGCACAAGCAGAGGCCTGGCTGCCATCACCTGTGGTTATCTCCTCCACTGCCTGTGGTCAGGGAAGACATTCCAATTAAAACGATTTCCCCCAATTAAATTGCTTTAAATTAATGTCTGGGGAAAGCCGGTGAAACGAAAAGGCAGCTTGGAAATCCAGAGCTACAGTAGCTTTTCCAGCTCTGTCTCCCGGTGAGAAATAAGCCAGATATTGCCAATCCTGTATCCCAGAGCAGCCAATCGGATGCTGTGACACTAGGATTTGTGGGCATCCAATGAAACCGAAGGTTGGGCGGTTCAAAAAGTCCTTCTTCAAACTGTGCGCTGATGAGCTGTGGAACTCCTTTCCGCAGGAGACAGCGATGGCCATCAGCTTTAAAAGGGAATGAGGAAATTCACAGAGGAGAGGGATATTGATGGCTACTAGCCACAGGAGGGGAGATCTTATGTTTAGAACCTGCTTGAGGGTTCCACACTCTCCCTTCTATGCTTAGCAAGAGTCCCACTTCTTTTCCATCCCTCGTTGCTCCTGAATCCTGCAGGTATTCTGTAGTGGGGGGGAGGGGGTAGGGAGTAAGGTGCAAGTATCCAGAACCCATTTGAATTCATGCATGGGTAGGCAAACTAAGGCCTGGGGGCCAGATCCGGCCCAATCACATTCTAAATCCGGCCCGCGGACGGTCCGGGAATCAGCATGTTTTTACATGAGTAGAATGTGCCCTTTTATTTAAAATGCACCTCTGGGTTATTTGTGGGGTCTGCCTGGTGTTTTTACATGAGTAGAATGTGTTTTTATATTTAAAATGCAACTCTGGGTTATTTGTGGGGCATAGGAATTGGTTCATTCCCCCGCGCCCAAAAATAGTCTGGCCCCCCACAAGTTCTGAAGGACACTGGACCAGCCCCCTGCTGAAAACGTTTGCTGACCCCTGCATTAATGCCACGACCTACTTAAGGCCATTAATTTCAGTGGGTCTACTCTGTAGGACTTTGTATCCAGCCTTAACCATAATTCCTTGAATGGTTAAAAACTGTGCATCTGCCCAGTGAGGAGTGTGGTCTGGTCGGAGTTCTGGGGGTCATAAGGAGAGTTTGCATGGCTATTTTTGCCCCTCCCTGCCCTCCAGCTTCCAGAGGTTCCCCATCCCTGTGGTCAGTTTCCCCTGGCCTCCACTGCCACCCCTGCTTCAAAACCCAGCAAGCGGCAATTGCGATACAGAAGCAAGCCACAAACCATCTTCATATATTGAGAAGAGTGTGGCCGGAGAGAAGAATCAATTGGCTCTCCATGCTCCATTTGCACAAGATGGGGTTTTCTGACCCTTTCCCCTGCTAACCTCCAGATGAACTGTCTCTGCAGATGGACTAGCTGGATGAGGAAGAGTAGGGGGAGCCACCTGTTGTCTTTGTCCATGGAGTTTTCTTGGCAGGGATACTGGAGTGGCTTGCCAGTTCCTGCTCCAGGTGGATCACATTTGGTTAAAACTCCACTATGACCTGTCCATCTTGGGTGCCCTGCAGGGCACAGTTCATAGCTTCTCTGAGTTATTCAAGCCCCTTTGCCACGGCAAGGCAGTGATCCATGAAGGGGATTCTGAAGGAGATCAGCCCTGAGTGCTCACTGGAAGGACAGATCCTGAAGCTGAGGCTCCAATACTTTGGCCACCTCATGAAAAGAAAAGACTCCCTGGAAAAGACCCTGATGTTGGGAAAGATGGAGGGCACAAGGAGAAGGGGATGACAGAGGACGAGATGGTTGGACAGTGTTCTCGAAGCTACCAGCATGAGTTTGAGCAAACTGCAGGAGGCAGTGGAAGACAGGAGTGCCTGGCGTGCTCTGGTCCATGGGGTCACGAAGAGGCGGACACGACTAAACGACTAAACAACAACAACAGGGGGAGCTGCGTGCCCAAAAGCCCCCCCGCCGGAGGGCATAGAAGATGACTTAGATCCTGGATCCTGGTGGTGGGACAGGCTGGGGGGTGCTAGAAGCAGGGGGTTTGAGCAATCAAGGGAGGGCAAGAGAAGGATAGCCTTCCAGGACAGGGTTCGAGGCTGAGAGTGACAGTGTGAGTGCAAACTCGGACAGAGAGGAGTCAGAGGTTGCCCTTGCGACCCAGCAGCAGGGGAGTCCAAGTCCTGCTGGCTCTCCTCCCAGTCTGACACCCTGCTCGAGGACAGTCCCGCATGTTGCTTGGGAGGGATCCAGAATGAGTGGTTAGAGCAGGGAAGGGTCAGTTTCAGCAACGTCTCAGCTGAATGAAGATGAGCCAGAGGACTCTGTTGTGTTGTTATTTTCTGTTAATAAAAAGCTAATTGCGTTCTGTGCCTCCCATGTTTCACTGCCCTGTGGATGACCTGGGCTTGCTTGACAGTTCCTTGACAATGCCGAAGGCCAGTGCCAAAGGCTGTATGGTAATCATGTAGCAGTTTATTCGACGGCAGATGCAATCGCGCTACGGCGAAACCCCTTTGGTCAGTGTGGTGCTTCCTTGTATCTTCTGGATGTGCGTTTCTAAGAGTCAACACAACCCCGCCAGAAGTAAGGAGCCACGCACAGGGGTGAAAATAATAGTTGTAATTGACTCAAGGTTCATTTGAGGTCAAGTGGCTTTTGCACACGCAGAACTGGAGATCTCATGGGAAGGCAGCAGACCACACATGCATAGACCCAGGTAGGAATTTTCTAGCTGAAGCACCGCCAAGAGAGACTTTATATTTCACAAACCCTGTCCCGGCCAATGGCCGAAGTCTCAGGAAGATGCTGCTCTTTGATCTGCAAAAGGAGCAACAGGTACAGAGTCTAGCATTTATACATCACATGTGACTAAGACAAAGTATCTGCATTGCCAGCCAATCACAGGGGGTGTTGTTGCACAATACTGTTCCCTTCCATTACACTAGAGGGCACCATACTTCTCCCTCCCTCCCTCCCTCCCAGTATTGGGGACATAGGAAGACATGGTTGTCTACACTGCTGGGCAGCAAAGGCCCTCTGAGGTTTCAGGCCAGGATTTCTCTTAACCCTACCTGGAAATGCTGCAGGGAATTATCCTGCAACCTGCAAGATAGCAGGTGGTCTACCAACTGTCCTTGAGGCAGCATAGCTGGGGGCTTGTGGGGAATCGATGGGGGCTAGGATATGGTTACCAGATTTTTTTCAATGAATCCGGGGATACTTTTATTTTTATTTTTTGAAGCTGAGTAGCAACAGGGAGTCAGTAGTAGAGATGGTGAGGCAAAAGACTCTGGGCCCAAGAACACAAGCATATTGTATAAAGGTGCAAAGCCCTTCTTCCGCACCCTGTGAAACATAAATGCGCCGAGTTTTTTTTAAAAAAACTGGGCAACGGTCACCTGCTCGCAACCCAAGCCTCCCCCGATCAGTCAAAACAAAGGAGGAAGGGGGCAGGAGATCTGTACCGCCGGATGTCCCCGGTTCCCCTTCGGCAGTGGCGGCAGTAGCAGTCAACAGCCCAGAGCACAGTTGGCTCTGGCTGGCTTCAGGAGCTGCTTGCAGTCATGGCGCCCACCATTTTTCCTTCCCAGAATCCCCCATATGATGTGTTGTGCAGAGAGGAAAAATGGCGGGCACCACGGCAGAAACAAGCAAAAGAGACAGGACACCTTCAGAGAATTTTAATGTGTCTTTGATAGAGTTTCAGGGGCCACACAGAGACCCGGCAGGTCCTCATTCTTATCCCTGGCCTAACAGCAAGGAGGAGAGATGGGCGAGAGAGACAGGACACATCTAAAGCATTTTGATGAGTCTTTATTCTTTGACAGAGGGGTTGAATTGTGACAGAACGAAGTTAAATATTGGATGAGGACGAAGTGCATCCTAGGCAGAATTCTTGGGAGAGGAAAGAATTTCATATATATATAGAAAAAGCAGAGCAACCAAACTCAACAACCTGGAACCAGAGCCTGCCGCTTCCTCCTCAGCCCCAGCACAGGAACAGCCTCCCTCTCGGTGGAAGATGTGATGCTCCATATCACCGTTTTGTGCCTTCCGAGCTCCAGAATGTTATTAACAGTGATAAAAACTACCCAGCTTTGCCTAAGCATTGTCTCCAGTGTCCCGGGGCACTGGTTTTGCAAATTGGCAGGTATTTAAATTCCACCTACTCCATCTTTGCCAGCCGGGCTGCTCCACGCGGAGCTAAATCCCCCCCCCCAAGTGCGTCTGTTATACAAGATGAAATGAAACAACACACACACACCAAACCAACTTTGGATATAACTAAGGAAAGTTACACCGCGTACCTGCTTGGCAGCCCGCGTTGCCTCCGGAGGCTCATTGCCATTGGGTAAAAGTAGAATTGAACATAGAAACTGAACAAAGTTTAGAGAAAAGGCAAGTGAGAGGCAACAGGATCGAAGTTTATCGAATTATGTGTGACAATCTCCATGCCATGCATTATATGATAACCCATTATGGATAGAGTAGATACAGAAAAGTCAGTCTCTCTCTCTCTTTCTCCCTCTCTCTCACAGCACTAGAACTTATGGGAATCCAATGAAGTTGAATGTGGGAATACTCAGGGCAGATAAAAGGAAGTCCTTTGTGGAGTGCACAGTTAAACTGTGGAACTCCCGACCACAGGAGGCAGTGATGGCCGCCAACTTGGATGGCTTTAAAAAAGGATGAGACCAATTCATTGATGATAGGGCTATTGAAAGCTACTAGCCATGGCTATGTTCTTTTCTTCACTGTTGGAGGCAGTAGGCTCCTGAATACCAGCTGCTGGAAGGTTTTGCTTTGGGGCTGTATACAAGTGTCTGGATATGTCAACTTGTAACATACAATGGGGGAAACTTTTTTTTAAAGCATCTGGGTGCTTTGGATGGCTTTCCACCTTAAAGGGGGTGAAACACATTTTACAGGTCGCTTTGGTAAACTTGCTTCTCAGCTGCTCTAACAGCAGTGTCCTGTATTCCCCTAGCCCACCTTACAGGTGACACCATGCATTTCACTATTGATTTGATTGACGTGTTTCACAGCTGCTCTAGCAGCAATGGTTTGCACTCCTCCAGCCTAGGCTACAGGTGACATTCTGTGCTTCAACGGGGCTTTGATAAACAGGCATCACAGCTGCTCTAGCAGCAATGGTTTGCACTCCTCCAGCCTAGGCTACAGGTGACATTCTGTGCTTCAATGGGGCTTTGATAAACAGGCCTCACAGCTGCTCTAGCAGCAATGGTTTGCACTCCCCCTCAAGCTTGCTGAACAAACATACCGCCTCTCCCCCATTTGAAACTGAAAACACACGCACGCAAGAAACACAAGTCTCTATCTCTGGCCCACATTGGAAGCAGAACTATTATTAAGGACGCCTAGTTGAGCTCCTTTTGGCAGGTAGGAGCATTCAGGCACAGTATGGCCTCCTCCATCAAACATCCTCTTTTCTCTCCTGCCCTATACCAATTCATCTGCTCCGCTCGATTTCTCTATTATTACACCCTCTCTTTTTCTCACTCCTTACCCAGCTGGGTGTTTATCTGTCTTGGAGACACCCCCGCATGCACACACACACTATTACAGATCAATAGAAATTATATCTTGACTACACCTCTGAGAATAAAATGGACACTTTCCAAACTGCTCCTATTTATTTCCCCCCTCCCAGTCTCTCATCTTTCCCTCTCTCTCCCACCCACCCCCCCTCCTCTCCAGTCCTCTCCATTTTTTCTCCATCGCTCACAAGTTCATTTGCCAAAAAGGCTTCATGGCAGATGGGGAGGGGGGGGGGAAGAGAAGAGGCTAAAATCTCCGGCAACTAACAGGGAGATGGAAGAAGCAAAAGAAGAAGAAAACATTTGGCTTTTGGAACTGACTCAGAATTAAAGACGCACAAGAAAGGGAGGTTTTCGCCCTCGGAAAGTCATGCTGTCCTTTAAAAGGATGTTAATGCGCCAGCTTGCTTGGGAACACATGACGTTATTAATGCTTTTATGATTTCAGGGGAATCTGCCTGATAAACAAGTCTTTTTTAGATCATTATTTAAGCTCCAATGACATACATTATAAACACACATAGAGAGCCGGGGAAGGATGAAAATACTCTCTTTTTCTGCATCTCACTTAGACACAGAGGGACATGAGCAGCTGAAAGGGCTCTCCTGGAGAGATCAGGTGGCAGGATGCGCACAAGATGCATCACACAGGCTGGATGAACATTCTGGTGCCAACTTAAATTGGGTTTATGGCACAACTAGCAATGTCTATGTTCTACCTTCACTGTTGGAGGCAGAACGCTGCTGAAGACCAGTTGCTGGATTCACAACCGGGGAGAGCACTGCTGTTGTGCCCAGGTCCTGCTTGCCAGCTTTCTAGAACTTCTGGTTGGCCCCTGTGAGAACAGGAGGCTGGACTAGATGGGCCATTGACCTGTTCCAGCAGGCTCTTCTTAAGTTCTTATGGTACAATTTGATTGGCAGCCGTACAAAGGCTGGCCTAACCTCCTCCTCATTTGTTATCAGGGGGTTGGAAAATTCATGGAGGTGAAGGCTGTTGGTGTCTACGAGCCATGATGACTATGTTCTACCTTCGCTGTCACAAGCAACACCAGTTGCTGGAATTGTAAGTCACGGTTTCAGGAAAGCCTTTCAGCACCTTGGATAGCTCCCAATGACTCCCCTCATTAGATAAAAGGAGATATTGTCCCAGCAAGGAGCTAGTTCCATCTGAAGGCTCCTAAAAGCAGATAAGTCCTGTTTGGCTGTAGGCTGGACCCTTTTGGAAAATTTTGCTATATTTCTTAAAGGGTCATTCCCTGATTTTGCATTGTCAAGCATCTGCAAAGCTAAGGAGAGGATTGGGTGGCTGAGGGCTCCTCCTCTGACTCTGCAGACGGGGATGAAGCTCTGGCTTCCATATCAGGGGGTCCCAAAGAGATTGACATCCCATGCTCCCTTGCCCGAGTCACCCTCCATGTATTATGGGGTTGTGATGAGGGGAACGGATGCAACTGAAAACTGCAAGAGGACATTAAGACTGGGTGAAGTCCTAAATTAAACCTTTGAAGAGCCAGAGTGGCATAGTGGTTAGAGGGTTAGACTAGGACCTGGGAGACTAGGGCTCAAATCCCCACTCAGCTATGAGGCTCACTGACCTTGGGCCATTCACTGCCTCTTTCAGCCTAACCTACCTCCCAGGATTGTTGTGATGTTTACATGAGGAGAGGGGAGAACCATGAGCGCCACCTTGAGCTCCTTGAAGAAAAAGGTGGAATGTAAATGCAATTAATATAATTAATAATCAATAAATGAAATACTGTTTATGCAATACTAGGATGTGAGGCAGAAGAACAAAGGGGAAATAGAGGAAATACGCTTTCAGAAGGAGTAATTTGGTAGAGTAAGAGAAGGCCAGAGAGTAGAAAGGAAGACTTCCTTTTCACCATCTTGTTCTTCAGGAAGAGGAGGAAGTTGTAGTTGTCTCACACCGTTTCAGATATTTGCTTTTTCCATTCGAGGCTTCCAAATCCATCTGCCAAGCAGACAGAGGGGATTTCATTTGCTTTCTTCTCTTGAACCATTTGAAAATGGATTTAGGGTCGTTTGGGTTTTGCTTCTGTTCTTCTCCCAGCAGTGAAATTGTTCTGACGTCTTCTTGGATGGACTATTGTAAGGTAAGGCGGCATGCTGGAAAGGAACCGAAAGGGACTTCGAGGCGGTTGAAGGGCATTAAAAGAGACAGTAAGCGATGTAAATTGTCAGACGGGAAAGATTGCTGTTTGTATGAGGTGTCTGGATTCATTGTTCTGCTTGGTTTTTAATTTGGGGCGAGCGGAATGTTCTGGTGGAAGGGAGTCAGCAGCGCAGGCCATGGAAGAAAGGAGGGAGGGAGGGAAGGAAGGAGGGAGGTATGGAGGGAAGAAGAACAGAGGATCTAGCTGCCTTAACAAATCAAGTATCCTTTCTGGAAGAGCCATAGCTCAGGGGTAGAGCACCTGCTATGCATGCAGAAAATCCCAGGTTTTGTCACCAGCATCTCCAGGTAGCTCCCCAAAACCCTGCTGCCAATGGAGACAATACTGAGAGAGATGGATCAATGGTTCAACACGGTGTAGCAGCTTCCCATGAACCTTTGTTGAAGTCAGGAGTCAAAAAGGCAAATTTATTTTCTCAGTATACGATAATGCTGAGGCCTGCATTAGAGATGGCAGAAAAATTTGATCTAGTTCTCATTTGAAGGCAAACCTACCCGTGTGGCGCTGTGGGTTAAACCACAGAGCTGAGGACTTGCCGATCAGAATGTCGGTGGTTCAAATCCCCGCGACGGGGTGAGCTCCCATTGCTCGGTCCCTGCTTCTGCCAACCTAGCAGTTCGAAAGCACATCAAAGTGCAAGTAGATAAATAGGTACCACTCCGGCGGGAAGGTAAATGGCGTTTCCATGCGCTGCTCTGGTTCGCCAGAAGTGGCTTAGTCATGCTGGCCACATGACCCGGAAGCTGTACGGCAGCTCCCTCGGCCAATAAAGCAAGATGAGCACCGCAATCCCAGAGTTGGCCATGACTGGACCTAATGGTCAGGGGTCCCTTTACCTTTACCCAATTTTCACTTTCTGGAATGACAAGAAAGCCTAAACAGATCCATCCTTTGAGATCTGCTCTTCTCCAAATTTTTCAATGTAGCACTACAGCCAAATAATGTGTCAAAAGGGGAAAACGTATACACTGGGACAAGGCATGCATTAAAAATACATATAGCCTGAAAACAACAGTCAAAGTGTTTTTCTATTTGTGATAATGGCTTTGCGAAATGGGCGTGCATTGGGAAAAATTGCCTAGAAACATGGGTGTAAGGGTAAATTTTTGCTGAAGTGCTGGTGAATTTTCACGGGGACTTGAAAGAATTAAATAAATTGCAAACCGATGTGGAAAGGAAGGGAACTGAGCTTAGCTGTGATTCCTTCGTCGCAGGGGGTCAGACTCTATGACTCTTTGGGTCCCTTCCAAGTCTCCAATTCTATGATTCTAAGATGTGGGGGGAAATGAGAAATTGAGAGAAACTGTAAGTGACAAGTTCATCCACCCCTAACCTACATATCATTTTGAAACCCAATAAAACCTTCGCTCTGTTTACCACAATGTTGATGGTTTCGATCACCAGGTTCTATTCGATTCCTATTCTCCCGGTTGACAAGCGTGAATATGTATGTAAGTACCATGAGAAGCAGTAACTCACAGTTCCACTCCCTACGCTGGATCTATATGCAAAATCATTGTTAAAAAGAAAAGTAAGGTATTTAATACTTTGGGAAGTTAGAAATACACTGAACGGTGTGAGTCAAGTTATGTGTTAAAAGTTGCAGGATAAAGCATTTTGAGATCCTGAAGATTGCACTCACAAAGGAGTTGGGTGTTGCATCCATTTCAGTCTCCTCCTCCATTCACAGATCTTTCTCCTGCGAGAAAGAAAAAAGGCCAGGGGTTGAATCGCACTGCAGAGGGTTGGACTTGATAGCCCCCTTCTACCTCTACAAGCAAGGGTTTCCAAGCACAATTCAAAGTGTTGGTGCTGACCTTTAAAGACCTAAACGGCCTTGGTCCTGTATACCTGAAGGAGCATCTCCACCCCCATCGTTCTGCCCGGACACTGAGGTCTGCGCCGAGGGCCTTCTGCCAGTTCCCTCGCTGCAAGAAGCAAAGCTGCAGGGAACCAGGCAGAGGGCCTTCTCGGTAGTGGCACCCACCCTGTGGAATGCCCTCCCACCAGATGTCAAAGAGAACAACAACTACCAAACTTTTAGAAGACATCTGAAGGCAGCCCTGTTTGGGGAAGCTTTTAATGTTTGATGCATTACTGTATTTATTTATATCCCGCCAGATGGCTGGGGTATAAATAAATTTATTATTATTATTATTATTATTATTATTATTATTATTATTATTTTGGGTCAAGCCAGTGGCCCATCGTGTCCTGCATCCTATTCTCACAGTGGCCAACCAGATGCCTGTGGGAAACCCGAAAGCAGGACTGGAGTACAAGAGGACTTTCTCCCCTCCTGCGATTTCCAGCAACTAGTATTCGGAGCCACTGCTGCCTCCAACTGTGAGGGGCAGAACATAGGTATTATGGTTAGTAGCTGCCAATAGGCCTCTCTTCCATGAACTTGCCCAATCCTCTTTTAACACCATCCATGTTGGTGGGCATCACTGGCTCCTGTGGCAATGAGTTCCATAGTTCAACTTGTTGAATGGTTTCTTTAAATGTAAAGGTTCATCACTGTTCCACCCGATGTGTATGTCTTTAAGGGGCCAGAGCAAGGGCCAGAGCAAGATAACGAGACCCAGCTTTACAGCTGTGAAACATAGCAGGTGCTGCTGAGTTGTATTGATTAAGCTGTGTTGGTAATTGGGTGTAGTATATAAGGAGCAGCACCTAGCTCTCCCATTACCCTGGGGGATGGGTTGGTGGTTGGGTCATGTTTGTTTGTTAATGTATTTAGTGTTTTAGTTTTTGTAATTAAAACCTTGTTTAAGTTATTTTTGAGTCCCTTTTTAATGCATGGTCTCCCCAGCAAGCTCTCTGCAGCGCTACCATACTGCAAATAGCCAACACAACTAACCTAGTTTTATCTGCCCTGAATCTTCCAACATTCATTCTGTATCCACCAGTTTTAGTGTTGCATGTGTGTGAGAGAGAAACTTCTTCTCTATCTCTTTCCTCCTTGCAGGGCCATCTTTACCCGGGGGTGCAAGGGTTGCAGTGCTCCCGGGCGCTGAATTCTGGGGGGCGCCAAATGTATCGGTGGCAGTGAAAAACAATGGAGCGAAAGTCCCCACCAGCCTCCTCTGTCGCTCTGTTACTCCATTGCATCAAATATTCCCGACGAGTCAGGAAACAAAAGCAGATATTTCCACTGCATCGTTAGCTCCCCCCCCCCCAAAAAAACGCTCAACAACTTTGCGTTCACCCCCCCAAAAAATTTATTGTTATTATTATTATTATTATTATGTGCTAAAGACGGCCCTGTCTCCATGCCACCATCATTTTATAAACTTCTACCTTGTTGCCTCTTATCTGTCTTTTCTTGAATCTAAAAAGTGCCAATTGCCACATCCTTTCTTCTTAAGGGAACTGCTCCATCCTTTCTGTATCATTTTGGCTGCCTGTTTCTGAGCCTTTTCCAACTCTACAGTATCCTTTGTAAGGAAAGGCGACCAGAACTAGTAAATGGGATTCCAAATGTGGTCACAACATAGATTTTCAGCATTAGTATATTGGCAGTTTTACTCTCAATTCCTTTCCTAAAGATCTTCAGCATGGAATTTGCCTTTCCTGCTACAAAAGGTCCAGACAGTTGAACCTGTGATTCCAGCCCACCCCCCAAACTTCAGAGGCCGGTCCCTAGCAAGTCCTGGGGGTCAGCCATGGCATAGGTACTGCAGGTCACACAAAACATCTGCCCTTGCAGCCCAGAGTCAGGTCAAAAACTGCGGGAGAGAGAGAGATGTCCCCTCTAAACCAGCACAAAATCTCATCCCCGCCCGCCCCCTCTTTCTTCCTCCTGGCCCATTTGCCTGAATCCTGTGCACTAATTAGCGGCATAATAAAGTAGCAAGGAATACGATTTCCTCATTAGCTGGAGAGAGATTCCCAGCTAACATGACTGATAGGAATCTACAAGAAAATTAACTTCAGCACCAGGGCTCTGTAATCAAGATTAATGAGGAAATGGAGAGAGGGAACAGACCGCAGTTCTCCTTTGCTCCTGCCCATCTCCATCCCTCCCTTTACAGGAGACTAAGTGGCGACTGAAAGAGGGGATTGGCAGGGCAGAAATAAATTGCCCTCCAAGCTGTTTGGAATACTACCACCCCTGTAACCCACAGTGGTACCTCAGGCTAAGAACTTTGCTTCAGGATGAGAACAGAAATCGTGCTCCGGTGGCGCGGCGGCAGCAGGAGGCCCCATTAGCTAAAGTGGTACCTCTGGTTAAGAACAGTTTCAGGTTAAGAACAGACCTCCAGAATGAATTAAGTTCTTAACCCAAGGTACCACTGTATCCCGCTTACCAGGAGCTGTCCAGCGAATCAAACTTCAGAAGGTGCCGGATAGCAGGTGAGCTGTCCAAGCAGATCAGCAGAGCAACATTAGACGTTGCTTCAGCACTGGTTCAGCTTGACCTGAGCAACTTTAGAGTTCGATGTTGCTGCCCCAACTCTTTCTGGCTTGTGATCAGGGTTCCTATTTACATGGTGGTGGGGGGAGGAAGTGCCAGAGACACTGACGAGCTAATTTAGATTGTTGCTAAGCATCCTTCTCACAAGTAGGAGTTGTGGTGGGTTGGCTACATCTTGCCACATGGGCACTGTCCCTCCAGCTCTGGGCTTCCATTCAAACCATATGGATTTATTCACAAAGCTCCTCTGAGACCGTGTGTCCTAGTGGTTTGAATGCTGGACTAGGAGCTAGGAGAATAGAGTTAAAATCCCCACTCAGCCATGAGGCTCACTGGGCCAGTCAGTCTCAGCCTAACAAGCCTCACAGGGTTCTTGGGAGGAGAAGATGGGGAGAAAGAGAAACATGGACATCACCTTGAGCCCCTTGGAAGAAAGGTCACAAACAGATCCATAAACTACCATTGTGAAAAGTTGACCCATACCAGCCACACAGTATTTCTTCCGCAAGATTTTGTACTTGATAGTCCCCTGTGCTATACTGAGAAGATCACTTCCAACTTGCCTGCATGCAGACACAGCCACAAGATTGAAAGCTCCTGCTTTAAATTAACCACACTTTAGCATGTGAACGGGCCGACTTGTTCCAGCAAACCCTACCATCCTCTCCTGTATCTAGGATTATTTCATGTTGCTAAATAGCTAGGTCTTGCTCCTCAGGAAATAGACTTGGCAGTGGCACCTGCTCCTTTTCCATATGAAAATATAGAGTTCGCTTTGAAGAAGGGTTGTCCAAGAACGGCAAAGAGCACATTTAATTCCATACACTTCAAAGACGGTGTATAAGATTAGATGCTGCAGCTTTAGACTTTGGCATTGCTGCGCCCAACTCTTTTTGACTTGTGATCGGGGTCCCTATTCCCATGGTGTGAAAAAAGAAGATACCAGAGACATCAATGAGAGTGTTTAGAATGTGGTTCTCAACCTGTGGGCCCCCAGATGTTGTTGGACTACAACTCTCATCATCCCTGAGCTCTGGCCTTGCTAGCTAGGGGTGATGGGAGTTGTAGTTCAACAACGTCTGGGGACCCACAGGTTGAGAAAGGCTGGTTTAGATAGTTGCTAGGCATCCTTCTCATGAGCAGGAGTTGCGGTGGGCTGGCCAATCTGTTGCAGTGGTAAGAGCATTGGACTAGGACCTGGGAGAACAGGTTTCAAATCTCCACTTGGCCATGAAACTCACTGGGTGACCTTAGGCCAGTCACTGGGTCTCAGCCCAATCTACCTCACAGGGCTGCTGTAGGAATTAAATGAGGTTGGGGGGAACAATGTGTACGGCCCTGAGCATCTTGGAAGCTGTTGATCTTTAAAGGTGTTGACCTTTAAAGCCCTAAACGGCCTCGGCCCAGTATACCTGAAGGAGCATCTCCACCCCCATCATCCTACCCAGACACTGAGGTCCAGCGCCAAGGGCCTTCTGGCGGTTCCCTCACTGTGAGAAGCCAAGTTACAGGGAACCAGGCAGAGGGCCTTCTCGGTAGTGGCACCCACCCTGTGGAATGCCCTCCCACCAGATGTCAAAGAGAAGAACAACTACCAAACTTTTAGAAGACATCTGAAGGCAGCCCTGTTTTGGGAAGCTTTTAATGTTTGATCTATTACGGTATTTTAATATTTTGTTGGAAGCTGCCCAGAGAGGCTGGGGAAACCCAGCCAGTTGGGCGGGGTACAAATAATAAATTATTATTTTTATTATTATTGGAAGAAAGGTGGGATATAAATGCATCAAATACATTCATAAATGCAAAAAATAAAATGAAAAATGAAATAGAATAGTCTTGGTGGATCAGCCCCTAATTAGGCCCAGCTAACTGAGTGCACATGACTGGTCGGTTGCCTCAAGGGAGCCCAGAAGTAGAACACAAAATCCTTCATTCATTCTGCCCCCTGCCCCCACCTCCATCTTCCTGTTAAGCAGCCAAGACTAAATAAGGCTTTATTTCAGCTGTATATTTGAAAGATGTGCCAAAGATAAAATATATCTTTCGAATCCATTTTATAAGCATTATTTTTTATGGGGCACTATAAACGCACGTTTTAATGCTGCAATAACATTCTGTGTTTTGAAGATTGTTGGATGCTAGGGGCTCTTTGGGTGAGAATGTGTTATGAGATGAAATCAGCTTACAGAAAGGAATCAGAGAATTAGAGAGCTGGAAGGGACTCCAAGGATTATCCAGTGCCACCCCCTGCGATGCAAGAATCACAGCTAAACAAAAATCCCTTACGGATGAACCTCTAGTCTCTGTCACACCACACCTGGGATACTGTGTCCAGCTCTGGACACCACTGTTGAAGGAGGATATTGGGTAGTTGGTACGTGTGCAGAGGAGGGCGACCAAGATGATCAAGGGTCTGGAAACCAAGCCGGATGAGGAATGGTTGAAGGATCTTGGTATGTTTAACATGGAAAAGAGGAGACTGAGAGGTGATAGGAGAGCCACCTTCAAATATGTGAAGGGTTGTCACCAGTGGCGTCACAACGTGGGGCGGGAGGGTGGTGCGCTCCCGGTGCCACATCTGCAGGGGTGACAAGAAGGCGACCCGCCGTGGTGGCGCGAACAGCCATCGTGTCGCCACAGCCGCATGTGGAGGATCCTCCATTTGCGGCTGCAGCCACGAACAGAGGGTCCCGGCACCGGCGGCAAACCGCTATGTACAGTGCATGTGCATTGTCACTACATACAGCGCATGCGCCATACGTAGTGATGCCGCACATGCGCTGTACATAGTGGTTTGCCTCCAGTGCTGGGATCCTCTGCTGTATGTAGCGACGCCACACATGCACTGTAATTGTGTTTTGCCGTCGGCACCACTACAGCGCCGTACAAACGGTGCCAGGATCCTTTGCAGTGGCTGTAGAGGATCCTCCGTTCGCGGCTGCAGCCACAAGCAGAGGATCCCAGTAGCGTCCATACAGTGCTGGAGCGGTGCCGCCGGCAAACCGCTATGTACAGTGCATGTGAGGTTGGAGGTGGTTGGAGGATGGATGGCAGCTAATGGATTGAGGTTGAATCCTGACAAGACGGAAGTACTGTTCTTGGGGGACAGGGGCAGGCTGGTGTGGGGGACTTCCAGATCCTGAATGGGGTAACTGTGCCCCTGAAGGACCAGGTGCACAGCCTGGGAGTCATTTTGGACTCACAACTGTCCATGGGGGTGCAGGTCAATTCTGTGTCCAGGGCGGCTGTCTACCAGCTCCACCTGGTACGCAGGCTGAGACCCTACCTGCCCGCGGACTGTCTCGCCAGAGTGGTGCATGCTCTAGTTATCTCCTGCTTGGACTACTTCAATGCGCTCTATGTGGGGCTACCTTTGAAGGTGACCCAGAAACTGCAATTAATTCAGAATGCGGCAGCCAGACTGGTGAGTGGGAGTGGCTGCCGGGACCACATAATACCGGTCCTGAGAGATCTGCATTGGCTCCCAGTACGTTTCAGAGCACAATTCAAAGTGTTGGTGTTGACCTTTAATGCCCTAAACGGCCTCGGCCCAGTATACCTGAAGGAGCGTCTCCACCCCCATCATTCCGCCCAGATGCTAAGGTCCAGCACCGAGGGCCTTCTGGCAGTTCCCTCATTGTGAGAAGCAAAGCTACAGGGAACCAGGCAGAGGGCCTTCTTGGTAGTGGCGCCCACGCTGTGGAACGCCCTCCCATCAGATGCCAAAGAGATAAACAACTACCTGACATTCAGGAGACATCAGGGAAGTTTTTAATGTGTGACATCTTAGTGTATTTTTGGTCTTTGTTGGAAGCCACCCAGGGTGGCTGGGGAAACCCAGCCAGATGGGCGGGGTACAAATAATAAATCATCATCATTATTATTATTACATACGGCGCATGCGTAGTACGTAGAGGCGCCGCACATGCAAGCTACGTAGCGACACCCTGCCCTGGGTGCCACGACACCTTCGTTTGTCCCTGGTTGTCACGTGGGAGATGGAGCAAGCTTGTTGTCTGTTGCTCTGGAGGGTAGGACCCAAACCAATGGATTCAAATGGCATTCTAAACCTTAGAAATAACTTTCTAGGGTAAGAGCTGTTCAACGGTGGAATGGACTCCCTTGGAAGTTGATGGACTCTCTTTCACTGGAGGTTTTTAAGCATAGGATGGAGGCCCACCTGTCAGGGATTCTTTAGCAGTGATTTCTGCATTGCAGGGTCTGGACAAGTTTAGCCCTGGGGTCCCTTCCGGCTGTATGATTCTATGCTAATTCTTTGGTGTGGAATTTCTGACTGCTAGTTTTAAACTTTCTTTCTAATCAGGCAGCTGAACTCTGGCAAAGTGAAGACATCAGGCAAGTTAAGGGGAGTCTTACTACTGCCCGTGGTCTTGACAAAGTCACTTTACATGATTGAAGATCCAGCACTCGGGGGTAATTAACCACAGATAACTCACCATTAGCATTAACGGGGATTTATCTTTGGCTCATTATCCCAATTTCCAGCCTTAAAAAAACACCCACATGTGAAGTTCAAAGTGCCCTTCCTACTTCTCCCCCAAACCTTAAACTACAATGGGAAAGGACTGGTGCAGTTCTGCAGCAAAACACACACCTGCTATATTCTGAATGGCGGAAGGTAGCTCTTCTTGTCTGTAGATCTAACATCTGTGGTAGCTAAAGTGGAACCTCTTCGGTCAGAGGCAGTGTGCCTGTGGATACCACTGGGGAACAATGAGCAAGTGTTGGTGGTCACCTTCATCTCCTGATCCTAGGATTCCTGGAGGGACCTAACTGAACACCCTTGGAGGCAGAATGCTGGGGCAGGTGGTCCTTTGAACTGATCCAGCAGGACACTATTTGTGAAGTTCAGGTTTGAATGGGGAAGGCCCCACTCAAGCTCAGAGTCCAGTGCCGTGCATGCAGCAGGTCCTGGGTTCAATCCCCAATGGCATATTCAGATAGAGGATCCTGTGAAACCATGGGGCACTGCTGCCAGTCTGTGTAGGTAATGCTGAGCAAGATGGACCAATAGTCTTCTTCTTATTATTATTTATTTATTCAAGTCAAGTAACCTTTATTGGCATCACATAGGAACATTCAGAATACATTCAGAATAAATAGGCCAGTGCGATCTTGTTGCCATTTCAATAGTACAGACATTTGCCAAAGGGAAGAAGAGGCGAGCAATCTGTTTCATCTCTGTGGGTCTCCAGCAAGGGCAGGATCCTGTAGCATACTTCAGCGACAAAAAATCAAATAGAGGGACTTAGCTACGGTCTTGGTGAGCTCCTGGTCTCTCCCCTGTAATAAGAAGCATATAACCTCTGTCTCTGGTTTCCATGTTGGAATACATAGATGGTCTAGAAATTGTTGGCGGAGATCATCATACATTTTACATTTAAGGGCCATGTGAGCTAGAGTTTCCACCAGGTGGGCATTGCATAGGTAGATCCTATCTCCTTCTGCCATACCCGCAAACCTACCCCAAAGGAGGTTAGAAGGATTAGAATTGAACCTATAGCCAGCGAAAAAGCCCTTCTTTCTTGTGGTTTAAACAAAAATTGTAAATAATTAAGGTTAAAATCTTGTGCCCAATAGAGTCAAAAATAAAGAGGGGAACATGTTTTTTCCGCAGCTGAGATTAGTTCCTGGCGATCTATTTATTTATTGAATTGACTTACTTACTTGGGATAAGGCAGCTCTTAAGTCTTAACCCCGGAGAGCTACTCCCAGTCAGTGCAGACAATCCTTAGCTAGATGGACCAGGGATCTGGCTCGGTATAAGGCAGCCTATTTCCCCATGGTCTTCATGCAGCCAAAATGGCACCATCCAAAGGCAACCAAGTGGTCTTCTGATGCTGAATGGACAAAACTGCCCTTTCCAAACAGAAGCTCTCATGGGACCTTCAGCTGCCACCATCTTGGATCTGAAGGCATCTGAACCAACTGATTCTAATTACAAGAAAAGGCAGTTCCAATTAAACTTTAGGAAGAACTTTCTGGTGGTAAAGAGCTGCTTGACAATGGAATGGAAGACCATGAAGAGTGGTGAAGTCTCCTTCCTTGGAGGTTTTTAAGCAGAATTTGGGTTGCCTTCTCAAAGGGCTTCTTTCCTGCATTTCAGGGCCATATGAGACTTGGGGTCTCTTCCATCTCTACAACTCTATGAAGGCCACAGGCACATTCTGCCATGTGGTCTTGTCCTCTCTCTCTCTCTCTCTCTCTCTCTCTGTAGCAACTGATCTAATCTGAGGGCTCAAGCGTCGCTCCAGCTAAATTATAACTCATTGGTGACATTGTGAAATATGACTCTCCTCACAATTGCTGGCGAGGGTTATTTGCCATCTACATTATGCATATATAATAATATTCTATGCAAAAAAGGGGGACATTAGCAAAGCACCCGGGCAGAGGATTTCAGTCACGCAAGTGTCAGCATATTTAAAAAATGGGGGTTAAGATTATACCAGGTTCGATTTCCAACATATTGCTTATAGCAATGCACTGACATCTCCACCTCCCTTGCTGTTTGCAATTATGGCAATAAGTAAAGTCAAGGGGGGTTGGTTTCCACAGCAACTCTAGGGCCTCTTTCAGCACACCCCAATCAGTATTATACCATTGTGATGCTCTTGAGTGCAACAAGGCATTCACATGAAGTTGAAGGGGGCTGGATTACTATAATGCGCTCTATCTGGGGCGGCCCTTGGGCCTGGTTCAGAAGCTCTGGCTGGTGCAGAATGCAGCAGCCAGACTGTTGATGGGGCATCTGGTTGAGAACATGTGACCCCATTTTTAATACACTGGCTGCACAACTTAGGTCCACGATACCTTGGGGAATCCCCTGAACACTTCTATCCCAGCTAGATTACTGAGATCATCTGCAGTAGCATTGTTGGCAGTGGCGGACCTACCTTTTGGGGGCCCTGAATCCTGAACTGTCATGGGGCCCCACTTCACAACCAACAATGAGGTCTGGATAAAACTGAAGTCCCCTAAATGGCTGGTTCACACCTGAAGGAAAGCCTTCTCCTTGGACAATGATAGAAGGTGACTTCCATTCAACATACTTTTCTTCAGTTTCACTTCAACAGCATGCTCAGCTTTCTCCAAAGGGCCTTCTTGGTGGTGGTTTCCAGAGTTTGGAACTCCCTCCCTGGAGAGGCCAGACTGCCTCCCTCCATGCTGTTATTCCACTGGCAGGTGAAGATTTCCTTATTCCAACAGGCCCTTAGGGGACTAGCATATATATATATATATATATCTATATATATATATATATATATATATATATTAATAGTGCTTGTTGTTTTGACTACCTGCATTGTAAGAAATCTGATTTTTATAGTAAAGGTAAAGGGACCCCTGACCACTAGGTCCAGTCGTGACCGACTCTGAGGTTGCGACGCTCATCTCGCTTTATTGGCTGAGGGAGCCGGCGTACAGCTTCCGGGTCATGTGGCCAGCATGACTAAGCCGCTTCTGGCGAACCAGAGCAGCGCACGGAAGCGCCAATTAACTTCCCACTGGAGCAGTACCTATTTATCTACTTGCACTTTGACGTGCTTTTGAACTGCTAGGTTGGCAGGAGCAGGGACCGAGCAACGGGAGCTCACCCCGTCACAGAGGATTCGAACCGCTGACCTTCTGATCAGCAAATCCTAGGCTCTGTGGTTTAACCCACAGCCCCACCTGTGTCCCTGATTTTTATACATTGTTTTCATTCTATTAAGAGTTACTTCTTTAACACTTGTCTTTTATATGCCTTTAGCTTTTTGCATTTCATCTGTGTTATTTTAATTTGTGCAAACCGCCTTGGGAAAGAGGTAACTTACAAATAAATAAATAAATAAATACATAAATACAGTGGTATCTCGGGTTACATATGCTTCAGGTTACATATGCTTCAGGTTACAGACTCCGCTAACCCAGAAATAGTGCTTCAGGTTAAGAACTTTGCTTCAGGATGAGAACAGAAATTGGGCTCCAGTGGCGCGGCGGCAGCAGGAGGCCCCATTAGTTAAAGTGCTGCTTCAGGTTAAGAAGAGTTTCAGGTTAAGTACAGACCTCCGGAACGAATTAAGTACTTAACCTGAGGTACCACTGTAAAGCTTCTCATACCAAGGCCACTTATGGAGGGTTTCGCCCAAGGTGATCAGCTGCTGCAGAATTATTTTTCAACACTGGGTGACTGAACCTTCTCCCCATCGCATTCAGTACAGGTTCCCACTATCAAGGCCCTGAAACTTCTTCCTTTTTTTTTACAAAACCAGGTCCTGGTGGGTTAAATCACACATCCCTGTTGCCATTTATCCCCTTCCCAACATTTCCCTTCTCCTCCCCACTCTCCCCCTGACAGGGGTAGGATGCGGGGGACCAACTCTAATTCCAAAGCACCGCCTGAACATGTAAATCCTTCAAAGAGGGAGCGTTCCTATTTATGAGTCTCTTATTCCCTTCCAAAAAAAAAATAGTAGCGAAAACTGGAACTAGCAGACCCACCCCTTCTTGCATGCCTGCTGTTCTACCTTTCATTTCCTACTCCTTCCCCATTGTCCCTCCAGCATCCTCTCCCTCCTTCTACCTAGCTGGAAACATGTGCTGTGTATTAGTGATAAGGAAGGAAGGCTTAAAAAAATAAATTAAATAAAATACGCCTCCATTGACACATGCAGGTGGTTCTGGATTCTGTGTGTTTTCCTCCATTCACTGCCTTCACTCTGATCTTCTCTTTCATTGCCTCTTGCGTAAGAGTACCTGTCTCTCTCCGCCTTCGCTAATGGTCCCCCCGTCACCCCCTCGCCTTTTCAGTTCGACAGACGCCCAGAATGATACCTCGAAATGATAGCCGAGGCAGATTAGTCAGCAAACCGTCCATTTCCAGAAAGATAATTAAACGCAATGAGTTCTCTTGCACCCTTGGAACGGCGGGATAATGGCACCCCTTCCTCCTCCAGTGTTGCGGGGGGGGGGGAGGAAGGGTCTCCTTGTATTCAGATCCCTACTTGAAACCCAGAGGATTTATTATGGCATGAGCTTTTGCGGACTGAGAGCTCTTGTGGATAAGTCCACAGTAGCTTATGCTGCAATAAACCTGTTAACTTTTAAGGTGCAACCTCCTGGCTTTGTTGCTTTTGCAGCAAGAGACAAACGGTGTGGCAGTTTCCTTTGACTGGAAACCATAACGTCCACCCAAGTCAGTTTGTAGGAACTCAAAGACATCTCTCATCACCCCTGACCACGGCTGATGTGACTTGCAGTCTAACTGCCAGGGACTGGGCAGGTGGGGACGAGTGGTGGAAGACCTCCATCTCAAGAGGCATCTGGGCAGGAGGAAGATGATGATAGTATGGACCCAGATTCATAGTGGGGGCAGGGGACAGGACGCATCTTAGAAGAAGAAGCAAAGAGCTGGGAAATAATGGAGGATTGGGAACAAGTTAGCAGATGCTTTAGTCCTGAACAGAGACAGGACTCAGAAGTGGGAGAAACAGTACAGCATTCAGTGGACACTGTCGCTTGAAAGCCTGGTAGAACCTCCTTTTCCAAGGCCCAGGTGATCTTAGAGCAGAAGGCCAAACAGAGACAGAAAGATTCCATTGCTGGCCACCATAGGCAGTAAGGAGGGGTTTGGAAGTGCTGCAAAGGAGTGGAGCAGGCACTCTGAGCAATGTCTCAGGACTGAGGAGAACATAATCCATGGTCTTTCTGTGTTGACTTAAATAAAAGAACCAGCAGACGCTATCTACGTCTCTGATTTCACTAGGCAGCTAGCCTGGGAATCGTGACACTAACATCTCAAAGGCAACAAAGGTCCCTCATCCCTGAACTAGACCTTCACTTGCCTTTACAGTGGTACCTCAGGTTAAGAACTTAATTCGTTCTGGAGGTCCGTTCTTAACCTGAAACTGTTCTTAACCGGAGGTACCACTTTAGCTAATGGGGCCTCCCGCTGCTGCCGCCACCGCTGCACAATTCCTGTTCTCACCCTGAAGCAAAGTTCTTAACCCGAGGTACTGTTTCTGGGTTAGCGGAGTCTGTAACCTGAAGCGTCTGTAACCTGAGCTACCACTCTACTGTCCCTGTCTACCTCCATCACAACTTTGCCTTCTTTTAATGCAGGGCTGAGGAACCTGTGGCCTTCCAGATGTTGTTGCACTCCAGCTCCCATCACATCTGACCGTTGGCCATGCAGACTGGAGCTGAATGGGAGTTGGAGTCCCACAACATGAGAGTGCCCACAATTGTCCCACCGCTCTCAGGGACTGGTTGGATGAGGAGGAGTAGTGCTGGGAGTCTCCTGGCCAGGAGCTTCCCAGGGAGCACAGGGAAGGCAAGGATTTAGACCAGCGGTTCTCAACCTGAGGTTCCCCAGATGTTGTTGGACTACAACTCCCATCATCCCTAGCTAGCAAGGCCAGAGCTCAGGGATGATGGGGGTTGTAGTCCAACATATGGGGACCCACAGGTTGAGAACCGCTGATTTAGACCCTGGGTCCTGGAGGTGGGGCAACGAAGAAGAGGCTGGGGAAGGGATGAGTTAGGAGATGCTGGAGGCAGGAGATTGGAGTGATCAAGGTGGGTCAGAAGAAGGTCCTTCCAGACCAGGGCTGGAGGGTGAACATCTCAATGTGAGCGCAGACACAGACAGACACAGACGGGGAGGAATCAGATGGTACACCTGCCATCCCGCAGCAGAACAGTCTCAGTCCTGCTGGCTCTCCTCCTCTCACAACCAGCTCTAGGAGAGTCCTGCATGTTGAAGAGCAATGGGCCAGACAGGCCCAGAGGAGGAGCTCACTTCCAAGTCATAGTCTCCATTTGTTGTGGGGGGCAGGGGGCTCCAGAGTGAGAGGCTAGAGGGGAAAGGCTCAATTTCTAGCAATGTCTGAAGCTGAAGCTGTCGAGCCAGGAAGACCTCAATTGCATTCTGTACCTCAGGCCTTTTCCTGACTTGCAGGGACTTGGCACTTTCCTGTCAGCCCTTAGAACCTAAGGAAAACCCTGCTGGATCAAACCAAAGCTCCATCTAGGAAGGTCCCTGTCATGTAAGGACCTCTATTGAAAACTTGGAGAACTTAGAATCATAGAATCATAGAGTTGGAAGAGACCACAAGGGCCATCGAGTCCAACCCCCTGCCAAGCAGGAAACACCATCAGACAGGCAGTGTTTCTGTGTCTTAAAGGAAGAGTCATTGATGAGCTGTTGAGCATTTGCTGTGAATGCAGAAGAACCCAGGTTCAGTCCCCAGTGTCACCTCCAGGTTGGGAGGGGGAAGTCCAAAAAACCACTGCCAGTCAGTGCAGTCAATATAGAACTCAATGGATCGATGGCTTGGGTCAATAAACAGCAGCTTCGTCTTTTCTCCATCCAAAACACTATTGGCTATTTTTCTTTGCCTCCATGTCTCTGGGGGTGGGGGCAGGGCGGTGACAGCCCAGCACCATTTATTTATTTATTTATTTATTTATTTATTTATTTATTTATTTGCCGCTCATCTGACTGGGATGCCCCAACCACTCTGGGTGGCTTTCAGCAAATTAAAACCTCAAACATAGTAATATATATTTTATTTTTTTATTATTTATACCCCACCCATCTGGCTGGGTTTCCCCAGCCACTCTGGGTGGCTACCAACCGAATATGTTCCAACCGACAGTAAAACATCAACCTTTAAAAACTTCCTTGGACAGAGCTGCCTTCAGATGTCTTCTAAAAGTTGTTTATTTCCTTGACATCTGATGGGAGGGTGTTCCACAAGGAGGGCCTGACTACTGAAAAGGACCTCTGCCTGGTTCCCTGTAATCTTACTTCTCACTGTGAGGGAACCGCCAGAAGGTCCTCGAAGCTGGACCTCAGTGTTCAGGCTGGACAATGGGATGGAGATGCTCCTTCAGGTATTGTTGTTGTTGTTGTTTAGTCATTTAGTCGTGTCTGACTCTTCATGACCCCATGGACCAGAGCACGCCAGGCACTCCTGTCTTCCACTGCCTCCTGCAGTTTGGTCAAACTCATGCTGGTAGCTTCGAGAACACTGTCCAACCATCTTGTCCTCTGTCATCCCCATCTCCTTGTGCCCTCCATCTTTCCCAACATCAGGGTCTTTTCCAGGGAGTCTTCTCTTCTCATGAGGTGGCCAAAGTATTGGAGCCTCAGCTTCAGGATCTGTCCTTCCAGTGAGCACTCAGGGCTGATTTCCTTCAGAATGGAGAGGTCTGATCTTCTTGCAGTCCATGGGACTCTCAAGAGTCTCCTCCAGCACCATAATTCAAAAGCATCAATTCTTCAGCGATCAGACTTCTTTATGGTCCGGCTCTCACTTCCATACATCACTACTGGGGAAAACCATAGCTTAAGGTATACAGGGCCGAAACCATTTAGGGCTTTAAAGGTCAGCACCAACACTTTGTATTGTGCTCAGAAACGTACTGGGAGCCAATGCAGTTCTTTGAGGACTAGTTATATATGCTCCCATTGGCCTCTCCCAGTCACCAGTCTAGCTGCTCCTCCTCTCCATGTGGGGAGGTGGTTGTGATTGTACGATATATACGAAGAGTGTGTGCGTGTTGTGGATAAAGGAAGCACTTAAGCAACGCTTATCAAGATGGATAAATCATGGTGTGGTATCAGATTGTTGGACAGGGGTGAGGTACAAGAGTGTGTTGGTCCGACACTGATGGTTATTCCCAGTGGGAAGATAAGATTGAGGGAAAGATTAGGGTGCTGGCTGGTGGCATTCGAAGCGAAGCCACTTCAGAGAGCATCATAACTCACCCATACAAAGCTGAGCATGAGATCTGTTTACTGTTGATTAATGGCAGATATGGCAGGTTCTCAGCCCATATTTTTGATGGCTATCCAAGGTCCTTGCTTTGTTTTGCTTAGATTCCTAGAGTACAGTGGTACCTCGGGTTAAGTACTTAATTCATTCCGGAGGTCCGTACTTAACCTGAAACTGTTCTTAACCTGAAGCACCACTTTAGCTAATGGGGCCTCCTGCTGCTGCTGTGCCACTGGAGCATGATTTCTGTTCTCATCCTGAAGCAAAGTTCTTAACCTGAAGCACTATTTCTGGGTTAGCGGAGTCTGTAACCTGAAGCGTATGTAACCCGAGGTACCACTGTAATACGAAAGAACCAAGGCAAACTTCAGCTGTTGGAAAGGCAAATGAAAGTTCACATTGCAAGCAGCACTTTGGACAGCTCTGGATGGATATGGACAGAAATCAGCTCAGCAGAAGGTGGCAGACACAGACCCAAATAGGGCCAAAATAGGCAGGCAGTCAACAGCTTGTCAAAAGGCGCTAGCGCTAACCCTACCTGGAGATGCTAGGGGGCTGTAGGTGGGGCATTCTGCAATCTGCATGCAAAACAGGTGTGCTACCACTGGGCTACGGTCCTCCCCCCCGCCCCCAGGTGAATGGGAATAATAATAATAATAATAATAATAACAGTTTATTTATACCCCGCCCATCTGGCTGGGCTTCCCCAGCCACTCTGGGTGGCTTCCAGCAAAATATTAAAATACAGTAATGCACCAAACATTAAAAGCTTCCCGAAACAGGGCTGCCTTCAGATGTCTTCTAAAAGTCTGGTAGTTGTTTTTCTCTTTGACATCTGGTGGGTGGGCGTTCCACAGGGTGGGTGCCACTACCGAGAAGGCCCTCTGCCTGGTTCCCTGTAACTTGGCTTCTCGCAGTGAGGGAACCGCCAGAAGGCCCTCGGCGCTGGATCTCAGTGTCCGGGTAGAACGATGGGGGTGGAGGCGCTCCTTCAGATATAATGGACCGAGGCTGTTTAGGGCTTTAAAGGTCAGCACTCCAGTTAATAAAGCAAGAATAATAAAATTATACAGGTGGAAGCCAGCTAGCCAGCCAGCCACACCTTTCCCATGATACTCCATTCCGTTCAGCAGCCGTTTCCAGGTCAGAAGAGTAGCACTTGGGGCATCTGAGAACTAGAGGGTGAAATCATAGAATCATAGAAGGGGACCCAAGGGTCATCTAGTCCAACCCCCTGCAGTGCAGGAAACTCAACTGAAGCGCAAATGCAAGTGCACCCAAGCCCATTTTTCTGTATTTTAAATAGGTTGTGAATGACCCCAGCAACTTCTGAGAAATGCAGTCAGAAAGTTCTTCCTGTATTTATCTGGAATCTCCTTTCTTGATGCTTGAATCCATTGGTTTGAGTCCTAGCCTCTGGAGCAGGAGAAAACAAGCTTCCACGAGGCAGCTCTTTAGATATACGAGGATGACGATCGCATATCTCCATTGCTGTAGCTTTTCCCCCAACTCATTTGCTTGCTATGCCCCAGTTTGCAGCTAGTTTGGCCTGCTATGCCCCTTTCTGCAAACAATTCTACCCATCATGCTAATGTTTGCAAGTCATTCCCCCTAATATACTGCATTTCTTTTGGTTGCTTTCACTGACATAAGCACACACACCCTGCCAATATATATATATACATTTGTGTGCACATTTCTCAACAAGAGGCCACAATCACAAAACTGGGAAGTGTTTGAATCTCAAAGGATGGCTGCATTTTGGTGCATGTATCACATCAGTGAAGTGTGAAGCCGGTAGGTTTGCATTACATGTGCATTAAAAACCAATAAGATTTGCATTAAAATGTGAATTGAAGCAAATTTCTGCCCCATCAGCAACATTAGGCCTTTAGATAGTGAAAGAAAATAAAAATCTTTCAGTCCTGCAAAAAAAAAAAAAGGGTGGGGTGATAAGTCCCACAACCTAAGACCAAGACAATATTCTACAGCTCAAGAAAACTGAGTTTGTTTAGCCCTTTGAATTATCTTTTTTGGGGAAATGTTTGTAAAATTGCTCTGCATGTGTTCCTTATCCTTAGTGACATCACTGTGCAGCCACATCCAATCACTTAATTGTTGTTAGCTGCTCTCAGCCCGGCTTTGGCTGGGGAGGGCGGGATATACCGTATTTTTCGCTCTATAAGACGCACCAGACCACAAGACGCACCTAGTTTTTGGAGGAGGAAAACAAGAAAAAAAATATTCTGAATCCCAGAAGCCAGAACAGCAAGAGTGATCTCTGCACAGTGAAAGCAGCGATCCCTCTTGCTGTTCTGGCTTCTGGGGTAGCTGCGCAGCCTGCATTCACTCCATAAGACGCACACACATTTCCCCTTACTTTTTAGGAGGGAAAAAATGAGTCTTATACAGCAAAAAATACGGTAAATAAAATTATTATTATTATTATTATTGTGTAGCAACATCCTTCCTTTGGCCTCTTAACCAATTATCTCTCAGTTTTAATCAGTTCTTCCATCTTTTTCAGTTTGTGAACCCTGATTGGCTGGGGTCACCCATCTGGCTAAACCAGAAAACAGGTCTCACTTGACTTCATGAGCCCTCAGTGATGTCATCACAGAGCCAGATCAGAGGGGTTATGCAGCACTGTGACATCACCGTCCTCTGATCACCGTCCTCTGACTGGCATCATTATGGGTGTCAAAATGCCACCAGTCACATTTTGCCAGTTAAATCCTCCTGAGCCGGGGGAGGGAGGTGAATATAAATATGGAGGTATGGATCCAGAGTGGAAGATAAAATATAGAATGATAGAACTGTGAAACTGGAATGGACCCTGAGAGTCATCTAGTCCAACCACCTGCAATCCAGGAATCTCAACTAAAGCATCCATGACAGATGGCCATCCAACCTCTGCTTAAAAACCTCCAAGGAAGGAGAATCCACAACCTCCCAAAGGAGTCCGTTCCACTGACAAACAGCTCTTACTGTCAGAAAGCTCTTCCTGATGCTTAGACAGAATCTCCTTTCTTATAACTTGAAGCCATTGGTTTGGGTCCTACCCTCCAGAGCAGCAGAAAACAGGTTTATTCCATCTTCCATGTGACAGCCCTTTAGATATCTGAAGAAGACTATCATATCACCTCTCAGTCTCTTCTTCTTCAGGCTAAACATGCCCAGCTCCTTCAACCGTTCCTCATCTGGCTTGATTTCCAGACCCTTGATCATCTTGGTTGTCCTCCTCTGCACATATTTCAGCTTGTCAACATCCTTCTTAAATTGTGGCACCCAGAACTGGACACAGTAGTGTAGGTTCGGTCTGACCAAGGCAGAATAGAGTGGAACTATTACATCCCTTGATTAGGATGCTATATTTTTGTTGATAGAACCTAGAATATCATTAGTTCTTTCTTTGCTGCTGCATCACACTGTTGGCTCACGTTCGGCTTGTGGTCCACTAAGACCCCTAGATCCTTTTCACATGCAGGCTGTACCCCATCTTACATTTGTGCATCTGGTTTTCCTGCCTAAGTGCAGAACCTGACATTTATCCCTATTGAAATTCATTTTGATAGTTTGATAGTCCGTTCTCCCATCTGTTAAGGTCATCTTGTCTTCTGCAACATTAGCTACCCCTCAGATCATTCATAAAGATGTTGAACAGCAACTGGCCCAGGACAGAACCCTACGTCACCCTACTTGTCACTTTTTAACAGGATGACGAAGAACTATTAATGAGCATTATCTGAGTTTGGTCAGGCAACCAGCTACAAATCCCCTAACAGTAACCTCATCCAGCCCACAGTTTACCAACTTGTTTGCCATGGGGGACTTGGAGTTTATGCATTTTTAACGTGAACAAAAAGGAGTGTTTGCACAAATAGGTTGGTGGAGAGAGACAGAGAAACACACACACACACACACACAGAGAGAGAGAGAGAGAGAGAGAGAGAGAGAGAGAGAGAGATCTGCAAGGAATCAACTTTTCAGTGTGCCAGGACTGACACTTTGGAACTCTCTGCCACTTGACATCAGGCAAATGCCTCCATGAACTCTTTCCTGTACCTACTTAAAAAAATTTCTGTTTCGGAAAGCTTATCCAAATATGTAGAATGTTGGCACGCACTTCATTCTGGTTTCTTTATATATATGTGTGTATATATGTGTGTGTGTATCATTTTCAACAATAATGAAACATACTTTTATATCTTATACAGTTTTTTAGACTTCCATCAATCACATCTAAACATTTTCCTATCTTTCCCACTTAGTTTACATTTCTTACTTTCACTATTACATTTAAGTATCGTAACTAATATCTTTCATCTTTATCTTCTTTGCAATATTTCGTATATTCCTCCTTACAAAACTTCTTGTAGTCCTACTGGTGTAATTCGTTGATTACAATTGCTCTTCAAATAGTTCGTGTATTTGTTCCAATCTTCTGTGAATCTCTGGTCCCGCAGGTTTTGAATCCTTCCTGTCATCTTGTCTAGGGCAGCCCTGTTTAGGGAGGCTTTTAATGTTTGATGTGTTACGGTATTTTAATATTTTGTTGGAAGCTGCCCAGAGTGGCTGGGGAAGCCCAGCCAGATGGGTGGGGTATAAATAAATAATAATAATAATTATTATTATTAACTCTGCATAGTCCATTAATTTCGTCTGCCATTCCTCTTTCGTCGGTATTTCTTCTTGCTTCCATTTCTGGGCACACTTCATTCTGGTTCCTAGCTTACTGTTGACTTCAGTTATGCTTTGAACATTCTAAATAGTTGTTTTCAATGGGCTTTTTAAAAAACTGATACAGCAATTTGTTTTATTACTTTTGCAAACCACTTTGAGAAGGCTTCCCCCGCCACCTCCAATCGAGTGGTATACAAGTTTTATGAAATAAAACAAATGTGGTCCCTGATTGGCACGTTATGAACACAGGTTGGATAGGGAAATAGCAGCCATAAGGGCAGAAAACACTATCCCCCCCCCCAGTTTGTCTATCAAACTGTGAGGCTGTTCAGCGCACCCCCTAACTCCGAAACTCTCTGAATGGTGAAAGGGGGAGTCTTCCGCTCCGAGCATTGCATCCCCGGCACGTGCAGAAAAAGTTCTTCCGTGTTCTCGCCTGAGAGTCATCTGTCGAAATGTCACCAGTCAAACTTTGCTAGATGAATCTGCCGGGTGGGTGGGAGGGGGGCAGGTTTAAATATAAATATGGAGGTGTGGATCCAGAGGGGAAGATAAAGATATGTATTTTTAACACAGAGGAAAAGGAGCATCTGTATAAATAGGTTGATGACATCGTGAAAGGAGGCTATAAATAAAAAGACAGACAGGGAGAGGTAAGATGTTATCGCTGGCTTTCTGGGCTGCTTGGGGGGGGGGCTGCCTGCCATGCTCTTGCACCCTTGGGTGTCAGTCAGAGATCCCCATCACAGAAGTGAAGAGCAGCTCTTCGCAGTACAAAGAGGAGGAGGAAATGTCTGATTGGCTGATGTGCTAAAAATAAGGACCGTCACCACTCACGTTTGCTCACGGTGTGAAGACAAATAGCCACACTACAGATACCTTCCTGGCTACTCCCGGGAAAGTTAGCACAATCACGCAGTGTACAACTTTGCTCCTTTTTTTAAAAAAATAATAATAATCATCAGAGATGCATTTTAAATAAAAGGACACATTCTACTCATGTAAAAACACGCTGATTCCCGGACCGTCTGCGGGCCGGATTTAGAAGGCAATTGGGCCGGATCCGGCCCCTCGGCTTTAGTTTGCCTATCCCTGCTCCAGAAGGATACCATGGTCAATGGTATTGAAAGCTGCTGAGAGTTCACGGAGAATTAACAAGGACATGTTTCCCTTGTGTCTCTCTCGACAGAGATCATCATACAGGATGACCAAAGCAGCTTCTGTGCCAAAACTGTGCCTAAGCCCCGATTGAAATGGAACCAGGAAATCAGTTTCTTCCAAAGCACCTGGATCTGGCCTGTGACCACTCCTATGTTTAGACAAATTCATGGCTACTAACCATGAAGGCCATGGCTACTAACCCATTTAAGGTCTCTAGACTGTCTTGCCAGTGTGCTGGGCCCAGGGGCAACCTGTGAAAAGTGGTCCAGGACCAGTCCAGAATGCAAAGGTTCTGCTAGGAGTCAGTCCAACAGGGCCAAGGCAGGACACAAAGCAGGAAACCAGGCAAGGACAGGTGCAGGATCTAGCATACAGCAATGTTGCTCCTGCAACCTGGGGCAGGGTGCGACAGCCTTTTATCTTTGTCGGGGCAGCAGCTGGTCCTGATCCCCCGGCAACTCACCTCCCTGTTTCGCCCAAAGGTGAGCTCTTCTCCTGCGAGTACTCAGGTCTCTCCTTCTCTCCAACCTTAGTCTCTGCAGCTCGGGAGACGTCGGTGGGTTACTAGACCCAGAGGCCGCCTCAGCCTCCCCTGACCCAACTGGTAGTGGAGCAGCTGTAAGTGATGGCCCAGCTGAAGTCAACGAGGTAATCCTCGCATCTGGAGCCAGGGCAGGCTCAGGCCCCTGACTCAGCCCAGGTGGTGTTTGTTGCAGGGGAACATGTGCAGACTGGGACTCTTCAGGATCAGGCCCCAGACTTGGTTCAGATGATGCCTGAGGCAAATGATCTGGTGCAGACTGAGTCTCCTCTGGTTCCGAGTCTGAGCCCGAGTCCCAGGCCATCACAGCCAGAGTGGTGCATGCTCTAGTTATCTCCCACTTGGACTACAGCAGTGCATTCTACATGGGGCTTTCATTAGAAGGGGATTCTACAACTAACCCAGAATGCGGCAGCTAGACTGGTGACTGGGAGCAGCCGCTGAGACGACATAACACTGGTGCTGAAAATTGGCTCCCAGTATGTTTCTGAGCTGGACCATAAAGAAGACTGATCACCGAAGAATTGATGCTTTTGAATTAGGGTGCTGGAGGAGACTCTTGAGAGTCCCATGGATTGCAAGAAGATCAAATGTATCCATTCTTAAGGAAATCAGCCCTGAGTGCTCACTGGAAGGACAGATCCTGAAGCTGAGGCTCCAATACTTTGGCCACCTCATGAGAAGAGAAGACTCCCTAGAAAAGACCCTGATGTTGGGAAAGATGGAGGACACAAGGAGAAGGGGACGACAGAGGACGAGATGGTTGGACAGTGTTCTCGAAGCTACCAACATGAGTCTGACCAAACTGTGGGAGGCCGTGGAAGACAGGAGTGCCTGGCGTGCTCTGGTCCATGGGGTCATGAAGAGTCGGACACGACTAAACGACTAAACAACAACAACGTTTCTGAGCACAATTCAAAGTGTTGGTGCTGACCTTGAAAGCCCTAAACGGCCTTGGCCCAATATACCTGTGAGGAGACTGAACAGGAGACTGACCCAGCAGGCTGTTCTCCTGTTCTTATGAACCTGGGCTCTTCTGCATTCAAAGCAGGTGCTCTATGACCAAAGTCGTCACTACCTTTATCTGCTTCCGCATGGCTCTTACAAACCTCTCTTTGTGTTTTGCAATTTGATTGTTTTATTCGTAGCTTCAAATGTGGTTTTCTTGTTTCACCCATTATCTTTTAAGAGCCACCTTGGAAGAATCCGACCCCCCTCCCACCGCCCCTGAAAAGGCAGCATATAAATATTTTAGATGTGTGTGCCTTTCTAGAGCATATTAGTTTTTTCTTCAATTCAACTGCTTTTGAAATGTGTCTGAGAAGGTGGCGCAGAGAGACTTCTGAAATAAATACACACGTTAAAAGATCAAAGAAGAGGAGGACTCTCCATCACAGCCTCTAGCTTTCAGAATGTATCCCTCTCTGGGCCACAGACAGTGGGGACGATCTTCATTTATTTCTCGCTTTCCATGCACAAAAGTCTCTGAGTGATTTATGAACCACAGATTTTTATATATATATTTTAAAAAACTAGAAGTGTTCACACAGTTTCCCACGGAATTAAACTCGGCTTCCAGATCCACTCACACACTGGTGACCCCTAGATGGAGATAGCTGGGTTGATGGACAGACAGACAGATAAGATAAGGAGATCCCTGCTGGATCAGACAAATGTTTCACCTAGTTCAGCATCCTCTTCTCACAGTGGTCAACCAGCAGTGGCATAGCATGGTGGGCAGGGGGCTGTGGCGCCGGGCACAAATTTATGAGGAGGCACAACCAGGCGTCCCCATTATGGGGGGATGGAGCTCCCGGGAGGCAAACTGTCCCCAGGCCAGGCCTTCAGAAGCTGGGGCAGTGGCTGGGGAAGGGACAGCTGGAAGGGAGGGAGGGACCGCCACTGCCTACCAAGGAGGGAGGGAGGAAGAGGAAGAGGAAGATGGGAAAGCACTGCTAGAGCCCAGTGTGCCTCGCTGCAAGGACAGGAGGATGAGGCGACACAGCAGCGCTCCTGGCTTTGCGTTTCTCCGCCTTATCTCTGCTCCCAGGTTGGGGCTAGTTTGCAAGGAGACGCTCCCTTGGTTAGACGCTGGCTGCAGAAGGGGCAGAGCAGTCCACCAGGGCAGGCACAACGCTTGCCCTGCCCCGGGCAATGGCAACCCACGCCACGCCCCTGCCAAGCAAGATCGGAGCACAAGAACATTCTCCCCCCCCTTGTGGTTTCCAGAAACTGGTATTGAGAAACATCGCTGCTTCCGATTGCGGAGGGCAGAGTGCAGCCATTGTGGTTAAGAGCTATCAATAGCCCCCTCTGCTCCCCCGTGAATTTGTCCAGTCCTCTTTTGCAGCTGTCCAAGTTTGTGGCCCTCCTTGCCTCCTGCGGGACCAACTTCCGCAGTTCAGATCTTGCGCTGCATGGAGAAGGGCTTTTTTCTTTTATCCGTCCTGTCTCATGCAAAAAGAGACAGAGCGAGTATTTCGGGTTCCCGCCCCTCGTCATCAAACCCTCTTTGGTGGCAGTGGGGAAGCTGAGCAGACATTTCCCTCAAAGCCGAAGGATGAGCTGCGACTATAAAAGCAGTCGCTTTGGGACTGTTTGCCTGCACGCTGAATTCGGGGAGGCTGGGCATGGATGTGTGGAAAGCGTGCGAGGAAAGGAGAGCGGGCGGGGGTTGCGATTTGCATTAGGTCGTTATGGCAACGGGAGGACGTAATGTTAAAAAAGAAGAAGCAAAAAAGCACTACAGGTTTGCTAGTTAATGCAGTTTTGTATCGGAGAGATGGAGAGGCGCAGGAATTGCCAGTGTGGAAAGAGAGTAGGGAGAGAGAGTGGAGGGGTTCCAGGAATGTATGGGAGGTGGAGACACAGATCATCAGAGCGACAGCTGCTGGGCATGCAGAAGGCCTCACGTTCGACCCAGGCACCTCCAGTTTCAAAAGGGTGGGTGGTTGACAGAACCACTTCCTGCATGTGTTCCCAGAGTCTGCGGGAGTCTGTGACCCTCCAGGTGTTGCTGTGACTCCCAGCTCTCAGCGGCAAGCAGGACCAGTGGTTAGGGATGCTGGGAGTTGGAGTGCAGCAACATCTTAGAGCCGCCATTGCCTTATATCCCTAAGACTACTGGCTGCTGGGAACAAGGAAGCACTAACCAGAAAGGAGGCTCACTGCTGTGTCTCTGCATGAGTTGCTGCTCTGGTTTTTCTTAAGACTGGATAAAGCAGAGAGAGGGACCCTGTGGCCCTCCAGATGCAGTTGACCAGTGGTCAGGGAAGTGAGTCCAGCAGCATTGGGAAGGTCGTGTTCTATGACATGAGAGCCAGTGTGGCGTAGTTCTTCAAGTGCTGGACTAGGAGGCCATGGGTTCGAATCCCGACTCGGTTATGAATCTCACTGGGTGACCTTGGGCAAGACTGCGTCTCAGCCTCACCCACCTCACAGGGTTGTTGTGGGGATTAAATGAAGAGGGGGAGAGCCATGTACATAGCCTTGAGCTTCTTGGTGGGCTATAAACGCAATCAGTTAAAAATAAAATGACCCGTTGGATCCTAATGTCATGGGAGGAGGAGGGGAAAAATTCTCTATCTGTTTTCTCCATGTCATGGTGAACTTTTCACACACATCCTTTGCTCTGAACTAGAAAGGTCCAAATTTTGTAATCTTTCTTCATCAAGGAGTCACTCCAACCCCCCTGCTTATGTTAGTTGTCTTATCTGGAACCTTTCCCCAGCTCTACAATATCCTTTTTTGCTCTGAGGCACCCTGCGCTTTACAGCCACATTGCTCTCTGTCGAAGGCAGACAACTGGGCAGGACAGAGAGAGAAAATTATATCAAGGTGGGGCAGAGTGAAGAGTGAGGAAAGCCCATCTGCTGAGAGTTCCACTCACCCACCCCACCCTCCTCTGCCAGGTTTATAAAATTATCCATGGCATTGAGAAAATGGATAGAGAAAAGTCTCTCTCTCTCTCTCTCTCTCTCTCTCTCTCTCTCTCTCTCATAACTCATGAACGTCCAATGATTTTGAATATTGGAGGATTCAAGAGAGATTGAATAAATTCCAGTTGTGACCGACTCTGGGGTTTTGGTGCTCATCTCGCTTTATTGGCCAAGGGAGCCGGCGTACAGCTTCCGGGTCATGTGGCCAGCATGACTAAGCCGCTTCTGGTGAACCAGAGCAGTGCACAGAAACACCATTTACCTTCCCGCCAGAGCGGTACCTATTTATCTACTTGCACTTTGACGTGCTTTCGAACTGCTAGGTTGGCAGGAGCTGGGACCAAGCAATGGGAGCTCACCCCGTTGCGGGGATTCAAACCGCCGACCTTCTGATTGGCAAGTCCTAGGCTCTGTGGTTTAACCCACAGCTCCACCTGCATCCCTCTGTGTGAGGGATGGAGGGGCGGAAATAGCGGAAAAAATGGTGCCCGAATTTTTTTTTTTTAAATGGCGTTTGCGCTGATCCAAGCAGCGACTCCAGAACCATCTGCGGGCTGAATCTAGAGGGCAATTGGGCCTGATCCGGCCTGCAGGCCTTAGTTTGCCAACCCCTGATCAAAAGCAAGCGTAATAATCTAATGTTATTTAGAGAGGATCAGACAAATTCATGGAGAATTTGAGACTCTGCTCTGTCTTGTTTCAATGGACTGCATGCAAGCCACTTTGGTAGCCCTTTTTGGCTGAAGAGCAGAGTGCAAGTTTATTTGCAAACAAATAAACAGAGCAAGAACACAGAAGATGTGCCCAAGGTCTGCGCTCATGCGCAAAGACACACCTGGCTGCTGCTTCCTCCTCGCTCTCTCCCCCTCTACCATTCCATTGTTCTCAGCTTCCAAACAGGTGAGACAACAGTCGCATCTGACCCCGTTCGCTTCCCTCGTTGCACTGGAGCGGCGGCTGCCGTTAATTATATAGCAACACCAAGACACAAATAGTTTCTGCCGCTGCAGGGATCGAACAGGAAGCTCAGGGATCGCGAACGGAGCAGCAGCAGCACAATGAGCAGAGGAGCGAGGACAAAAGGATGCAGTGACAATGCAAGGGAGGCAGAATGACGGGATGTTAGGTTAAGGCAGAATCAGATCCTACGACCCACTGAATAACACACCTCTCTATTCTCCTAGGGCGTCAATAAGGCCAATTGAGAAAAGGGAGAGAGAGAGAGAAAGAGAGACTTTGCAGGGATGGCAAAGTTTCCTGCTCTCTCTTCGGCACCAGAAACCGGCACCCCATAATATCATGATGTCTCTTCATGTAGCTCAGTGGCATCATGTCTGCCTTGCAAGCAGAAGGACCCAGATTCAATTCTCTCCCTGAAAGGCTGGGGAGCTGCTGCCAATCAGTGCAAACAATACACAGAGCTTCAGACAACTTACTTTGAACCAGCCCCTTGCCAGAAACACGAGCGCTAGATTCTAGTGGCTAGAATCTGATTTCATTTTCAGCATGAATATTCATATCCAGTCTTGCATTTTACAAAATCACATATTTAAATGCATGTTTTATCTCAGCTTGTACATTTCTAATTGTATTTTATCCTAAAATAGGCGTACTCAAGGCACATTGTAATGGGCTTTGTGGGTTTTTTTTAAGCTGAGAATGCAAAGTTGAGAAAAAGTGCAAAATCCAAAAGGTAATTAAAGTCCCATCTGCATATTCAGGAGAGGGGAGATGCCTAGTGGTTAGAGCAGTTGCTTTTCAGGCAGAAGGTGCCATGTTCAATCCCTGACATCTTCATGTAGGGTTGAGAGAGATTCCTGCCTCTGAAACCCCCGAGAGCTACTGCTAGCCAGTGCCGGCCTGACTGAATATACAGCAGATTCCTATGTCTTGAGCTGAAGATACTAAGTAAGGGGTAGACCGGGATGGAAGAATCTGTTCGTTTTAGTTTCTCTTATTCTCTATTTTCCCCAGTCTGAAATTCAGATCTCCACATTTCCACAGCCATTTAAAAATAAAATAAAACCACCACAGAAATTCATCAACCTTTTAGTGTGATTTACACAGCAATTTGCAAACTGTTGAAAGAAAACCTCCCCCAAATTCGCCATGCATTTTAGGGCAAATTTCTCCTAATAAACACATTTTAAGCGAGGTTTTGACTAATAGGCACATTACCCGTTTCCCTATTAAAGCATTTTTGTGTTTGATTTTGCCTAAAATAGGCATTGATGTACACATTCGTTTGGTTGGAGGACAGCTTTCTCAGAAGTGTGGTTTTCAAAGGGCTGCTGTGTTTTGGGTCAGGTTCAAGGTGTGTGAATTGGGTCGTTTATCACGAAAAAGCAAAGAAAATCAAATTACTCCCTGCAAACCTGCGGTGGCCATGACCCAGTTTTGCATGCAGAAGGTCCCAAGTCAAACCTTAGCATCTCCTGGTAAGTGAATTCTGAAATTCTGGAAAGTTGTTGCCTTGTCAGTGTAGACAATTCTCAGATAGAATGATCCATGCTCCAGCTATTTATTGCTTATTTATTGCATTGATATCTCACATTTTTCTCCAGGGAGCTATACATGGTTCTCCCCCTCCTCATTTAATCCTCACAACAATCCTGTAGGGTAGGATAGACTGAGAGGCTATGATTGGTGTCCAAGGTGAGCTTCATAGCCAAGTGGGGGATTCGAACCCTGGACTCTCAGATCCTAGTCCGACACTCTAACCACTGCACCACACAGCTAGTCCTGGCCTTTTGTGCAAACAGATGCACTTTAAGCTGTCCTCTGACAAGCTGGCCTTTCCCCATCCAGCCTGGCCTTTAATAAAAATATTGTGATTTAAAATCTCGCATCCCAAAGATTTATAAAGCTCGGAAGTTAAAGAGCTGTCTGCGTGTCAGGAGGGCGGCAGTGAAGAGGGAGTTGGTGCCCCGCTTTGTCTTTAATGGATGAGAGGGAGAGGGGGAGAGGGGGAGAGAGAATCTGGGTTGCTGAGTTCATATCTCTGCTTTCCTCGAGAGCTGTCAGAATCACTTAAAAGAATGCAAGTGGGCAGGCGGATGGCAGGACTAATTGGCAGGGGCAACCCTACAGGGTGGCACGATTCATGCTCTGTCCTCCTTCTCACGTAGTGGCAGCTGCAATGCCACCAAAGCTCACATGCAGGGGAAAGGGCACCGCGGGGTCATTTGTGTTGGTGGCAAGGGGGAAAAAATAGGTATAAAAGTAGAATTCGTGGATGCCAAGTTTGGAGGAAGTACTGTTTGGTGAGAGAATCTCAGCAGAGATTTAAAATCATAAAACATGCAGCAAAGTAAGGCGTGGAAATATAGGCTATTAGACCTTTAAAACATCCCCCTGTGAGTTCCAAAACTTCCATTTCCCCCCAGTGAAAAGGCCACACATTTGGGACGTTAAAAATGGTTTACTTACAAACCCTCCAAAGGTCAGATTCATGTGCTTTTTCATACAGCATTCGGAAAAGGTTGAATAGGCAGTAAAAGTTGGCTTAGTTACAGTGGTGAAAATTATTGGTTTAGGAACTCAAGAATCATAGAATTGAAGAGTTGAAAGCTACCCCAAGAGTCTTCTAGTCCAACTCCCTGCAATGTAGGAATTTCAACTAAGATGATAGGTGGCCATTCAACCTCTGTTTAAATTCCTCCAAGGAAGGAGAGTCCACAACCTCCTGAGACCGTTCCACTGTTGAACAGCTTGTTCTCTCTTCCATGTGACATATTTCAAGATAACTATCATCTCCTCTCAGTCTCCTCTTTTCCAGGCTAAACATACCAAACTCCTTCATCCGTTCCTCATAAGGTTTCCAGACCCTTGATCATCTTAGTTGCCCTGCCCTGCACATGTTCCAGCTTGCCAATATCCTTCTTAAATTACGGTGCCCAGAATTGGACACAGTATTCAAAAGGCTTGTTAGGGCCATGTGGTCTGAGCTCGGAGCAACTAGCTCAAACCTCTTTACACACTGAACTTCTTAGGTAGACTGAGAGAGAACAATAGACTCATAACCTTCCTCCCAAGGGGAGAAGGAGTGACCTAGCTAAGCCTGGCAGGACAGCTTACTCTATGGCATTAACCCCTTCATGCATTAAATAGACTTAAGCTTGTTGGTTATATAAGGCTGGTTATCCCACAATTACTGGGACACGGGTGGCACTGTGGGTTAAACCACTGAGCCTAGGACTTGCCAATCGGAAGTTCGGCGGTTCGAATCCCCACGACGGAGTGAGCTCCCGTTGCTTGGTCCCTGCTCCTGCCAACCTAGCAGTTCGAAAGCACGTCAAAGTACAAGTATATAAATAGGTACCGCTCCGGCGGGAGGGTAAACAGCATTTCCGTGCGCTGCTCTGGTTCGCCAGAAGCGGCTTAGTCATGCTGGCCACATGACCTGGAAGCTGTACGCCGGCTCCCTCGGCCAATAAAGCAAGATGAGTGCCGCAACCCCAGAGTCTGACTGGACCTAATGGTCAGGGGTCCCTTTACCTTTACCTTTATCCCACAACTTGCTGAGCAGCTGAGACTGCCAGCATCCACTCCCAATCAGAGGGTTTAAATTTAGGCGGAGGGCCACAGCTCAGTTGGTAGAGCATCTGGTTGGAATGCAGAAGATGCCGTGTTCGATGCGCGACATCATTTCCAGATAGGACTGGAAAAGGCTAATTGTCTGAAATCCCGGAGAAGTCGCTTCCGTTCAATGTGGACAATATCATACCTCCCCCTCTCTGAGCTAAATGGACCATCCCAGTGGTGCAGTAATAAAACTGCTAACACATCTGCAAAGCTAAGCAGGGTCTGGTATGGTTTCAAATGGGATGGGGGACTTCCTGATGAGATAAGACCCTTGTGGTCTCTTACAATTCTATGATTCTATGGCCTGACTCACTTTAAGGCAGCTTCCTTTATTCTGATTGAAACCAGTCCTTTATTCAGAAGCATGAGGACTAGTATCTCACTTTATTTTAATTTTTTAAGGGGGAAACAGATGCAGCTCAGTGGGTAGAGCAGCTGCCTGGCATGCAGAAGACTCCAGGTTCAATCTGGGTAGGGCTGGGAAAGGCCCTCTGCCTGAATTCCTGGAGAGCCGCTGCCAGTCTGTGCAGACAGTACTGAGTTAGATGGACGAATAGTCCGACTCAGGGTAACACAGCTTTTTATTCCAAACCATGAGGACTAGGAACTTAGCTTTCTGCTGCTCCAGTGGGTAGGTTGTGAAGAAATGGATTCAAGTTACAAGATTTAAGGAGATTTCGGCTAAACATTAGGAAAAACTTTCTGAAGGTAAGAGCTGTTCAATAGTAGAACGGAGTCCCTTGGGAGGTGGTGGGCTCTCCTATATTCATGGATTTTAGGCAGAGGTTGGATGGCCACCTGTCAGGGATTCTTGAGGTGTGATTGCTGCATTGCAGGAGGTTGGACTAAATGGCTTTTGGGGTCCCTTCCAGCTCTACTGTTCTATGATTTTTAGGAGAAGCTCTGTAGCTCAGCAATATAAATATGTATACTCCTCCTGGATGAAGGCATAGTTTCTTTTTTTAAAAAAATATTTTTATTAAACAATTTCAACATAAAAAATTATCAAACCATATAATCACATATGTTATTTTCCCCCTTTTTTCCACCCCCCCCTTCCATCCTCCCCCCCACCAAGGAGTTCCCTCAGCTCCTCTCTCTGATTTCTTCACACATATTATTCTCTGCATGTTATAAAATTATACATATCCTTGCCTTATCTATTGTTATGTACTGAGTTGAATAGGATCCAAAATGCATCAGTCTGATTGGTCCTAGAACAATAGGATTCAGAATGCAGCAGTCTGATTGGTCCTAGAACAAGAGGGTCCAGAATGCAGCAGTCTGATTGGTTCACAGGAGCCACCCAATCCAGCTCCAGGTGGAAGTGGATCAGCAATCTGATTGGCCTACAGGAGAATCCCAGAAATAGCCAATCACGTGGGGCCCATTGTTTAAATAATGTATATAAAGCAGATATTCTGGGGGAACTTCCAGTCCTCCTCACCACTATGAACTGAATAAAGAGCATGAAATCCACTCTCGACTCCGAGTATATTTCACTGGCAACGAAGGTGGGATCCCACGTAGCTGACCGCCACACACAGCACCGCCACCTGCCGCACCGCTGCCTCGCACCGTGTATCCAGGCTTCAGCTCCGGGACCCAAGGAACTCAGAATGGCAACTGACAGCAACTTCTTGCCATTCAACCCAGCATTAGGAGACTGGGAAGCGTACGCCTCCCGTTTCACCTTCCTCCTATGTAATCAACCAATAAATTTTTGTATGTTTATTCAAAACCTGCCAAGGAGTCCAATTCATTTTATTGTTTTTTTAGATCATTTGTAAAAAGTTCCCATTCTTCCTTAAAGTCACAGTTGTCTTTATCCCGCAGTTTGTATGTCAATTTAGCCAACTCTGCATAGCTCATCAATTTTTCTTGCCACTGTTCTTTCGTTGGGATTTCCTCATTCGGATGAAGGCGTAGTTTCAATATTCTCTGAAGGTATAAATACCTGTTAGTCCTGCTCAAGAGCAGGCTAAGGCCCATTGATTTCAACAGGTCTAAGTATGAATTTGTTGGATATCTTCATTTGGACTGCATTTGACATTAGCGATGCTCAGATCCAACCTATTGACATTGAAGGCTGGGCTGAACTTAGGTCCATTGATTCCAGCGGATCTCCTTTGAGTCAGTCTTAGTTAGAAGACAAACCCTTTGGGTGCTATAAAAAGAATCAAACTGTAATAACATTTTCTTAAAAAGCAGATAAAACCTCTCATATAACAGAGGGCGAAGAGAATTCAGATTCTCAGCCCCAACACACACAAATATACACCCACACTGCTCTGTGTTTCACTTGCTAATGTGTTTCAGCGAATGTTGATTGGAAGTTTGGAGCCAATAACTCAAAACAGAATGGGTGGATGGGAAGAATAAAATGTGTGTGGGGTGGGGTCCGTCACTCGGCCTTTGCAACAGAACGACACTGGTAGGTAAACACAGAGGAAATCAAGGACAAAAGTCCAAGTGACTCAGCCCGTACACAGATGATACTGAACCCTGAAGGCATCTTTGGCAAGGTTCGGCAGACAGGAGTCCACTCTGATCGTTCAAAAAACAATGAGTGACATGATTAGAAGAGATGGATGGATGGATTGGAAGCCAGCCCTCTCACTTTGGGGCTCAGCAGAAATTGCACCCCCACCCGTTCACCTCTTGGCGTTCCAGGTTACTCTGCCCGATGTCTTCAAGCTAATAAGGACCTGGGAGAGAAAACCATAATGAGGCCCTCAAGGTATGGATTTTCCAGCCTGTCGGAGATGATTTGAAGAGAGGTTCAATGGTGACATGTGTAGGAGACTCACACACACACACCTGGGCAGATGTGTAACTTAAGCAAAGTCCTCAGGCTGGGGAGAGAAAATAAGGAAGCTTTTTCAGCAAGACGTTCCTTCCACAGCTCTTTGCTTACCTGGACATCAGGAGTCATAGACTTGTAGAGTTGCAAGGGAGCTCTCCAAAGGTGATCTTGTTCAACCCCGTGCCGCAATGCAGGAATCGCAGCTCAAGAACCCCTGATGGATGCTCATCTGACGGACATTTAAGAAGAGATTTAAGGAGGGTTCACCACCTTCTGAGGGAGTCTGTTCCCCTGTCAAATGGCTCCCACCAGGAGAAAGTTCTTCTGTCTAAGAGAACCAGTATGGTGCAGTGGTTAGAGCACCAGACAAAGACCTGGGAGACACCAGGGTTTAAATCCCTGCTTGGCTATGAAACTCACTGGGGACAGTGGTGGAGAACAGGCGGGGGTGTGGCTGGCGCGCACCCTGGGGGCTTGGTGTGCCGCCTGCAGGGGCGTGGTGCGTATCCTGGGGCTGTGGCACGCATCCTGGGGGCGTGGCACCTAGTGCAGGGGGGCCAGCCATGATGGCACCCCACCGGGATCGTGCCACTGGGGGCGGTGCGCTCCCTCCGCATGCCTGTTCCTCTGCCAGTGACTGGGGGACCAGTTACTGCCTTCTCTCAGCCTAACCTACCTCACAGTGGAGAGTGCTCTTGTGTTCGGATCCTGCTTGCTGGTTTCCCATAGGTATCCGGTGAGCCACTGTGAGAACAGGATGCTGGACCAGATGTGCCACTGGCCTGATCTAGAGAAAGGCTCTTCTTATGTTCGTAGTGTCTTCTCAGTGGTAGCCCCCAAGCTGCGGAATGAACTGCCCACTGAGACACGGTAGGTACCTACTGTGGTCAACTTCTGCTTAGCATCTATCAGGCTTCCCTGGACCTCTGGTACCAGCTGCGTGATGTAGTCACCTTGTTTTTATTGCATATTGGGTTTTTCTTTTGCAAAAGCTTGTTTTTTGATATGCCACCTTGTTGCTATTTTAGCGAGAGAGATAGGCATGCTTTCAATTAATGAACTCCCCCAGATGCTTTGGGGGATATGCAGGTGTCAGATTGGCTCACGGGCCAGGATTCCTTTACTCCCTGCTGCAAGCCCCCGCCAGCTGCAGAGCATTGTGGGATTCCCCCGCTCGCAGCCGGCGGGAGAGAGCAAGAGCTGCATTAGAGAGCTCCGCCCGCCCGCCCCCTTTCGTCCCCGCCTGCTCCCCTTGCCTCACTCCACCCCATTAGTCATGCTGTCTCATTTTCTATTAGTTCCCTTCAATATTTTATGGGGCCTGTTTCCCTTCAGGTAGCAACAATGCAGGGGTCAGCAGAATCTAGTGCTGCGCTCTCAAGTGCCGGCGCTGTGACTGCTGTATATTATTTACCAGAGCATTATTATGGCCCACCAGCCTCGCTCAAAGTGAAAAGGCCTGTCAGGACCTCTCCTCGTCCAGGCGGAGAGAGGCACGGGAAAAGGTGGAAGGTGTCACGTGCGAATCCTGCCTGCCTGGTGAAACGCAGGCAATCGCAGTGTTCCACTTGACCCTCAGCTCCTTCCCCCTCCTCCTTTCTCCATGTCAAACAGTTTCCTGAATTGAGTGCCAATTCAACACACATGCAAACACACATACCCAAAATGCCTGGAAATATGAATTGCATCAGTGTGGATAGATATTATTATCGTTGTTTTAAGAAAAAGCTGCTCCCTTTCCCTTATGGGGTATCCAAGAGCCTGTAGAGAGTCCTTAAGTGGGTTCCCTATCGGTGGGAGAAAAAACAGAGGCCAGCCAGAGTATATTCAGAAGTAAAGTGGCTAGTAAGCCTGATCTTAATTGAAGGAACTGTTGCAAAAGGGTCCCCACTCACCACATGCAGGAGGGAGGAGAACATGGGTGGCACTGTGGTCTAAACTACTGAGCCTCTTGGGCTTGCCGATCTGAAGGTCGGCGGTTCGAATTCCCATGACAGAGTGAGCCCCCGTTTTTCTGCCACAGCTCCTGCCAACCTATCAGTTTGCAAGTACAATGGTACCTCGGTTAAGTACTTAATTCGTTCTGGAAATCCGTACTTAACGTGAAACTGTTCTTAACCTGAAGCACCACTTTAGCTAATGGGGCCTCCTCCTGCCGCTGCGCCGCCGGAGCACAATTTCTGTTCTCATTCTGAAGCAAAGTTCTTAACCCAAGGTACTATTTCTGGGTTAGCAGAGTCTGTAACCTGAAGCGTAAGTAACCTGAAGCATATGTAACCCGAGGTACCACTGTAGATGAATAGGTACTGCTGCGGTGGAAAGGTAAACAGCATTTCCATGCGCTCTGGCTTCCATCACAGTGTCCTGTTGCACCAGAAATGGTTTAGTCATGCTGGCCACATGACCCGGAAAGCTGTCTGTGGACAAACGCCGGCTCCCTCGGCCTGAAAGTGAGATGAACGCCGCAACCCCATAGTCACCTCTGACTGGACTTAACCATCCAGGGAGTCCTTGACCTTTTTACCTTTATGCTGGAGAAAGGTTGGAGGGTATGTTAGTGGCCACCACTGCCTCCTGTGGCAGTGAGTTCCACAGTTTAACTATGCGCAGGAGGCTAATGGCTTCTGCATGCCTTCTGAATAAACACGCTTTCGTTTCCCAACACAGCGCAACGTTCCTGAGTTTCCTAGCTCCGCCTGGTGTGCCTCCTTCCAGTTCAGTCTGCACAAGATTGGCGCTGTCCCAAAGCATGCATCTTCCCCCCCTCCTTTAAAGCCTCACAGCCAAGGGAACACACAGACACATATACACCCAGGAGCAAAGGGCAGGCTGCAAGCCAAGTCAGCGCTCTTTTTTTTCATCACTCTACTGGCTGGTTTGGCAAAAGAACAAGGGCAGACTGTTCTCTGCTAATCCCTCCTCTGGGCTGGGAGCAGGGGAGAAGCATGAACTCAGCCGGGAGCAAGAGAGAGCGGATCTGTGTGCCGCGCACACGCATGCGTCGGTGCATGCCAGCTTTTGAGAGCATCCCGGCTAATACCTGCTGAGTCACATCTGGATGAGTCCAGCGGTGTCACCACCGCAAAGCAATTTGTCTCTCACTCAGGCAAGAGGGATCCATGGTGGATCACCGGCTCTCTGCAAGCAGAGCGAGGCCGGGAGAACAATGTCCCTTTCTCTTTGCTGAATTGCCGCATGGCTGAGCTCGCCTCTTCCTCGAGAAAGGGCAGCGGGCAAAGAGTTCGAGCCTGATCTTCGCATCTAGACAACTGTCTGCCAGCAAGGTGGGGTGTTTTGAATGAAGCGGGGGCGCAGGTCTGGGGCCCTTTGCATGCAGAAGGTCCCAGGTTCACTCCTGGAAACCTGGAGAATGTCTTCCAGTCAGTGCAGTCAACAGCATAGCCTCCAAAATTTATTCAATGAAAATAGGGATGTCTGTTGTTGTTGTTGTTTTATACCCTGCCCATCTGAATGGGTTTCCCCAGACACTCTGGGTGGCTTCCAACAAATATTTAAACATAATAACATCTAACCAACAAACTGAAACTAGCACAGGGACAAATAAAAGGGGATACCTTCACCCATTGTGCCTCCCCTTTATTACACGGTGTTATGTACTAAGCTTGGATCCTAGAACAATAGGCAAGTAGGATCTTAGAATGCAACAACTGATTGGTTTGCAGGAAAAGACCAATCAGGCTCCAGGAGGAAGATAATCAGCCTATTAGGCTGGTAGGATCATAGAATGCAATAACTGATTGGCCTGCAGGAAAAGACCAATCAGGCTCCAGGAGGGAAGCAGAATCAGCCAAACAGATGGGACTCATTGTGTAAATAATGTATATAAAAGCCTGAGGTTTGGGGGGCAATTCAATCACTGTTTTACAAGCTGCAATAAAGAGCATGAAATCACTACAGGACTCCCGAGTATATTTCACACATACAGCCCAACATGACAAGAACTCCCCAACAGCATACGAATCGATATGGCTAAGCTGACCGACCCAACAACCCCTTCCGCCTTCTCACATGCAAACAAAACTTAATGCAGTCAACTATAGACAACCAACTATGCCCTGCTCCCCCAATCTCTCTCACCGCCAATGAAAATGAATAAATGCATAGGAAGAGAACCTGCCCACGTGATGCTGACACTAAAACCTTGCACATATGCTACGTAAAAGAATTAAAGTTTTCTTCTTCTTCTCCTCCTTCTTCTTTGGCGATCCCTTGTAGCCGAGTAAGATTGTCTTCCATGAACACGGTCTTAAGAGTGCGTCCATAAGTGACTGTGGAGGCCACTTCTGGATCCATACGTACTTCCACAGTGGGGACATTGGTTTCCGGGCAGAAGTTGATCATGGTGAGGGTTTGCCAAGCATGCCTTCCTCTTTGCACGTTTCTCCCTTTCGTCCTGAGTTTGAGTGTCTTCAAAGCCCACGACACCTTTGGTAAAGGCTGTTCTCCAACTGGAGCACTCGCAGGCCATTATTTCCCATTCGTCAGTGTTTATACTACATTTTTTTAGATTTGCCTTAAGAGAGTCTTTAAACCTCTTTTGTTGACCACCGGCATTACACTTTCAATTTTAAAGTTTGAAATAGAGTAGTTGCTTTGGAAGCTTCTCCCTCCCTCCCTGCTCTCTCTCCCCACCTCCCTTCTCTCCCAACTTTATACTATATACAATATCAACATCCCACATCAAATAGAACTTTTGTAAACCAAGAAAATCTTTAATAAAAACCATAACACACACACACACACACACACACACACACACACACACACACACAATTTTCATTACAATTTAAAATACTCATTTTACATCCTTAAGACATCAAGGACTTCCTTTCTTCTCTTTTCATGGTTCATTTCACATAACATAAATCCCTGCATATTTTACAAAAACTATACCAATCGGTGTTCCATTATTACATCCATCCAAACTTATTTACACTGTTGAATTTATCTTAACGCTGCCAGCGTTTTCAGCCGTACACAATTATTTCCCGTATATTCAATGAACACTTTCCAATCTTCTCTAAACGTATGTTCTTCTTGTTCTCTTATTCTATACATGAAGTCTGCAGGTTGTGCATATTCCGTCAGCTTAAGTTGCCATTCTTCTTTGGTTGGGACCTCGCTCGTTTTCCATTTTGAGGCTAACAAAACATGTGACTCAGCAGTGACATACATAAATAACCTTTTTTGACGCTTGGGAATTTCAGTCTGAATTATCCCCAACAGAAAGGACTCTGGGGTTTTTTTTTGGGGGGGGGAGTACTTTTAAACATCCCCCCCCCATTCATTCTGGATCATTTCCCAACACTCTTTTTCTCTTTTACAAGTCCTGGCATGAAACATTTTCTACCAGCCTTTATTCAAAACCAAATGGACTGGAGTCTTACTTTATTTCAAGGGGAAGGGTCATAGCTCAGTGGCAGAGCATCTTCTTAGCATGTAGAAGGTCCCTGGCATCATCTCTACAGGAGGGGAGGGGACTCTAGTGCTCAGGTGCTGCTTGTGAGTTTCCCACAAGCCTCTGCTTGGCCACTATAAGAACAGGATACTGGACTGACCCAGCAGACTTTTCTTAGGTTCTTAGGTGAGGCATCCTGTCTGCCTTCTTTTTCAACAATAAAAAGAAACCCAACCACAGAGATCTGAGGCAGGAGAAGAGAAAGTTTGGAGGAGAAAAGTTCCTGTCGGGTAGAGGGGAAAACGAACCCAGGAGTCCTGCCCTCTAACATCTCCACCTTCACCACAGCAGCCTGGGGAGCTTTGAAAGTACACAATCAATGGATTCCTCGGTACCTGTCAGTTTGCATTTAAACTGAGCAGGATGTGTTCTGGATGTTTGAGGCTGAGGAGGAAATCTATCCAAGTGTTTGTGAGAAACACACCGCGTGGTTCTTTAAGAAAAGAAAAGGAATTAGCTCCCAAGCCTACCTTCAGACTTGCAAAAGCAGCTCTAGGTTTTTGTCTGTAACCTTCAGCTGCAACCTCTTATAGGTACGTCCATCAGCCTCAAATCTAGATTTGGGGCATCGAAAGGACACGGTGGGGGGTCTCTGTCTCCCAGAGAGTCATAAGAACACAAGAAAAGCCTGCTGGATCAGACCAATCAAGTCCAGCATCACAGTGGCAACCTCCCAACTGGAAACCCTCAAGCAGAATGCAAGTGCAAGAGCATTCTGCCCTCCTGTGACTTTTGGCAACTGGTAAATATTTTATTATTTATGCCTTGCCCATCTGTCTTGGTTGCCCCAGGCAATGTGGGCAACTTTCAGCATATATAGAAACATAATCCTTCTCTTTGCCAATACTCGTAGCTGAGTAAGATTGTCTTCCATAAACACAGTCATCACAGTAGGTCCATAAGTGACTGTGGAGGCCAATTCCGGATCCACACATCCTTCCACAGTGGAGACATTGGTTTCCTGGTGGTAGTTGATCACAGTGAGGGTTTGCCATGTGTGCCTTCCTCTTAGCACGTTTCTCCCTTTCATCCTGAGTTCGAGTGTCTTCAAAACCCACAGCACCTTTGGTAAAGGCTGTTCTCCAGTTGGAGCGCTGACAGGCTAGTGTTTCCCAGTTGTCAGTGTTTATATTACATTTTTTTAGATTTGCCTTGAGAGAGTCTTTAAACCTCTTTTGTTGACCACCGGCATTACACTTTCCATTTTTAAGTTTGGAATAGAGCAGTTGCTTTGGAAGACGATAACCAGGCATCCGCACAACCAGTCCAACAAAGTTGATGTTGAAGAATCATCGCTTCAACATGGGTGATCTTTGCTTCTTTCAGTACACTGGCATTAGTTCCCCTGTCCTCCCAAGTGTTGTGTAAAAATTTTCAGAGACACCTTTGGTGGAATCTTTCAAGGAGTTTTAGATGGCATTTATAAGTGATCCATGTTTCACAAGCATACAGTAACGTTGGTAGTACAATAGCTTTGTAAACAAGCATTTTGGTTTCCCTGCAAATGTCCCAGTTCTCAAACACTCTGCACTTCAGTCGGGAGAAAGCTGCACTCACAGAGCTCAGGCGATGCTGGATTTTGCATCAATGTACAGTGGTACCTCTGGTTAAGAACTTAATTCATTCTGGAGGTCCGTTCTTAACCTGAAACTGTTCTTAACCTGAAGCACCACTTTAGCTAATGGGGCCTCCCACTGCTGCTGTGCGGCCGGAGCACGATTTCTGTTCTCGTCCTGAAGCAAAGTTCTTAACCCGAGGTACTATTTCTGGGATAATGGAGTGTGTAACCTGAAGCGTCTGTAACCTGAACCGTCTGTAACCCGAGGTACCACTGTATAAAAACATAATAGCTCCATACTCTCTGACATTTCTCCAATGAAAATAGGGACATCCTAAGGAAAAGCGGAACATTCCAGGATCAAATCAGAAACCAGGACGTCTTCTGTAAATCCAGGACTGTCCCTGGAAAATAGGGAAACTTGGAGGGTCTGCATTAGATGTCCATGAGTTATGATAGTGTTTTAAGAGAAGGAGAAAGCTCCCAAGACAGACCCTTTGGTCCATTTAGCTTAGACTTGACTACACTTCCTGGTAGAGACTCCCCAGAGACTCTCCAAGTCCTTCCTGGAGGCACCAGGATTAAAACTGGGACCTTTGACATGCTCCATAACTGAACTATGGCCCTTCCATTGAAGAAGGGGGTGGGGGAATATTTTGGCGGAATGGGCCTGGTCCTTATCTTCCCCCACCCTGTTCCCTGCAAGAGCATAGGACCTCATATATCAGTGTAGCTTGAGGAAGATCAAATGGGGAGGCCAAATTGACTCTGCAGGCTCTGGAGGTTGAAGGTTTCTCATCCCTACCTGAAGGCACAGAAACACAGAAGCAAACTGCCACCAGACCACTGACTACCAGAGACTCTCCGAGGTTTCAGTCAGGAGGCTCCCCTTGCCCTGCCTGGAAATTCCTGGGATTGAACATGGATCATCTGTATGCCAAGCAGGTGCTATGGTCACACGCTTAAAAATATTATAGTGGTACCTCGGGTTAAGAACTTAATTCGTTCTGGAGGTTCGTTCTTAACCTGAAACTGTTCTTAACCTGAAGCACCAATTTAGCTAATGGGGCCTCCCACTGCTGCTGTGCGGCTGGAGCACGATTTCTGTTCTCATCCTGAAGCAAAGTTCTTAACCTGAGGTACTATTTCTGGGTTAGCGGAGTCTGTAACCTGAAGTGTATGTAACCTGAAGCGTCTGTAACCCAAGGTACCACTGTACAAGAAGAAGAAGAAGAAGAAGAAGAAGAAGAAGAAGAAGAAGAAGAAGAAGAAGAGGAGGAGGAGGAGGAGGAGTTTGGATTTGATATCCCGCTTTATCACTACCCGAAGGAGTCTCAAAGCAGCTAACATTCTCCTTTCCCTTCCTCCCCACAACAAACACTCTGTGAGGTGAGTGGGGCTGAGAGACTTCAGAGAAGTGTGACTAGCCCAAGGTCACCCAGCAGCTGCATGTGGAGGAGCGGGGAATCGAACCCAGTTCACCAGATTACGAATCTACCGCTCTTAACCACTACACCACACTGGCTCTCAAGCTTCTAGTCTTCATAATTCTGACTTAAGTACTGTAGCTGCCTTATCCTGAGTCAGGCTGGTGGTCCAGTATTGCCTACCCTGACTTGCAGTCTCACTCCAGCAGTTTCCCAGACCTACCTGGAGATGTCATTGGGGAAGGAACCTGGGACCTTCTGCCTGCAAAGCAGGTGGTCTGCTCCTGAACTGTGGGCAAGGAAAGAAGAATGGAAACAGGACACCTGGACCAGAGGTTCACAGCGAGGGGGGAGGGCGTGGCAGTGACATGCAAGGTGTTCTTGAAACTATTGCTCAGCTGTTGGAAGAGCACCAGGGGAACCTCTTAAGAGTGTCTATTTTGGCTAACAGCAGGGGGAGGAAAGCCACTCGGTGTTGTTTGCAGGAGAGTCCTCCATGCAAGAGAAGGTGCCTGTTTTGCAAGATTCTTAGTCAGGGAAGGGAAGCATGGAGTGTTTTCACTGTGAGAGAGGTTAGAGAAGGGTGTCACGATGGCAATCTGTAAGCACCATCACAAGGAGAAGGAGTGGGCGGGCGTCAGGAAAATAGCAGTTTCTTCTGAAGTGTGCTTAATGCTGGCAACTTAAACCTGGGAACACAGCAACAGTCTCTCTCACATACACAAAGCGGGGAACTGGTATCCGAAAGCAGGGACAAGCAGCTATTCCTCTTTGTTGGCTCTTGAAGTGACCCCCAAATGTGGGATCCCTTGTACCCATGTCAAACTTTTGCAGTTGTTCGGCAATATAAACCCTGCACTTGCAAGTCAAACAACACACTGGGGTTCCTACTTGTGAGTCAAGGACCCACCACCCACATAGGAGTATAATAAGACACAAGGACACATTATTTTAGCTTAATGGGCAAAATTAGGCCACAACTTTTATTGGTTACAGCATGTGAGTAGTACTGGCTTAGGCATTGGATGAAACAGCAATACCAGACTCCACCCCGCACAGCTGGGAGTCATATCAGGGTTAACAACCAATGGGAGGAGCTTGTTGATGCAAATACAACTGGAAGCTCCCCCATGACATCACTGGGGATTGTGCCATGGCCCTAGCCACCAGCAAGGCATTGGACAGGATCTGCGACTGCCAGATTCCTTTAACGGAATTCCCAAAAGAGGAGGGGTAGATGATGGTGCATACCCAATCCCCCAACACAGCACACATATTCCAATGCCTAACCATGCAGGTGAGAATTAGGCACTCTGCTGTGGTCTTGATCCGAAGAGGGTCTTGATCCAAGGAGGCTTGATCTGACAAGATCCGAAGAAAGCAGGAACAGACTGGGAGCAGAGCATTGCCGCAGCTGTTTAAATGCGGCTAGCCCTGCCCACCAGCCGGCCCTATTGGTCGGCTGGAAGGCTTGGCTGTGGCAGCAGAAGCAATCAGAAGCAGGGAGCGGAGTACGCCTCACTGCCCTAGCGGGAAGCTGCTCCCGCTCACAACTCCTCCCCTCTGGGAGGAGGAGAGGCCTTGTTGTTGTTGTTGTTTAGTCGTTTAGTCGTGGTCCAACTCTTCATGACCCCATGGACCAGAGCACGCCAGGCACTCCTGTCTTCCACTGCCTCCCACAGTTTGGTCAAACTCATGCTGGTAGCTTCGAGAACACTGTCCAACCATCTCGTCCTCTGTCATCCCCTTCTCCTTGTGCCCCCCATCTTTCCCAACATCAGGGTCTTTTCCAGGGAGTCTTCTCTTCTCACGAGGTGGCCAAAGTATTGGAGCCTCAGCTTCACGATCTGTCCTTCCCCCTTCATGGATCACTGCCTTGCCGTGGCGAAGGGGCTTCAATAACTCAGAGAAGCTATGAACTATGCCGTGCAAGAGAGGCTTTAACAGCGCTCAAATCCAGGACACTGCAAAATGATGTCAAAGCTTTGGCACAGGTTTGGAGGCGCCCAAATTCTGACGTTTGTAGCTGACACAACTCTGGTGTGGGCGGCTACGACAGATTAGTGGCACCCTTAAGGGATTTGTTAAAGGACAGCAGAATTTCAATAGGATCATAGGGTCAGTGAGTCCAGCCCCCTTCAATGCAGGAGTTAAAACTAAAGAACGCCATTCAACCCTTGCTTAAAAACTGAGCCCACCAGCTTCCAAGGGAGTCCGTTCCTCTGTCAAACAGCTCTTATTCTCAGAAAGTTCTTGGTAATGCTTAATGTTTTCTTGTGGCCTGTTGTGGGAGGGACCCTCTGCAGGCCAAAATGACTCTGGAGTCCTGAACTAGAAGGTTGCAAGGCAAGCCAAGCGAGGGCTGAAGGGCAAGCCAGGAGGCAGGATCACCTATCAAGCCGGAAGTCAGGAGCAAAGGGCAAGTCAGGACAACAGGACAAGAGTGGGAGGAAGGATCATGGAATGAGGTCGAGGCTAAAGGGCAAGTCACAGCTATGGGACTTACCAGAGCAAGGAGCAAGCTAAAAACCTGGACTGGAGCATGATCAAAGACTCAGGAACACACGGAAGAACTCAAGATGCTCAAGGCAGAAGGAACTATGCAGAGCATAGTTAAACTATGGAACTCCTTGCCACAGGAGGCAGGCAGAGATTGCCATCAGCTTGGATGGCTGTAAAAAAATGGATTAGGCCAATCCATGGGGAAGGTTGAGGTGATCGTTCCAGATGTCTGTTCTTAACCTGAAACTGTTCTTAACGTGGGTGGTGCTGTGGGTTAAACCACAGAGCCTAGGACTTGCCGATCAGAAGGTTGGCGGTTCGAATCCCTGTGATGGGGTGAGCTTCCGTTGTTCGGTCCCAGCTCCTGCCCACCTAGCAGTTCGAAAGCATGTCAAAGTGCAAGTATATAAATAGATAACACTCCGGCAGGAAGGTAAACAGCGTTTCCATGCGCTGCTCTGGTTCGCCAGAAGCGGCTTAGTCATGCTGGCCACATGACCCGGAAGCTGTACGCCGGCTCCCTCGGCCAATAAAGCGAGATGAGCGCTGCAACCCCAGAGTTGGCCACGACTGGACCTAATGATCAGGGGTCCCTTTACCTTTAAGGGCTCTCAGCAGGGGCCAACAAACTGCACTTCTCAAGATCCTTTGGGGGGCGGGAGGCAAGACAGTTTAAATTGCTTTGAGACTGCTTAATAACATTTGCTGGGAATCACATGTGGGGCTGTTGTCATGCTCAGTTGCTGCTTGTGGGATCCTCACTGTTGGGCCATCGTGAGATAAGGATGTTGGACCAGATGCACTTTTGTTTTGATCCTGCTGTGGGGCTATTGTTACTTTCTTAACCTGCTTCGCAGGGTTGTTGTGAGAATGAAATGGGGAGGGATGGAAAGTTGGGATATAAACACAATAAAATTGGTGGTGTGGTGTTGTTGTTGTTTTAAAATATAGCACCCTCAGATTCTTGATTGTGTAAGTGACCGCAGTGTTATCACCCAGACACAAAGAAATGTACGAGGTTCCACTAGATGACTCTTTGAGACCTTTTCAATTCTACGATTCTATGACCTTGCTCCATAATCCACCACCTTCTCTCCCCCCCCCCCCAGCTTTATTCTGTTTTCTTTCCCAGGCTCTTTGCCAGCAAATAGATTTAATACTTAACTACAGTCCTCCCTCCCTCTCTTTCTCTCTCTCACACACTCCACACCTGCCTGAGGAGACACGGAGAGCGATTTGCATATTTATTAAATATCTTTTAGTAGGATACACAAACCGCATTGCTACATCTTGCTCACAGTGTGCAGACCTGCTGGCGGTGAAGCAGGGGGGAAAGGTGATGAGAAAGAAGAAGACATGGGAAAGGAATGTTTCAAGATATCTGCTTTCACACTAGCGACCGTGCAGTGAGCAGGAAAGGGGAGGGAAGAGAGAAAGCCTGAAAAGATATGAAATTCGGGCCTAATCCTGAAGTTAATGCATTTGTCTATGGACTGAACCACTTTGAATAGCAGAAATTTTTTCAGCCCATGTGCTGAAAAATTCACTGATGCATCTATTCTCCTTGCATCTAGAAAGCTAGTGCGTCAGGGATCAAAATTACACTTCTCCCTGTCTTGCTAGATTTCTGCATTCGGATTTATTTATTTATTTTTAAGAGCATGCATCAGGGAAGGGCAGTAGCTCAGTGGCAGAGCAGCTGCACTGCATGCAGAAGGCAACAGATTCAATCCTTGGCATATCTAGGTAGGGCAAGGAATGTCCCCTGCTTGAAACCCTGGAGAGCTGCGGTCGGTCAGTGGAAACAACACTGAGCTAGATGGGCCCAATGATCTGGTTCAATTTACAGCAGCTTCCTATATTCCTGTCATACAAACACTCACTTGTTGAAAAGTAATGAAACTGCAATTGAATTGAAATGATGGAAAAACAAATCTATTAAAAGGAAGATGGTAAAAACTGCAAAGCCCATTCCTTAAATAAAAAAATAAAATAAAAAACTGTACACCAAAGGCCTCTTTGAAAACAGGCCTCTTTAAAACAGTCTTCACCTGCTAGTGAAGTCTTCACTCTTCCGCAACCCCACCAAATGGGGGGCAGGGGTGAGAGAATGGCCTTCCCTGAAGATTTCGGAGTCCAGGCAGCTTTCTATGGGAGAATACAGTCCTTCACATAGCTTTAGCCTAAGCCGTTTAGGGCTGCATTTTTCAACAGCAGTTAAAAACGATGTCAGAAATCCTCAAGAGGACTCAGTTGGCCATAGTTCACATCCCTCCCCTCTTTCCCCACACATCGGTTGGGGGTGGTTATGATTCCCCTCCCATGTGATTTGGTGGAATTATGACTCTTTGTAGGTTATTATGGTGCAACAAAATGATAATCCAAGATTTAGAAGGACACCTGTTTTCTGTGTAGGCACTGGGTTCTCATTTTCATCCTTAATTGACGATTCTTCTAAGCAGGGACTTGCTTTCTTTTCTTTTTTTTCAAGAGAAGGAAGAAGTGTCCAGCAATAACAGGATCACGCTAATCCATTTAGCCGCCTCGCTCCCTTGGCGAGAGTCGATTTCAGTGGGCTCGGCTGATGCCCTGGTGAAGCTGTGTTCCGCTTGGCCTAGACAGTGCCAACCAAAGATTGCCAGCTCCCATGCTAGGCGCAAAACAAAAAAGCCATAAACCTTTTTGCTGGGCACTTAATTGCAACCACCCAGGTATAATGCAAGCAGCAGGGATAAGAAGGATGGAGAAGGGATTATTGACTGACAAAGCCCACAAGGTTAGCGGCAAAGAGGCGAGAGAGGGCAGATCAAGAAAATCAGAGCAGAAAAAGATCTGGCAGATAAGATGGAAGGGGTTCAGGGGATTAAACGCAGGTCTGAACCCAGAGAAAGAGAGTGGGGGAGTTCAATTCCTGACTCAGGTCAGAGTCACAGAACAGCAGTAGTTCGATTTTCTGGGGTGTGAAATGTTGCTATTGCAAGTTATGGGCATAGAGAACAAGTGAAAAAGCAGGTTGGAGGAAATTGTTCGTTGTAGGACTCTCATTTCCCAGCTTGGAAAATTATCTTATTCTATAATTCTATAATGATCACCACAAATACAAAGCAAATGCTGTGAATCTTCTGGGTTCTTCTCTGGCTCAGATTTCAACCTGAGCCAGAGAAGAATCCAGCTTCTTCCCCCTCCTCCCATCTTTCATGCTGGGAACTGGTGTGTTCATTAGGGAAGTCCTAGCAGCTATTAAGAGACTCTTGAGGGAATTCAGTTCAGCACCCTGGAGAGCTCCTAGTGGCACCTGCTAGCTGAACTTTTGAAGATGTTCATCATCATCATAATTTTATTATTTATACCCGGCCCTTCTGGCTGGGTTTCCCCTTAAGAAGGCTGGCAGGGTTTTTCACTTCTGTGGGCTACTGCCTGGTCCATGCACCGCCGCCCCCCCCCAATTTTTTTGCTGCTATCCTTAAAAGATCCATATTTAATTCTGAAGCATGGTGGAGGAAAAGCAATAGATGAGTCTGTGTCAAGCCCGGGAGATGACAGGAGAGCTGCATCCTCAGGTGCAGTGGAGAAAGGGGTTATTGGTGCCCCTGCCCCAAAGCTTTTGAATCCTCTGAAGCTAAGCCCTCAAGCTCTTTTCTCCCACCCAACTAAATCAGCTCCCTTTTAGCCATTGGGAAAGCTAAATTAGACATGGTGTGCCACATAGCTAGAACCAGACCCTTGGTCAGCCTGGATAAATCTGTTGGTTAAAGCATGGTGCTGATAATGCCAAGGTTGTTACCTAGGAGCTAGTTGAGGAAGGTGAAGGAAAGGTCCACCCCTTAGTCTGGAAAACACCATCACTTAGTTGCAGTTCTTGCAAGCTAGCTCATCCTTTTGGGATGTTGATGAAGATACTTAAGTGTTCAAGGAATGTCTTACAAAGAAACTTGTCTGACTGGTTCAGCAAACTAGTCTACTTGATTTCAACCCATAATGGGTACAGGATCCAAAGAATTGGAAGGATCTCGGGGCATCATCCAAATTGACCCCCACAACCCACAACATCATTAGTCAATTGGAGACCTGCTATAAAGCTTCTGCATGCAAGAGAATGAGTGTGTGTGTGTGTGTGTGTGTGTGTGTGTGTGTGTAAGGGAATGGGGAGGTAAAATAATCTTTATTAAATGGGATCTATTAAAAGGGTGTGGGTGAAATCAATCTCTATGATTTCTTTTGAACCCATTACAAATAACGTCCCAGCCTTGAGGATTGAACTGCTGTCTCACCAGTGAAGCTGAATTGTATCCCAACTGCTCTTTATACACTAACAATCTCATTTTGCATTCCTATGCAGAGATTGCGATAGTATTAGTCAAAATGCATGAAAGTTTCAACCTGTTTGGGGCCTTCCAGAGCAAATAAACAAGCTCAGTTTGATCCCAAACAGTTCCTTCTCTTTGCACTAAGCTTGGAATTTTAGGACCCGACAGAAACCTTCTTCTCAGGGAGAAACCCAGAATACTTGAATAACACAGAATTATGACATAAAATAACCCCTAGTGATGCATCTGTGCAGCACTTTAGAGGGTAGCTTTCTTTTCTAGTGCTTCACATAAATTATCTTAATAGTCCTTCCATCCTTGACCATAACCAGGCAAACTGGTGTGAGTTTAGAGCCCAAGTTCTGGTTCCAGGTTCTCCGTCCCAGAACTAGCCTTCAGCTTGCAAAGGTTTGCAGGAGAAAGAAATCTTAAGATCTACCTAGAAACATTTCAATATCGTTTGGGGGATCATTCTGGATGATGCCTAGATTCCCTTCCTATTCTTGAGGTTCTGTACCCAGTGAGTGATAAAATCTGAAAGATGAGGTTGCTGAACTAATCAGACAAAGGTTTCTTTTGGTAAGACAATGACCATGGCTGGCCATTTAAGTGTCCTCATCAGCATCCCAAAAGAATGAGCCAGGCTGCAAGAGCTACACCTAAGTGAGGATGCCCTCCAGGCTCACCCCACCCTACTCAACGAGCTGCTAGGTAGGAGAACAATAGCCAGAGTTTTGGGTATGAACTGAGCTGGAAGCTGGATACCCAGAGACCTGCTTGCTTTGTGACCAATGGAGATGCAAGATCTGTTGGGGTGTCAGTGCCATGAGCTCCTCATGTTGTATATATGCATGAATAAAGCTCTCCACTGACCTTCATCCCAAGGGTGGTGTGTAACATTATTCATTAAATTGAGAGAAGGAGGGAGAGGGAGAGAAGGAGAGGGAGAAGGAAATGACTCAGCCAAGGAAGAGGGAAATGGATAGGATGCTAGGAGTGAAAGCCACTCTTACACAAAGGCGTCACCTCCTAGAGAGATCAAACACTGGGCAAGATAATGGTGAAAGTCTTCTGGAGTAGGTTGGAGAAGAGGAGGTGACAACCCAATTGAGTCAGGTGCTTAATCAAACCAGGAACCTTGACTTCTCTCTATTTACAGGGTCTATTACTCCATTATGCTGAGTGCTTTGCTTTCCACGGGCACCCAGACTTCCAGTCGTTAGAGGTAGTTATCTCTACGCAATTTAATTAAAGTCTAGTGTTTAATGACACAATGTGCGGCTAATTATTTCTCGTGGCTTGCCGGGAAATTTCTTTTTTTGTTCATTCCCTTTATTTTATCCTCTCTTCTTTTTTGCAACAAAGCAAGGGGGTCGAGAGAGAGAGATCTAATTATGTTGATCGTCAAATGAAAAGGTGAGGCATAGGAATGAGCAACAGGGAACAATGCGAGCGAGGAGCTAAAGGCCTGTGAGACGCAAGGAGAACTTAACATTCACAGATGTACTGCAACCTTTCGATGCTGTTGCACTCCAGCTCCCATCATCCCTTACCATTGACCATGTCAGCTGGGCCTGATGGGAGTTGGAGTCCAAAAACATTTGATGGGCCACATATCCCTGAACTAGACCATCACTTGCTTCTATTGCCCCTGGCTACCTCCATCACAGCATCTTAAAAAGCAGAGACATCGCCTTGCCAACAAAGGACCGTATAGTTAAAGCTATGGTTTTCCCAGTAGTGATGTATGAAAGTGAAAGCTGGACCATAAAGAAGGCTGATTGCCGAAGAATTGATGCTTTTGAATTATGGTGTTGGAGGAGACTCTTGAGAGTCCCATGGACTGCAAGAAGATCCAACCTATCCATTCTTAAGGAAATCAGCCCTGAGTGCTCACTGGAAGGACAGATCCTGAAGCTGAGGCTCCAATACTTTGGCCACCTCATGAGAAGAGAAGACTCCCTGGAAAAGACCCTGATGTTAGGAAAGATGGAGGGCACAAGGAGAAGGGGATGACAGAGGATGAGATGGTTGGACAGTGTTCTCGAAGCTACCAGCATGAGTTTGACCAAACTGCAGGAGGCAGTGGAAGACAGGAGTGCCTGGCGTGCTCTGGTCCATGGGGTCACAAAGAGTCGGACACAACTAAACGACTAAACAACAACAACCTCCATCACAACTCTGCCTTCAGGAAATTGTGAATAGAGTAGAAATAAATAATACAGTGGAAAATCTACTTACAACCTAAATCCATTTTGGAGGTCTGGTCATAATTAGAAACATACATAAGTAGAGATGCACTTTTCCATAGAAAGTAATGGCAAAATGAATTGATCCGTTCTAGACGAAACACCCCCTAAAACAGCAATTTAGCATGGATTTTACTGTCTAACGAGACCATAGATCCATAAAATGAAGGCAATAATCAATGTAAAAGGCAAAGGTACCCCTGACCATTAGGTCCAGTCACGGACGCCTCTGGGGTTGTGGCGCTCATCTCGCGCTATAGGCCGAGGGAGCTGGCGTTTGTCTGCAGACAGCTTCCGGGTCATGTGGCCAGCATGAGTAAGCCACTTCTGGTGAACCAGAGCAGTGCATGGAAATGCCGTTTACCTTCCCGCCAGAGCAGTACCTATTTATCTATTTGCACTTTGACGTGCTTTCGAACTGCTAGGATGGCAGGAGCAGGGACCGAGCAACGGGAGCTCACCCCGTCGTGGGGATTCAAACCAACGACCTTCTGATCGGCAAGCCCCAGGCTCTGTGGTTTAGACCACAGCGCCACCTGCGTCCCTGTCAATATAAGACAGTATTGTAGATGAAAAAAAATAACATTTTTCCCCCCTTACGTGCACTGAGGGTGGGTGGGCTTACCTGGTTACAAGCTGGGGGTGGGGCAAGGGTCAGTAAAGTGAATCAGCTCTTTACTGACCCTTGCCCCACCCCCAGCTTGTAACCAGGTAAGCCCACAGCAGTGTGCCCTGCTGTGCCTCTTGCAGATGGCACCTCTTCCACAGCTTTGGGGGTGGGATGGGGGCCCTCTCCCCAGCGGCAGACGCCCCAGCGCTGCCCTGCAGCCAGCCAGGCAAGCTCCAGACTGCTGGCAAAGCCTCTGTTTGTATCTAGAGGAAAGTTCATAAGTTGAAGCACCTACTGAAGGTCGTAACTGGAATCGTACCTAAGTAGAGCCGTACGTAAGTCGCGGTTCCACTGTACATGCTCACGGAGCTAAAAGATCTTGCTGAAAGGCATTGCATGGAGATCTGCATTGATTGTTACAATTACTTTACAACTAAAAGGTTACTGTATAATCTTACAAGGGTCTAATCCTTTTAGAAGAAGGTGTGACTATGACCATCACGATGGGACCCTGTGTTTCTGAATTTGCCATTACACTACTGCCTGGCAGGCAGAACACTTGTAGATTGTCTCAACACCTTGGGGAGGCCAAGCTAACATGACAAAACATTATTCCAGTGAGTCACTGTCAGGATGCAGAAGCACAACGCCAGCATGCAGCTCGGTTGCGCTGCATTGCACTCAGGCTCTTTCCTGGCATGCTTCGATGTCCGCACAACAAGCAAAAGCAGTTGTTTTGCCACAGGAGGGTACCGCCGGCTGCTAACGCAGTATCATGTTGAGCGTGGCTGTTTATTAGCTTCCTCTCCTGTGAAAATTAGCGTGCAGAGTGCCGTGAATGACATCACCCTTGGGCGAAGAAGGGGGCTGCATATTCCACATTCATTACAGTGGAGGCAGATGAATGCAGGCAGAGTTGGGACGAATGGGGATTGGTCAGGCTCAGGAAGAGGAAGAGGCACAGAATCATAGAATTGCAGAGTCGGAAGATGATCCACAAGGGTCATCTAGTCCAACCCCCCAACGTAGGGCTCAAACCCAAGACCCTGAGATTAAGGCGTCTTGTGCTCTATCAGTTGAGCTACCTGTATGGTTGGGTTGGGGGAGGGAAGTCTGGGGAAGGGTCTTGAAGGAGGATAAGGCAGGTAAAGGTAAAGGGACCCCTGACCATTAGGTCCAGTCGCAGACGACTTTGGGGTTGTGGCGCTCATCTCGCTTTATTGGCCGAGGGAGCCGGCGTACAGCTTCCAGGTCATGTGGCCAGCATGACTAAGCCGCTTCTGGCGAACCAGAGCAGCGCACGGAAATGCCATTTACCTTTCCGCTGGAGCGGTACCTATTTATCTACTTGCACTTTGACATGCTTTCGAACTGCTAGGTTGGAAGGAGCAGGGACTGAGCAACGGGAGCTCACCCCATCACAGGGATTCGAACCGCCGACCTTCTGATCAGCAAGCCCTAGGCTCTGTGGTTTAACCCACAGCGCCACCCACATCCCCTGTCAAAACGGCTATCAATGACTATGCTCTGCCTCTGTGGTCGGAGGCAAGAGTGCTCTGGAATCCCAGTTGCGGGAAACCACAGGAATGGAGAGTTAGTCTTCTGCTGAGGCCCTGCTTGAAGGTTTCCCATTGGGGCAACTGGTTGACCACTGTGAGAACAGGACACTGGACTAGGTGGGACACTTGTCCAATCCAGCAGGCTCTTCTTATGTTCTTATGTTGGACTTGACCATGTATATCTGAAGGAGCGTCTCCACCCCCATCATTCAGCCCGGACACTGAGGTCCAGCTCCGAGGACCTTCTGGCTGTTCCCTCACTGCAAGAGGGATATGCAAAAGCCAGAGGTGGAATTTCCATATTTTTTCCATGTTCTCTCAGTGATGAGCGTTGGGTCTCTGCAGAAAACCTTTTCAGCTGCTCAGGTGTCCCTCCACCCCCACCACTTGTGTGGCTGCCAGTCTTTAAATATTGTCCATCTACATAGACTTCTAGAGCTGGAGGAGGATGGCCATTGATGGCCATTAGCCAGGAGGGTGATGCTCTGTGACCACAATTGGAGGCAGCAATGATTCTTAATCCCGGTTACTGGAAAACGCAGGAAGGGGAGAGGGCCCTTGGGATTGGGTCCTGCTTAAGGCTTCCATTGGGGTACCTGGGTTGGTCACTGTGAGAGCAGGATGCTGGTCTAGGTGGGCCCAATCCAACAGGGACCTTCTTAGGTTGTTACATACCCTCCAACATTTTTCTGATGAAAATAGGGATGCCCAGAAGAAGAAGAAGAAGAAGAAGAAGAAGAAGAAGAAGAAGAAGATAAAGATACTATTTATACCCTGCCCATCTGACTGTGTTGCCCCAGCCACAGAGGAACCAACCCCCATGGCAGCTTGCCAGGAACGACCTCGACACAGTATACCAGAAGGAGCATCTCCACCCCCATCGTTCAGCCCGGACACTGAGGTCCAGCTCCGAGGGCCTTCTGGAGGTTCCCTCCCTGTGAGAAGCAAGGTTACAGGGAACCAGGCAGAGGGCCTTCTCAGTAGTGGCACCCGCCCTGTGGAACACCCTCCCATTAGATGTTGAACAGATAAGCAACTACAGTGGTACCTCAGTTTTCAAGCGTCTTGGAAGCTGAACATTTCGGAACCTGAACGCTGAAAACGCTGAATGCTTCCATTCTCTAACACACCTCAGAAGTCGAACGGCTTCCGAGGCGTGTTTCTCAATTTTCTCAATGGAATTTTCTGACCGCCCATTAAGCCTCGGTTGCCGAAAGTTTCAGAAGTCAAACGGTCTTCCCGAATGGATTACGTTTGACAACCGAGGGACCACTGTGTTTGACTTTAAGAAGACATCTGAAGGCCACCCTCTTCAGGGAAGTTTTAGCGTGTGATGTTGTATTGTGTTTTTAATATTTTGTTGGGAGCTGCCCAGAGTGGCTGAGGCAACTCAGTCAGATGGGAGCCATATAAATAAAATTATTATTATTATTAAAATTATTATTAAAATTATTATTATTAAAATTAGTATTAAAATTATTATTATTAAAATTATTATTATTAAAATTATTATTATTATTATTATTATTATTATTATTATTATTATTATTTGTGTGGCAGCACACTAAGAACATAGATTAGAAGGAGCTCACCTGCAAAGTTAGTACTTGGTACGTAAGGGTTGAGATGGTCCTTCAAATAACTTGGTCTCAAACTATAGGCCTTTATACACCAGAATCAGCCCACTGAGCTTTGCCAAGTAGCTAAGTGGCAGCCAGTGTCTTCCGAAATATCTTCGGAGACATTTCAGCTCAGCTCTAAGCTAGCCTCCCTCACATCACTTCCCTGCCTGTTGTTCTCCCACTGGCACTATTGTTTCATTAATTTATGAATCCCTTCCTGTGAAGCATATCAAAGCGATTTGACAACGCAATGGAAGCATATGTAATGTGACTGCATATATACAAACCCTTTCAAATCCAGCACAGATGCAGAATTTGATTAAAAATTCTCCATTTAGAAGGCACGCGGAAAGAGGAAAGTCTCCAGCATGTGCCAGATGGGGCACCAGGGACTGCATGTCTCTGATATGCAGTGGCAGGGAGTTCCAAAGGGCAGCTGCTATCCACAATGGCTCCACAGTCGGAGGCAGTAATGCTTCTGAATACAGTGGACGCTCGGGTTGCGAACGTGATCCATGCGGGAGGCACGTTCGCAACCCGTGGCTTTCGCAACCCACAGCGCCGCGTCTGTGCATGAGCGGGTTGTGATTTGGTGCTTCTGCGCATGTGCGACCGCCAAAACCTGGAAGTGACCCATTCCAGTACTTCCGGGTTTCGGCGTGTCCATAACCTGAAAAAATGCAAACTGAAGCATCTGTAACCCGAGGTATGACTGTATTTGTTTCTTTCTTCTTTCTTTCTTCTTCCAAATCTTTTTTTATTGATTTTCCACATTTATGACAAATATAACATATAATACACACAAAAGAAAACACATTACAAAACTAAAAGGAAAGAAAAATATAAACACTTATTACTTCTTGAACCCATTTTAACTTTCATTGTTGTCTGACTTCCTCAAATCCCCCCTAACTGAATTTCATTGTATCACCTTGTAACAGTTTTCCAAAATCCTCTTTCTAATAAAATTAACTCCTTCAATTTACTATCTGGTATGACTGTATTTGTTTGTTTGCTGCCCATCTGACTGTGTTCCCCCAGCCACACATTCACCTTGCCCAGGAATGGAATATTTGGCAATAATTGCCATAGTAGCCAGGTCCAAAGATGGTTTTTTTTAAGAAGCGGTTTGATGATGGCTTCTTTAAGGGGGCCCGGGAAGATTCCCTAGCAGAGGGAAGCATTCACCACCCTGCAGAGCCCATTGCAGAGCCCTGCCTGGCTCGCTTTCATGAGCCAGGATGGGCAAAGATCAAGGAGACAGGTGGTCAGTTTCACTCGTCCAAGCAGCCTGTCCACATCCTCGCTGGGAACAGGTTGCAACTGATCCCACACAACGTGACTAGACAGAGCTCTGGCACTCTCCTGCCCCGACACTGCTTCCCCAGTGGAGTCTACCTCTTTCCAAATACTAGTGTGTGGCTTTAAACAAGGATAAGATAAATTTATGAAGGATAAGATGAAGAATGATGACCATGCTCTGCCTCCACAGTTGGAGGTGATGATGCTTCTGAATGTGCTGTTGCACTCAGGTTCTGCCTTTGGGTTTCCCATTGGTAAAGGTAAAGGGACCCCTGACCATTAGGTCCAGCCGTGGCCGACTCGGGGGTTGCGGCACCCATCTCGCTTTATTGGCCGAGGAGCCGGCATACAGCTTCCGGGTCCTGTGGCCAGCAGGACTAAGCCGCTTCTGGCGAACCAGAGCAGCGCACGGAAACGCCGTTTACCTTCCCGCCGGAGCGGTACCTATTTATCTACTTGCACTTTGATGTGCTTTTGAACTGCTAGGTTGGCAGGAGCAGGGACCAAGCAGCAGGAGCTCATCCCGTCATGGGGATTCGAACCGCCGACCTTCTGATTGGCATGTCCTAGGCTCTGTGGTTTAACCCACAGCGCCACCCGCGTCCCTGGGTTTCCCATAGGCCACTG